AATAGCTGGTGTTCACGAGTGAAATATATTTCAATCTTATATGTGAAACAAATAAATTTTCTTTTTATTTCATGCTTTTTAAGTGATTTTAAGTATTTTTTACTGATTTTGCCGCGTTAATTCGCGCATTCTCCTTTGTGACGTCATCACATCATGATGTCGCATCATCAATTTTTAAATATAGTTCTGTTAAGTTTCTCTAACTTTGTTACAGTTTTAACATGATTTATGGTGACATCGACTTTCTTTTCCTAAAGAAGCAAAATTTACGCATGACGGCATCTATTTTTGCCTGTTATTCCATTTAGTTATGATTTTCTTTTCATCCGCATTCAAATATAGTTCGGCTACAGTGAAAATTATATTTTATAAATTTCACTAGTGGTTTATCAGAATATAATCATCTGATATATTACAATAAAACACTGGAAAGCATGAAATAAACACTATATAATAGAGGGTGAAAACATAAAAGTAGCATATACAAGTATATATACTAACCAGTTTTTATTGGCAGTTTAACACTGGTTTTTTTTCCTTCTTTGTCTATAGTGACAAAATCACGTGGAGTGATAGAATTATATGTATGTAAATCAATGGAACCTCTGCCGAGCAAACACCCTTTGTAAGACAAAGATTTTGGTTGTTGTGGAGAGGTGTTATTCTGAAGAGAGTTTATCTTTATTTGGGAAGAACTTATACTGTTGTTGTGAAAGCTGCACGCCTCCAAATGAGCCATATTGTTCAAGAAAACCAAATTTGAGAAAAGTATCAATAAGATTTTAAGTAAAATATAAAAATTCAAGATTCAAGTAATGATTTACATGTTACGTGCTATTATTGACTGATTTTGCAGTATTTATCACCATATTTCTACTGTGTGACTAACTAAAGCTGTAAGAGCTATATTTGCATATTTTGACCTTTGTGATAATTAACATGGAGTGTAAGTGCCATTTGCTATTTGTAAATAATTTCTTTGTTCACTTTTAAACATTATACTCTTAAATACATTTTCAAAATTTTCATGAAAATTAGCATGAATCTGGAGGCATGGTGCTTTAAGAAGGTACTGTTGTACAGAGAGTTGCACTTCAGAGGTTGAACTACATACAAAAAATAGTTACTTAAACAATTTACTAACATTTTACTAAATCATTAGGTTTCCTTATATTGATATGTTGTAGCTGAAGGAACCTTTTTCTTGTGCCCAAATCAAAAGATAATAAATAACGGCTTAATATTATTTCCACTCTGTCTGTTTGTCTGAGTTTGCAGACAGTTTTATGTTCTTTACTTCTCATAAGTGAGTGCCTTCATACTTGGACATAACTACCTACTAATAGTGTATTGAATATGACCATGACCTGTAAATGACCTTGACCCCAATATGAATTTGACATTTAAAGTCAGATTTTCAGAATTCACAATAATTCACCATAATTTCATTTATTTACACATTTAGAATTGAAATATTTATGATTTTTGAGCACATCTTGTTTTGTTTTGAAAAGAATTGATTTTTTTTTTAAATTAATGTTAAACTATTTTAGTGTAGCATCAAAATATGTTTTAGAGTTGTTTTAGAGTTGCACATAGAAATATAAGTAGCTTATGTGTATTCAATATACAAATATAATTTTATGATTTTTTTTTTTTTTTGAATTGATAGTTTTATGTTGAATCAGTATCAATATACTATGAATAAGACCATTCATTAACTTTGGAAGTGAGTCATGCATTTTGAAAAAAAATGTGTATGATGTGATTACTAAAATTTGCACAACTTTTTCATGGTTTTAATTACAATGGAACTGAAAATAATTCTTTTTTTGGTGTGGGTTCAAATCCTGCCAGGGACTTAGAATTCTTAAATGTGAGGAAGCTATACAGTAAGTTTATGGAATGTTGATGGTTCTACTGAGGTGCCCATTTTTGCTTTTGATGATTAACACTTAAGGGCAACCAGCTGCCTGAAGGTTCCTATCACTACACAATCGAGTAAAGACAGCTTATGAAAAAACGTTGCCCATAATATGAACCTTCTCTACGTGTGACTTTGTATGCAATTCTAAAATCGCAACAGTCAATTAAACATATTATTGTTAGGCAATAGTAATAGAACATATATTATACAATATATATATTGACAATTGGTAGAGTTAGCAATAACAGGCAAATAATGTTTCTGAACAATTAGTACTTTTGCTAACACTATTTTCAATGTATTATGAATTTTATTGTAGATTTCATAATGTGTTTCATTGACTCTTCATATAGCATTGTTTCCACACTTTACCTTTATTCCTTGTGTAAAAAATTCTTTATACATGTACATGCTTACTTGTATTCGAATTGCTGAAAAAAATATAAAAAGAGACCAATCAAAATAATAAACGCTTTTATTTCAGGTAAACTGTTGGGCCACTTGTTCACTATAGTTGATATTTGTTGCAATGAAAGAGATCAACACATTATTAGTTTATCTACTGCACGTGTATTTCGTGTCTGGGATATTCACACACTAACTAGTCTACAGGTAAGCCACGTTAATCCACAAATCAGTTTGTACCCCCAGGATCCAGGATCTTATTAAACCTATTGTTATCCAAGGAATTGACTACCTGTCATAGATATTGACAGATTAAATATAATTATTATATAATCACATGCCTATCATTTTACTGTAAATCTGAAATTGACAATTTTCCATTAAATACAATAATGAATAGACTGACTCCGGAATAAAGAATATTTTGTGTTTTCCAAGCTAATCCGGGGACAAACTTTAAAAGTTAATAAGAAGAGAAGCGCAATAGGCTGACTTGGTTATGCACCGTAAAGCTACAATGGTAAAAGTTTGTTTGTACCGAGGTATTAGCATGGAAAAACCCACATTTGCTGAGTTCCCAATAACATCTATTGTCATTTTTCCGTTAAATACAATAATGAATTAACGAAGTTTGACATTAACTAAAATATATGTTGACAATGTTTCAGGTTTTTACGGACAATGAGGAGAGGCCTGGGGAGAAGAGAATTTACTCTATGTTATTTGACAACAAACATGAGAGGTTGTTAACAGGGTCTAGTGTCATAGATTCCTGGCCACTCACCAGGGCGGTACAAGACACAATGCAGGTCCCTCATACACATGACCGTCCCCTTAGTCAGGTTAGTTTATTTTTCAGCCATTATTGTGACAGTCTCAGGTCCTGTAGTCTCAGGTCCTGTCTTAATTTGGGCATCTCGCAAAAGTCGGGTTGTTTTTTTCCCTCCACTACCATAACTTTTACTGTGTCAGATCTAAAACAAATCATTCATGTCATAGAGTCCTACAGGAGACTCAATGTTGGTCTCTCACTTTCTTATATAATTATGTGTTGTACAGTTTGCACAATTATTTATGCTTGATGGTGGAACAAGCCCATGGGACTGTCACTATAAGTCTGATTCCAGTACTAATGTCATGTGAGGAAACATGACCCAATTTGGACTCAGACTTTCATTCATAAATGATCACTAGCCACATTGGTTTAAACCATTTCAAGAACAAGATGTTGTTTCCTTAAGAACCTTTACACTCATTCATTGCTCAGTACTTGTTGGTTCCAGGAACAGATTCAAAAGTGTTTCTATAAGTTAATAGCTTCCTACACAATCAAACTTTAAATAGATTGTATATAAACCAATGATAAAGGTTTTATCTTTGATTTTCAGCTTGTATATAACAAAGACCTAGGTCAGGTGGTGACAGTATGTACAGAGTCAGTGCTCAAGGTGTGGGAGATGGAGAGCGGGAAGTTGGTGTATACGATAACTGATGCTCATAAAAACAGTATAGAGATAACTGCGCTTACACTTGATTCATCTGGGTACAGACTTGCCAGTGGTGCTTTTGATGGTAAAACTTGTTCTTTGAAAGATTTTTCTAGGCGATGCCGTATAACCTGTCAGGAATTTTTATAACACATTTATAATAGTAAATGCAGCAAACATCCTTTTTTAGGGGAAGTAAATGTGATATCTTAATAAATTGGCAGCAGCCGTGAATATAATTAGATATAAAGATTTTTAATAGGTTATATGGCCCTATATAAATGGTTGTTTGTATATATAACCTGAACCTCTAGGCAAGTGTGTTATAGTGTTATATGCAAACAACCATTTATATACTGTCATATAACCTGTCAGGAATCTCTATAAAAAATGTATTGTACAGCAAACTTCCTTTTTTAGTGGAAATAAATGTGATTTCTTTATAAATTGGCAGCAGCAGTGTATATAAAACATATAACGATTATCCAATGAAAAGCAACATCAAAAACCTGCAGTATTATAAAGCTTTAAACCGTGACATTTTGACTTGTTTTTTGTATCTTAAATGTTTTGCAATGGGATAGTTTTGAGAAATTTGCTTCAAAAGGAGAAATTAAGTACAAAAACCACAATTTTGCAATTATTCTAATCTGAGACAAAGCTTTTTTACATAAGAGTATAAGGTTTAAGACAATGACTTTCACATGATAAATTTGTCCTCTGCTTTTGGATCAAATAGTTCAGGTTGAGAAGTTGGCAGGTACATGTACTTGCAGAAAAAAATTTGTATGCATATCTTGAAAAAAAGGAACACTTAATCTATTATACTGAAATGTTATTCAAGCTTAGATTACATTATATGACCATATGCATAAAATAAGTTTAATACAGATATACATTTTGTTACAACTTTTTTCTTTCATTTTCCAGGATCAATAAAGATTTGGGATTTTGGTTCGGGTCAGTGTATAAAGGAGAGACAGGGCAGGTCATCAGAGGAGGATCTCAGTATTACGGGCCTCATGTACTCTAAACTAGAGGATGACAGGGTTCTTATAGCCTCAGGATGGAATAATAAACTTAAAATACTCTTAGTAAGTGTACCCTTTTCTTTCATATCTGAAATACTGTTTTAGATAACATCTAGTACTATATGTACAATTTTTCTCAACCTATCAGTAAAATGTGAAAAATGTCTGATAACCTTTGATATGACTTTTACGATTGTGTCTTAACCTTTTCCCTTATATAAGCGTGTTTCGACGGCTTTTTGCCCCCCACCCTTTTTTGAGGCCTCAAACAGTGAAAAAATGCCCTATTTAGGCTCCAAACACTGTTTTTTGTTTGAGAAATGTTGTTTAAAAAAGTGACCACTTTTTCGGCGCCGTCCCCTATCCAAATGTTACATCAGGGGGTTGCCAGAAGGGGGATGTGCCCCCTTCTGTTTGGGGGTTTGAAGGGGGGCGGAGTCCCCCTCATCGCCAAGAAAATTTTGGACTTGTGAGAGGCTAAAAATGACCCCAGGTCAATCATAAGGTAACTTGTAACCAACGCTGAAAAGCCTTTGACTCTATCTCAATCCATTGAGAAGTTGCAGCACTTTGAAATAAATTTTGATGGAAAAAATCGAGGCAAAATAGTGATTTTTGGCAATTTTGAGATGTCCCCTCGTTGCCATGGTAACAGGAAATTTAAGACTGAGCATGTTGTTACAAAGGCAATGGTCCAGTCAACATTTGTGCCAAGTTTGATTAGCATTGAATCATTTTTCGTAGTTTCATAGCAGTTTAAACTTGTAACAGGAGGCTTTTCACTGAAAACGGCCATTTTTCACAATATGCTCATGGGGGAAAGGGTTAAACAATGTGGCTTAAACTTGAGAAAATAGATAAGAATATATTATTTTAAAAATTTCAAATTTCCATGAAACACTTAATGTTTATGAACCTCTGTAATGTTTTTCATAAAATGTTTCATTTAAGTGTTCTTTAAAGTGGATTTTAATCTTAACTTGTTGCTGATTGGTTTTAAGCATATGTAAAATTTACACATCCTTTCTTTTTGAATATACCCGGTAACTGTTATTTCAGGATACAAACGAGAACTATGACTTGCCAGTTATTCGTGAATTTAATGACATTTACTATTACACTCAAGACGTTACTACAACTGCTCCATCGAATGCTTATGACCCGTTTAAACAAGATCCATTGCCCGATATAAGTCGAGAAAGTCAGACGTCCAGACAAGAGTCGGTCAAAATGACCGAGGAAGAAAATGGTAGTCAGACCAGTCGGCCTCAGACAATACGTGGAATGTCAAATCATCAAATGTCTAACTTATTCAAAAAGGTAGGAAAATACATTTTAAATAAAAAAAAAATTTTTTGGCAATCGAACAATTATTTGGGGGAAAAAAACAACCCTATTTTGAGAGGCCACCTTGTAATAAAGATCACACAAGGTAGAACAGTTTAAGAATGCCATCATTTCAGTTTCCAATTAAACAATTATGAATAAAATTTAAAAAACTCTATTAAGCCATTACCCCTGAATAAAGATTACTCATAGAAAACCTGTCGCAGACGGCCAACAAATTTCGATTTGAACAATTAACAGAACAAGAAACCTGTTGTGAGACCATCATTGAAATAAGACCACATATAAAAAAAAATTCACACACCTGCTTTAGAAGGCAAACATTTCAGTTTTCCATTTGAACAATTTTAATATAAAAGAAAGATCACCTATTGAAAAATTTTGCGTTTTCAATTTCTATAGCCTTATATTTATAAACAGATTTGACTGTAATATTTTTCAGGAATACATGTTGATGGGGAATGAGATTTCATGTATGCAGACTTTTGGAACTAATATACTTCTAACTGGTTGTACTAATGGCAATATCATACAATGGGACATTGAGAAATCTAGTGTGGATAAAATGTAAGTACACATTTTAAGCAGGCCTTGTTAATAATATGGATATGTTTAACAAAAAAAAGCCCAATCAGGTTTTCACTAATGGTAAACAGCTTCATTTATTAAGTAAAGAAATAAATAAATTATCTTGTGACTGGGAAAAAAATAAAATTTCATTATAACTTTTAAGATTAGTTATTTAATAGTTGATACATCATGGTATTTTATTCTGTTTCTATTTGTTAATCATTCTTTTCAAACAAGAGATTTTTGTTACCCAGTTTTCAAACATGTTGATCTTGTCTCTGCTGTAAAAGGATATTTACCCTGATCTCAACTGCGATTATCAGATGTCTGTTATGTGAAAATATTGTTCCATGTACTCAACTTTGTCATGTTTCAGCAAAAAGAGAATATTTTACTCTGTTTTCAACTTCACTCCTAACTTTACCTGTCTTATAAGAGACTACTTTACCCTGTCCTCTACCATGTTTACCCTATCCTTGTAAAGGAAGAATATTTTACAGACATACCATTGTTCATGAATGGAAGAATACTTTACAGTGTTCATGTTTGTTATTATACCTGACGTGATTTATTTACTTCATGTATATACCCTATCAGAGGGTAATCAAATGATATGTCACATAGCAACACCACATTTTGGCCCGCTGAAATTACCAAACAGCCCCTACCATGCCCATGCAGGGGGTCGAGTTTTAGTAATTAGTTGAGATGTCTATCTTTGAATATTGACATAGGGGTGCTGTGGTGGAGTGGTTGTTAACTTCAAACCACTTGCCTCTTACTGCTGAAGGTTCCAGCCACGCAAGCATCATTGGATTCTACGTGTGAAAAAGCTATCCAACTAGCTTACGGAATGTCGGTGGTTCTACTCAGGTGCCCGTTTGTGCCTGAAATAATGTAAAGAGGGTACCTGAGGTCTTCCTCTACCAGTAAAGCTCAAAATTTACCATATGACTTATACTGTGTTGGTGTAGTATAAACTCAACAACAAAAAAAAAGAATATTGATGTGTTTTGAATAATGAAATAAATATCATGTCCCAATGAGGGTAATAGAACACCCAATACAAGTGATGTCAGTTGTATAATGTTTATTCCATGAAAGAATATTTTTTGTGTCACAAGCTAAATAAAGTGTTAATATTCTTCTATTAAAGATTCCATTTACCAGAAGGGGACCAGCCAGTAAATAACTCACGACAACAAAGTCGGGGTACCAGTAAATCACAAGAGAAGAGGATACACAGTATTAAAATATTGGTGCATAAAACTAGGAGACTAGATCCAGCTTTCATTAAGTAAGTCGAAAATTTAACAAAAAATTATGCTAGCCTTTTAAATATATTCAAGAAAACTGCAAATTTTTCATTACAAGTACTTTAAAAGTTTCTGTCTTTTGAGTGTGATTTTGTTGTTAATAATGTATGCACACCAAGATTTCTTTTGCTATTTGTTTTTCCTAACATTGTCATTAAATTGATGTACTTAATTAGCAAGTATATAAGTAAAGGGAAAACACTCTATCATTTCTTGTTTCTGTTACAGGAAAGAGTTATCTTTTCATGAGAGTGTTAAAGCTGAAGATGATCCAGATAAAGGTACATCTACAGACAGGACTGAATCTGGTACCCCAGATAAAGAGGTATAAGATTGGCTGGTTCTTAAAATCTTTCTTTTCATTAAGATTAAGTTAAAGCAAATTGGCTTTACATATTCATACTAAATTTAAAAATAAAAAAATTATGTAACTTAATAGGGCACAACTAATTATAACATCATAGCTGGGACTTAAAATCTTTTGTCTCTGACCATAGAAAAATGAGGACATAAAATGTATTGATTCTCCAGCCCATAGTTTTGATGAATTTAAATATAAGATACAAAATTAAATAAAAGAAAAGACAAAAAGTAGTGGTTTTTTTATATATATTTATGACTTTGTATTCAACAGAAAAGTGAAGAGCAAGAAAAAGAAGGTGCAGAGAAAGAAGGTAATGAAGGAGAGAAGGACAAAGATGAAGACAATGAAGGTATTTAAGTGCTGCTGCCATCTTTCTGTGTTTAAACTTTAACCTTCTATATTTGTATAATGGACTTGGGAACTGTCCATTGTTAATGCGAGGGGTTTGGTTATCAAAATGCAAAAACTCAGCACCCAATTGTAATGCTATTATTAAATTAATTAGTAAAAGATTTTGTAAACAACAACATATCTATTGTTAAGAATTCCCCCTTAATACAGTTATTTTTGTATACATGTACATGTATATAGTTCTTGTGTTGAAGATGCAAGTTGCATGCAACAAAAACAGTTTAATACTGGTTTAGAATTCAGAAATTTAATGACAGGTTGGTTAATTTTTACGCTAGAGGAAAATTTAGCGATTTTTGTCAATATTTCCAAATCGCTAAATTAACCACCTGTAAATATGTTTATATTGACAGACAAGTCGGATGATGATGAAGAAGAAAAGAAAGATGATGAGAAAAGTGTACATGATGAAGATGATGATCCCGAGGTGATCAGGGAACGTGAAAACGCTGCCAAATATATCGTAGACACGTATGACCCGATCATTGTTACTGTACACCAAGATGCTTATATTAGGTTCTGGAACACTGAGGTAAATTGGGATTTAAAAAAAATATATCAAATATATTTATGTTGTGAAAAGGTTTAACACCCTTAAGTAAAATGTTAATGCTACAAATGTTTTATCACACATGTAGTTTTAATTAATACTTGAAGCTTTAAGTATGCTTACATTCTAGTATAAACCCATAAAAACAATTTCTTATTCAGTTATCTGACAAACTCATTTGGAATCTGTAGGAGAAAAGCTTTACTCTAAGCTATCACACTAAAACAGGACCATGGAAATAAAACTGCCTTAAAATGTAACCTTTTCATGAAATATTTATAAAACAAAAAACCCTCCCCTGAACAACCACCCCAGGATAATAACTAGATAAAGATACATATATTTGCATATTTCAGGGAGATGTATTACGTGAGATAACTGCGGTAACTAGGAGACAGGGAACTGCTGTCACGGCAATATGTCATGATGCCGACTGTAATATAATGGTGACTGGAGATCATAGTAAGTCTATCTGTATTATATATGTCTGTAAATTGGCATATTAGATTTCCTAATGATTTGATGAATGCCTTTTTTAAAATTTCTTCAAAAAAATATATTTTGAGCCTCTGTGGGTTCCTTATTTAGAAATACTTGCACCTGGAATCTGAAAAAAAGAACTTTTAATTGCTTCATGTATTATGCAAAGAAGCTACCCACCAATATAACATGCTAAATAACAAAAAGTGATGGTTCTGCAAAATACAATAACCTTAGATCTTTCTTCAACAGCAAGGCTGGAAAGTTGCTATTTGTACATTGTACTTTAAATTTCTTTTGTATCATTATTTTGACCTTTGAATCGCTTACGTCATTAATGGTAGCAGTTCACAGTTCTTAAAACAAGACATTACAAGTGCATTTCTCAAACCTAACATTGGTAAGGGTTAAAATTTTTTATAATAAATATTTTGTTCAGTGCAATATTCTCATATAATACTTTCAAACTACAAATTGTTTACTACAGAGGGTTATTTGACATTATGGGATATTGGAAAGTTTTTGAGGAATCCAGAATCTGAGGAACCAGATCTTGTGAAGCAAGTGATATGTTGGAGAGCTCATCTTACTAAAGTTGTCTCCCTTCATTTTATCGACTCAGTGAAAGCGATTCTTTCTGCATCAACTGATGGCTCAGCAAGGTAAGTTGACAGTTTCGGTTTTTTTGGGGTTTTTTTTAAGTACCAGTACATAGGAAACATATATGGAAAAAGATGAAATTCAAAACCTGCCATCATAGTGTCTGCAAGATGTTATTGTAGCATTATAAACAAAGGAAAGCATAACAGAACAGAAAATATCAATGCATTAACTATTTTATCTGAGGAAGTATAGTCATGTAAAAAAGAACAGCCAGTGTTTATTGGCAGTTTAATATGTTAAAAACATTTTATGTATAAAAAAATATTATTCCCTGATGTGAAAGTATGATGATAAATCATATCAACCAGTTTTTACTAAAGGAATAAATTGAAATCGAAACATTTAATCAAATACAGGTGACATAAAATCATTATTTATTACCTGATGTTACATTTTTAATTGAAGACACTGTATTTTAAGTATATTGTTCTTGTTGATAGAGTATGGTGGGGAAGGAAAGGACGTTTTGTTGGATTTTTCGGACAGCATAGAATCTTCAGCTTCCCAACTTCGGAGGAGAAAGCTGGTACACCAACGTTACCTTATGACATCACAGAGGTACATAAATAAATGTCTTATAACTGGGTTTGTTTAGGTTACCTGCTTAGTTCAATAGGGAGAGCATTGGATTTCTAATCCATGAATCATAGGTTAAATTCTTGGGCAGGGCGTAATTTCTACATGACAGTTGATCTCAGACTTTATGTTTTATGGTCATTTGCCTCTCAACACTGATTCAGCAATCATATAGGATCAGTAGTCTGTTACTTGTGGAGAAGTTGATATTACTGGTTAGCTATCCAGAAAAGCTGGTGAACTGGATCAACCACTGAGAGATTACCAAAAATGTGTTAAAACAGCTCAAAACCAGATAAACAAAACATATCTATCTTTATAAATGTTTTAAACTAGCAATATATATTGCAAAACATTCCTGTTCTAGATGTAAGAAAGATAATAATGAACATTATGTACAACATACAAAAAAAAGCGTAAGTACAAATTGAAATAAAAAAAATTTTCTTGTAATAAATGTACATCTAAACAATTCCTTCATATACTTCAAAACGTGTAAAACTGAAACAATGGAGTCAGTCTACTCATTGTTCATTGTTCTAATAGTCAAGTTTTCTTGTAATTTAAGGGTCCGTTAGCCCCAGTTAAAACAAAGAGTGCCATACAGAAGATAAGACCAGTACAGAAATACGAGTATCCACTTATCTTTGATGAAGATAGGTAAGTTTTCTTGTTAAATTTCAGATATTATTTTAAAGAAATTGACCTTAAAGTTGCGGAATGTTTATTTAGCATATTAGCAGATTTATTAATCCTTACCATGTGAATTATCTTAAAATAACTGTCAGGGCCAAAACACAATTTTTGGGGAAGGGGTCTCAGCCTTTTTCTTGGGGAAATATTCATGATTTTGGCATACTTTGGGATAAAAGGTCTGAAATTTAACACAAAATTTTAACAAGTTCTTCAAAATAGAAAAGCAAAAAGCACTTGAAAATACTAATAAGGCAGTAAAAGACCTTAATTCAACACCATCATTTAATTTTGTTCTAAATTCTGGGCAAAATTTCAAAAGACTGGGGAATTTTGAGGACCAAACTGGGGAAAAAAAGGGGCTAGTTTGGTTGGGAAAGCAGCCTATATTCGGCCTCTACAAAGAAGGTTTTTTTTCGCCCTGACTGTCCATCTGTAAGCGCGCACAATACCATTTATCAGTTTTAGGGAAAATTCAAAAATTCTGAAATGACTGAATAGTGAACATTGCAGACCATAATGAGTCAGCAAGAATGTAATGGCTAAATCTGGTCTGCTTAGTAGTATCAGTTGCTGTCAGCAGATTAAATGTTAAAATGATGGTCATTTGTGCTCTGCACTAATTTTGTGAAATGGCAAATAACAGAGATAAAAGATCCGAACCAATCTGCTCAAGACTATTGTCGCCTTTCGTTGTCACTCACACAAACTTTCTTGCTTGAGACAAATTCTCAGCTGGAAAAAAAAGTTGTAGACATGTACATTGTATATGTATATTAATAATGTAATATAATTTAATAATAATGTTTTGAATGTGATAGATCCTATTATGTAAATTAAGATATTTAATTTTTGTTTTGCAATTTTCTGAAGAATGAAAATAAGTTTGTTCAAATTGTTACAGATGGCAACCATTTAAGAGATCAGCTTACATAAAACAAGGACAAGAAAAGAAGAAACCTTTGGATCCTCAAGATATGAAATTCTTTGAAGCTTTAATAAAACCAAAGGTTTGTAATAAACGATTTTGTTACAGTTTATATTCTGTGATAAAAATTATTATGTATGTTTTTGAAATTTAAGCTTTTCTTTGATACAGTTAAGGTACAACACAAGAATATAGGAGAAATATTTTTATTTCTCTCCTTCCTTTTTAGCTTGACTATACGACTACTCGCCCCCGCGTCCGCATCCAGATTTCAGATTAAAGTTTTGGTGCAGAAAAATATTTTTCATTAAAACTTTTTCATTTCTTATGGTATCAACTTCAAACTTCAAATATATGTTCATTATAATCAACCGCATCTAATGTGATAAAATTCTTAACTCTAGCACCAATATTTTCAGATTTATCTCCCCTTGAACTTAGATTTTCCTTAAAAAATATTATTTTTTACTGTTACTTCTTGATTTTTTTAAGGGATCAACTTCAAATATATGTTCCTTATCATCAACCACATCTTATGTGACAAGGTTCATAACTCTAGCACCAATATTTTCAGATTTATCTGCCCTTGACCTTAGAATTTTCCATAAAAAATATTATTTGTTACTGTAAATTCTTTATTTTTATGCTCCCGGGCATATAGTAATTGAAACGTCCGTCCGTCTGTCCGTCCGTCCGTCCGTCTGCACTACCGAATAGGGATAGGGGGCCATCTAACTGTAAACAGAACAAAGGAGAACAATAGAATTCATTCCGTAACAATAGAGTAAGGGGCCATTGGCCCTCTATTAAGCAATAGAAAATAACAAAAGAAAAGGCCCCTTGTTCCATTTCGGCCGGACAGCCGTCCGTACGAGGTTAACCTAGAACGGCAAGTTGGATTTTTCTTAAGTTCTACCTGTACCAATGGCTTCTTAGTTTACACACTTACTAATCAATACAAAGTACATGATCTGGTCAAGTTACATAACTATGGCTTCCATATTTACCAAGTTATTGCCCTTTTCAGTTCTTAGAAAATGAATAATGGTTAACCTAAAACGGCAAGTTGGAAATATCTTAAGTTCTATCTATACTAATGGCTTCATAATTTCCACACTTACTTATCAATACAAAGTACATGATATTGCCAAGTTATATAACTGTGTCATCCATATTTCCCAGTTATTTCCCTTTTTTCACTTTGAAAATAGGACCTTGTCTGGTTAACCTATTCCGGCAAGTTTGATTTATTGTAAATTTCTCTTAATTTCTTAATTTATTTAATGATATCCTGCTTATTTGGTAGGTGGATACCTTTAATGGTCCTCTAATTTTTTGTGGGGTAAGTGGTCTCTAGGGTCAAGGTCACTGGTTTTGAAAATAAATTTAAACATTTTTGCTCATACAGCCTTTATTTTTTGGTTGATGTCTTTCATGTTTAATACAAACATGCCAAGGGAGGTCCTCCTTCTTTGGGTATAGTAAGGGGTCTTTTGGGTCAAGGTCAATGTCACCAATGTCAAGGTCACCAATGTTAAAAATAGATTTTTACATTTTTACAGGTGTATTAACCATATTCTATAGACAGATGTCATTTATAATTGATAGGAACATAAAATTTGATGGAGTTAGTGGTCAGTTGGGTCAAGGTCACCAGTGCTAAAAATAGATTTTTACACTTTTGCTCATACAGCCTTTATTTATTGACAGATATATTTCATATTTGGTAGGAAGATAACTTGCATGGTATTCATCCTTTTGATTGGGGTAGGGATCAGTGGGTCAAGGTCACTTGTGCTAAAAATAGATTTTTACACTTTTGCCCATACAGGCTTTATTTATTGACAGGTGTTTTTCATATTTGATAGGAAGATAACTTGCATGGTATTCTTCCTTTTGATTGAGTTAGGGATCAGTGTGTCAAGGTCACTAGTGCTAAAAATAGATTTTTACACTTTTGTCCATACAGCCTTTATTTATTGACAGGTGTATTTCATATTTGGTAGGAAGATAACTTGCATGTTATTCTTACTTTGGATGGAGTTAGGGGTTAGTTTGGTCAAGGTCACAAGTGCTTAAAATAGATTTTTACACTTTTGCGCATACAGCCTATATTTATTGACAGCTTTATTTCATATTTGGTTGGAAGATAACTTGCATGTTATTCTTCCTTTGGATGGAGTAAGGGGTCAGTTGGGTCAAGGTCATCAATGCTCAAAATAGATTTTAACATTTTTGCCCATTCAGCCTTTATTTATTGACAGGTGTATATCATATTTGGTAGGAAGATAACTTGCATGATATTCTATAGGTGTCAGTGGGTGCCAAGTATAGATTTCTTACATTTATATATATTTGATAAAGTTGAATATTTTTCACTTCACAAGTCATAGCAATGACTTGGCAACTTATATATTTCACAATTACAAAATGCTATGACTTTGTCAAGCTATATAACATGTGTTTACAATTTTTATGCCCCCGGGCATATAGTAATTGAACCGTCCGTCCGTCTGTCCGTCCGTTTAACCTAAAACGGCAAGTTGGAAATATCTTAAGTTCAATCTTTACTAATGGCTTTATAATTTCCACACTTACTTATCAATACAAAGTACATGATATTGCAAAGTTATATAACTGTGTCATCCATATTTCCCAGTTATTTCCCTTTTTTCACTTTGAAAATAGGGCCTTGTCTGGTTAACCTATTTCGGCAAGTTGGATTTATCTTAAATTTCTCCTAATTGCTTAATTTCTTTAATGATATCTTTCATATTTAGTAGGTGGATACCTTTGATGGTCCTCTAATTTTTTGTGGAGTAAGCGGTCTCTAGGGTCAAGGTCAAGGTCACTGGTTTAAAAAATAAATATAAATATTCTTGCTCATACAGCCTTTATTTTTTTGTTGATGTCTAAGTTTAATACAAACATGCCAAGGGAGGTCCTCCTTTTTTGGGTGTAGTTAGGGGTCATTTGGGTCAATGGTACCAATGTCAAGGTCACCAATGTTAAAAATAGATTTTTACAGGTGTATTAACCTTATTCTATAGACAGATGTTATTTGTAATTGATAGAAACATAAACTTTGATGGAGGTAGTGGTCAGTTGGGTCAAGGTCACCAGTGCTAAAAATAGATTTTTACACTTTTGCTCATACAGCCTTTATTAAGTGACAGATATATTTTATATTTGGTAGGAAGATAACTTGCATGGTATTCATCCTTTTGTTTGGGGTAGGGATCAGTGGGTCAAGGTCACTTGTGCTAAAAATAGATTTTTACACTTTTGTCCATACAGCTTTTATTTATTGACAGATGTATTTTATATTTGGTAGGAAGATAACTTGCATGGTATTCTTCCTTTGGATGGAGTAAGGGGTCAGTTGGGTCAAGGTCACCAGTGCTAAAAATAGATTTTTACACTTTTGCCCATACAGCCTTTATTTATTGACAGATGTATTTATATTTGGTAGGAAGATAACTTACATGGTATTCTTCTTTTGGATAGAGTTAGGGGTCAGTTTGGTCAAGGTCACCAGTGCTTAAAATAGATGTTTACACTTTTGCCCATACAGCCTTTATTTATTGACAGATGTATTTCATATTTGGTAGGAAGATAACTTGCATGAAGTTGAATATTTTTCAACTTCACAAGTCAGAGCAATGACTTGGCAACTTATATTTTTCACAATTACAAAATGCCATGACTTTGTCAAGCTATATAACTTGTGTTTACAATATTTTGGCAATTTTTCTGTCCATAACTGAGTGAATGGGTAAACATTTTTTGAAATATTGCTACTGACAAGAATCTGAGCCGGGGGCATTTGTGTTTAACAAACATGTTCTTGTTTGGCAATGTTTCTGTCCATAACTGAGTGAATGGGTAAACATTTTTTGAAATATTGCTACTTACAAGAATCGGAGCCAGGGGCATTTGTGTTTTAAGGGACTACATTCATACTTTAAATATAATTATGTTCCTTATTATTAACCACATCTTATGTGACAAAGGTTCATAACTCTAGCATCAATATTTTCAGATTATCTCCCCTTGAACTTAAAATTTTCCTTAAACAATATTAATTTTTTACTGTTACTTCTTTATTTCTTAAGGGATCAACTTCATTCTTCAAATATATGTTCCTTATCATTAACCATATACAGTCAGAACTTGTATTAAGCGACCGCGCAAGGGAAACACCCAAAACGGCTGCTTAATGAAACGGTCTCTTAAAACAAAGCATGATAAAATGTCAAAATTTATACATGACATCTTCCTTTTGCGGTGGGAATGTTTTTCAACTTCATTTATATAAATGTTTAATAATTAGAACGCTCTGATAATCTAAATGGATGCTAATGTAAACGATTAACTTTCAGGTATTTATTGACAGATCAGTTTTTATCCATTACGTACATGTTTGACATTTTTCCAGAATTTTTTGAACTTCTCCGTTGTATTTCCTTGTCTCCAACACGAAAACCCTGATAAGTGAAGCTTTTTTTCTGTTGTGCATTTTTCATTTGAAATAAACAAACTACATCTGATTGTAACGATTAATTTAATTACTGATCAAGTTCAAGGTCAATTCAATGCAGTCTTAATATCAACAGCTAAGCGTATACACCATCTAAGTAGGGGCGGAGCGTTGCATTGTTTTATCGATATCATTGGATAATACACGTCACACATATACTTACCTTTATTTTCATACCTTTATTTTCATACACAAAAACGGTTTGGCAAATAGAGTTTTTCACACATTTATATATTGTGTTTTGATTGTTGACACTTGTGACATTACGAGGCAGCGTTCTCTAAAAACACAATTACATGACAGGTAAAAGTGGTCGTTTAATGAAAAGATTGATCTCAATAAGCTGACTAATTAGCGGTCGTTGGTCGCGTTGAGCAAAAGTCGCTTAATACATTAAAGATATAGAGAGAAAATGAACAGGGGGAATTGAAAGTGGCCGCATAAGACAAAAGTTGCTTAATACATGTGGTCGCATGGGCAAGTTAGACTGTATTATGTAACAAAGTTCATAACACTAGCACCAATATTGCTAGAATTATCTCCCCATTAACTGAGATTTTTTTACTTGAAAAATGTTATTTTTTACTATAATTTCTTTAGTTTTAAAGGTGTTTACCTCAAACTTCAATTACATAATACTTATCTTCAACCACATCTTATGTGACAAGGTTCATAACTCTTGAAGCAATATTTTCAGATTTATCTCCTTTTGAACTTAGATTTTTCTTTAAGAAATTTTATAACTTCTTTACTTTTTAAGGTATCTACTTCAAACTTCAAATTTTTTATTTCTTGTCATTACACACTTGTTGTGTGACAAGGTCCATAACTGTAGTTTGACTCTTTCCAGAATTATTCCCCCTTGAACTTGGAATTTTTGTTAACAACTATAACTTCTTGTCATTAGAAGAAATATATTTATATCATAATTGATTTTTCTTTCATAGTTTTGTCTTCTTTACTGCATCCATTATTTAATTAGTTGAGCTTCCCTGTCTCCTGTGACAGCTCTTGTTAATTTTAAAGATTACAATTTGTTCTCCACTGCTTTTTAAAAAATAAATGTGTAGAATTTGGAAGTTTAGATATAATTATGTGCAGAAGAAGCTATTGGAGTGAAAAAAAAAACGGATTTAACTCAATACAGGATTGGAGCAGTACCTCTAGACGCTTGCAGAAATCATGATCACAAAAAAGACAAATATCGTTTTTTTCGCCGATATTTACATGTTTCATTCATTATCATACCTAAATCGGTGTGAAAAGATGAATTAGACCTATTAAAGTTCATTCCGTTGGGTAAAAAGGCAAGATTTTAGCATTTTATCATTCAAGCGCCTTGTCCGGTTTATACCAGAATACGGTATTTAGTGTGGTGCTCCAATCCTTTTTTTAGTCTCACTCAAAAAAAACAACAACATAAAAGTACTGATGCAAAATTCAAAAATACTTTTTAGAAAACTGCCCATTGGTATGAGTGAAATACCACTATACTTGAAGAACAAAATACAACTTGTTTTTATCCCAGATATAAAATCATAATTTTATGACTGTGAAGAAACGAAACAATAAATTTGACAAAAAGTACTATAAATAGTTAAATATTTCATTGCAGGCATACAATTACCATTTAGAGGGTGTTGCTCCTGGGAAGAAGAGAGATGGTGCTGTATTTAGAGCTCTTCCTGTATACAGGGTAAATTAAAATACAATAAAATTTTGTGTCTTTTGGCTATTGTAAAATAAATAACTAAACCTATTAGTAAGGCCATGTCTAGTCTTTTTAGAGGATTTCTTGTTTCTTATTGACATATACATGTATATTACTTGTGACTTAAATGGCACATGTCTTATTGTTTCAATACAGAAATACAATGTACCTGTACCTTAAAATTCATGCTTATACCTACAAAGCATGCAGACAAATATTTTCCATTATGAAAGTTAATTTGAAATAATTAACTTAAATGTTTTGAAAATGATTTGCAAGTTTTTTTTTCCTCAAATAATTTGAGAAAATTACAAAATTTTACAGGTGCGAACCCCAGATGTGCCTAAGACACCCCCTCTGGGTTCCTTTAGAAGTCACGTAGATGTAACAGATGGACCTCAACCAAAGGTGAGCTAATTTACTCAAAAAAATCTTATTTAATTTATCTTTTTTGCAAAGAAAGATAAGTGAAATTCATAGTTGCAAATTTCTTAGTGTGAGAATTATATTTATGTGGATAAGTGATTATTTCTTATCGAGCATGATGTTGGTATGTCTGTGACCAAGTGGTTAAGGTCTGACTTTGAACCACTTGCTTCTCATTGCTGCCAGTTTGAATCCTTCCTGTGACTCTCATTCTTTCATGTGAGGAAGCTATCAAGCTAGGTTATGGAACATCAGTGGTTCTACTCAGGTGCCTGAAATAATGCTGGGAAGGGCACCTGAGGTCTCCTCCACTATTAAATCTGGAAAGTTGCCTTATGACCTTGGACATAATACCCAACCAAAAAAAATAAATAAATAAACATATTGTCATGGAGACAATATCTGATAATTGGAGAATATGTTCCAAAACTAGGGATTAATTTGTACACCAATTGAAAGATGATAACATGTTTAAATCATCTATTAAGTTTATAGTTTGATTTCATCATTACATACAATTTATATATATTTATCTATAATTTGAAATATGATGTCATCAAAATATCTGATTATGTAGATTTAAGATGGTCTTACCTTTCAGATTAGTCTGAAAGTTGTAATTGTCATTGATTTTTTTAACCATGATATTAAATAGCAAAACTGATTTACAATTATTTAAGTTTATAACACAAAAATGTATATATAAAGTGTATGTTTCATGAAAAGAAAAATTTCCTCAATATTTTAGTTTTGTGCATAGTTTTATATTTTCATGCTTTTTACACTTTTCTGGTCTATATACTGCATGTTAATAGCTATATAGGATCATAGGATGTTTTATAATCTAGTAGACTCTTGTAGTTCCTCCAGTTCACAAATATACCTTACTTCTTTTTTCTGTAATTTTGACTTATATGATTATGCATAACATATTTCAAAAATAAAATAATGACATAATTGTGGAGGATTGTCTCGTGATGAATTGTAAACTACCACAAAATGACACTATACCACAAAAACACTATATTTAAATAAACTGTTAATTCTCATCTGACTGACTGATGTCAGTTGATTTTAGCTAAATTTGGCTTAATGAAAGTATAAAATTAAGTTTCAGTGCTTTCAAAAGTCAATGAAATTATCCTTTTGCCATTGTATATACTCAAGCTCTATATTATGATAGGCACTGATGTGTCGGCTGATCTTGGACTGTACTGGTCTCATGGGTAGAACAAATATGTCTTATTTTCTTGGACAATTTTGCATGCTTGCATTACTCTTGCTCTTTCTGCACTTTTACTAATTATCTATCATTTCTATTGCTATGGTTACAGTATTAGGAGCTTCTGTAAGAAAACAAAGGTTAGACTCCACATCATTGTTAAATCTCACACATACAGTTTGGAGCCGAATGCTGTTGTTGTTTGTTGTTTTTTTGTCACAACTCATACACATCAGTTTTGTAATTTTGTTTAATATCTGTTTTCTGTGTTCCTTTTTGTCCTAATATACCATAGATAACTTGAAATATTGCAAAATATAAAAGAAATTTGTAAAGTTTTCAATCAGTTTTTCTGTATTATTCAATTAAAGGACACACTATCCATTCTATATTTCAAATTTGAGTCTCAATAATGCATCTTATCAGCGTACTAAAATGTATGTCTTTCAATAAGAACAGTAAATATCTTAGATACAAGTTTTTATCACGCTGTTAGAAACTGAGTGAATAATAAAATTTTGGTTCCTGGTCTTCTAGTATATATTGAACGACAAAGCAAAGTAGAATAGGCAAAGTTTTAAGATTTTAATTACATCTTGTAAATCAGTGCAATTTGGCACCACTTTCGGAATTGTCTGGCTAGGCTAGGTGCATGTTAGATATATAGAAAATTTGGTTTTATATATAAAATTTGTTTGTTTGCTTTGAGTAAATATTGAAATAATTATGCTGCATGTCCTTTAAATGGCATTTTAAAAAATATTTTCACGTAGTCTTTGTGCTTTTGTAAATAATTTAAAAATCTCACTTCTTAGTGAAATATACATGTCTATTCCATAATTATGATATTTACTGAAAACAAACAGAAAATCTCTATTTATTTGACACATTGACAGTGTGTAAACAACGTATGTGAAATTAATCATTTAGAATAATACTTCAAAATTGTTATAACTTATTCTAGATCGTTTCTTCCTTTAGTTGATTATGATATAATACATCTATTTCACAATTTTTCCTGGCACAATACATGTATGCAAGCACCAGTGATCTATTATATACATTATACTTGGCAGTACACTACATTCTTTAAATATTTTTTTTTCTAATTTAGGCTTATCACCCTAATCTTTGCTGTATCATCTGTTAAAACTCTTAAGAAACAGTTCTAGATTATAGTAGAAAATGCAATATTATTTTAACGATATTAAAGTCTTTTTGCAATTATCTTTTACTGAACTTTGTTTATTTTTTTCCATAGTGCTTCTAATGCTTTACTATCAAGTACTTAAATTTTCTTTGTAGAAGATACATGAAAAAAAAGTGATTTTTAGTTTATGATTTGCAGTTTGAAATATGTATAAATGTAGTTATATGTTATATGTTAATGGTAGTGTGTAATATGTGTGTGTTAACCCCGTGTGCAGTGTGTTCTATCTCTCTATAATACCTCTAGCGATCTACTGCTCAACAACCTAACCTCCGAGATCGCCGCGGTGTGATGACTAATTCTAACTCTCGCTTCTCAACCCCCGCATCCCAGCGTCATCCAAGAATGCAAAAACTTTATCTTCAAATGCAGGACAAACAAAAGGTGAAAGTTAATAAGGAAGGCAGTTCGACGTCGGTAAGTAAAGAACGTACACACCCTGTAGATGCTGTAGAAACACCCTGGGTCTTGGTAGATATATTACTTACACCCCTCTCAACCCCTTTCCCTGCTCAATAATATAATAATTAACGGACTTGCTTTGCTCTGAATTAAGTCCATCAAACATTTACAATAACTGTGTAGCAAACAGATCAAAATATAACTGTGTAGCAAAAAGATCAAAATATGCATTATGAAGTCAGGCTGCTTTGATGTGTATAATAGCCTGACTCCATACTGGTGATGTTAGCAAGTTATTATTGCAGAAGGTATTTAAAGGAGCAGGCTAGCGCTATAGCTAGTTTAAATATTAAGTGTCCACAACAATTCCTTTTCAGCCTTTTCAGAGTATCCCATAAATCACATTCACCTGAATAATAGGTGTCAGTCTGAGCTAAGAAAAATTGTATATTGTAACAAGAGTCATTGCCCCTGTTGTAACTTTAAAAGATTACAAAGTGAAATGATATTTGAAATTGGTGTAACTTATTGGCTGTTACCGTACAGAGCAGATAGAAATAAGATTCATGAAATTGATTGATTGATTGATTGATTGATTCAATTTTTATTGATTTTTTCCAGTTTTCATTCTTGCCCATAATATTTAATTGAATAATATACATACATTTTTGCATGGTTTAATATTTTCTCAAGTTTGATTGACTAAACTTTAGACTAATAATAGGAAATAGAAAGTAGATTATGAAGAATTGTATTTGCTAATTGGATGTTTTTATGTGATTTTTTTATGTAGGATGAGTCATCAAATAATTAAGTAATTTTTGTTGTGTGCTGCTGTTATATGTTGTGAATTTGTAAAGCATTGCATAAAAAAATGATGTGAAGATATTGCCTTGCATTGAGAAATTTGTTTGAATTATATTTAGAATTGTTGTTTGCAAATTTTGAGATAATTTTAGTTATGGTTGATGTCATTATGCCCCCGCCATGTAATGGCCGGGGCATATAGTGTTACCCTGTTCCGTCATTCCGTCCTTCCATACTTCCGTCCTTCCATCCTTCTGTCATTCTGTCATTCCGTCATCATCAGTTTCCGTTCATTATCTTAAGAACGGTTGCACACATTCAACTCAAATTTTTGACCAGGAATGGCATGTCATGAGATCGTCAGTACGAATTGTTCATGGTTCGGATGATTTTTGGCAGAGGTTTGCCCATAGTTTACTTTTTGAAATTAATATGAATATTCAGATTGTCCGTGCTTATCTCCCCAAACGAGTCAACACATTCAACTCAAAACTTTGACAGATGGATAATGTCATGAGAAAATACAGCGTCAAAGTTATCGAAATTTTTGGTTCGATGGTTGATGATGATTTTTGGCAGGATTATGCTCCTTTTACTTTGAAAATAATATGAAATTTTCAGTTTCCGTTTATTATCTCCCCAATAGTTCAACACATTCAACATCAAACTTGACATATGGATATGTCATGAGAAAATACAGGTCAAGTTCGAATTTTTGGTCGTGTTCGATGATTTTTGCAGAGTTATGCCCCTTTTACTTTGAAAATAATATGAAATTTTCAGTTTCCGTTTATTATCTCCCAATAGTTCAACACATTCAAACTCAAAATTTGACATATGGAATATGTTTTTGGAATGCCCAGGCCAAGTTGAGTTTGGTCTGGTTAAAAGTTTTTGGCAGAGTAATGCCCCTTATCAACTTTGAAAATAATATTGAAATTTACATTCTGTTCATTATCTACCCAACAGTGTTACATATTCAACTTAAATTTGACATATGGATTAATGATCTTAGGATTGGTAGGTCAATTTGGAATCTTGGTCATGGTTTGATGATTTTATTTGTGGCCAAGGTAATATGTCCACATATTCACTTTGAAAATATATAGATACATCTTAGGAATAAGGTATTGATTATGTTTGAGATTGATAGTTCAATGATTTTAAACAATTATCTTCCTAATGTTGGAAAAATTTTAGAACTTATACACGTTCAGATACTTACTTTAGCCATTATTTGGCTACAAATAGCTATGACTTTATTTAAAGGTTTAGACTGAATATTCAGTGCATATAGAACATTTTATAGAAATAGTTGTGTTACATTTGAAAAGTTTTAAGAGCTTTGAACTTAAAAATGAAAAAAAATAATTAAAGCCTATTGATTTTGGGTGCATGGAGGCATCCGTGCAATGATGAACAACATTTCTATTGTGAATATGGCACATCTAGTAGCCCCAATATGGCCACATCTGCCCTAGCCATAATATGACCAATTCTGTAGCTTACATTATGGCCAAGCCTGTAGCTTCAATCATGGCTAATTCTGTATTTACAAACTATGGCTAATTCTGTAGCCACAATATGGCCAAACCTGAGCTACAATATGGCTAATTCTATAGGCCCAAATATGGGGCAATTCTGGTAAAGCTACAATATGGTATCAATTCTCGTTAAGCCGACAAAATGGTCAATTCTGTAAGCTACAATATGGGCCAGTCTGTAGCTACAATGATGGCCAATTCTTGTAGCTACAATATGGCCAATTCTGTAGCTACAATGATGGCCATTTCTATAGCTACAATATGGCCAATTCTGCTAGCCACAATATGGCTAATTCTGTAGCCACAATATGGCCAATTCTGTAGCCACAATATGGCCATTTCTATAGCTACAATATGGCCAATTCTGTAGCTACAATATGGCTAATTCTGTAACCACAATAATTATGGCCTATTCTGTAGTCACAATAATTATGGCCAATTCCGTAGGCACAATATGGCCAATTCTGTAGCTACAATATGGTCAATTCTGTAGCCACAAATGGCCAATTCTGTTGCCACAATATGGCCAATTCTGTAGCTACAATATGGCCAATGCTGTAGCTACAATATCATATTGTAACCATATTATATGATCAATTCTGTAGCCACAATATGGCCAATTATGTAGCTACAATATGGCCAATTCTGTAGCCACAATATGGCTAATTCTGTAGCTACAATATGGCCAGTTCTGTAGCCACAATATGGCCAATTCTGTAGCTAACAATATGACCAATTCTGTAGCTACAATTATAGCCAATTCTGTAGCCACAATATGGCCAATTATGTAGCTACAATATGGCCAATTATGTAGCCACAATATGGCTAATTCTGTAGCTACAATATGGCCAGTTCTGTAGCCCACAAATATGGCCAATCTGTAGCTACAAATTATGACCAATTCTGTAGCTACAATATAAGAAATTCTGTAGCCGACAAATATGGCCAATTTATGTAGCTACAATATGGCCAATTCTGTAGCCACAATATATGGCTTATTTCTGTAAGCTACAATATGGCCAGTTCTGTTGCCAACAATATTGGCCAATTCTGTAGCTACAATATGGCCAATTCTGTAGCTATAATATGGCTAATTCTGTACCACAATATGGCCAAACATCTAGCTACAATATGGCAATTCTGTAGCTACAATATGGCTTAATTCTGTAGCTAACAATATGGCCAGATTCTTGTAGCACACAATATGGCCACAATTCTGTAGCTACAATATGGCCAATTCTGGTAGCTACAAATGACCAATCTGTAGCTACAATATAGCCCAATCTGTAGCCCACAATATGACCAATTCTGTAGCTACATATAGCCAATTCTGTAGCCACAATATGGCCAATTCTGTAGCCCACAATATGGCCAATTCAATGTAGCTGCAATGATGGCCAATTCTGTAGCCACAATATGGCCAATTCTGTAGCCACAATTTGGCCAATTCTGTAGCTACAATATGGTCAATTCTGTAGCCACAATATTGCCAATTCTGTAGCTAAAATATGGTCAATTCTGTAGCCCCAATATGGCCAATTCTGTAGCTATAATATGGCCAATTCTGTATCTACAATATGGTCTATTCTGTAGCCACAATATGGCCATTTCTGTCGCCACAATATGGCCAATTCTGTAGCTACATTATGGCCTAATCTGTTGCTACAATATGGCTAATTCTGTAGCTAAAATATGGCCAAACCTGTAGCTACAATATGGCCAATTCTGTAGCCACAATATGGCCAATTCTGTAGCTACAATATGGCTAATTCTGTAGCCACAATATGGCCAAACATGTAGCTTAAATATGGCTTATTCTTTTGTCCCAATATGGCAATTTCTGCAGCTACAATATGGCTAATTCTGTAGCCACAGTATGGATACTTCTGTAGCTACAATATGGCCAATTCTGTAGCCACACTATGGCCAATTTAGTAGCTACAACATTGCCAAACGGTAGCCACAATTTGGCCATTTCCGTAGCCACAATACAATATGGCCAAACCTGTGTCCACAATATGGTTCTAGCTCTAAAGGAAAACTGTACTCAAATAATCTCTGATGATAAACCATAAAAAGGGGTTTTAAAATTTTTCATATAATGGTACTTACAGTAGCTTGTGCAATAAAGGCACTGGGTGCAGTATTAAATCATAATAGGTGTGTTACAGGAAATTATTAGGAGGAAACAGACTTGAATTTAGAGCAAAATAAAAGTGTTTCATTGCATATATCACATAGTAGGCAAACATTGAGTTTGCACGAATTCGGCCAACTTTGTTTCTTTCCATATCTGATACCTTCTTGGGTGTTTTAAAAAGAGCTTGCAATTCTTATAACATGATAAGTATTCTGTCCTATCTTTAAGGAGTTAAATAAGTTCAATATAAGCGCACATTCAACATCTTACCAATTCTTTTACTTAAATGCCAGCAGCAGTTTCTCATTTTCAAATAAGTTTATGGTTTTAAAGTGTTTTATTTAAAATTAAAAATGTCAACAATTTTGCTATTATGTTGTATGACAATGTCGTTACAAAGCATCTCTGTTGTTTTTTATGTTTCACTGAGATTTATTTTCTGTGATTGTTTTGTTAAAACAAAATGAATCGAGCATAAAATTTAGAAAATGTTTGTGCAGTGATGGAAAATGTGCTTATTGTTGGTATGATTTTGATTTTTTTTAATTGCTTGTTCAGATAAAGTGTGTTGTGCATAAAGATTGTTGTGAAATTATTATTTAAAATTGGTGTTGTCAGAAATAGAAAATGAGTATTGCAATGTCATAATTATTGATAACTTTTGTTTATAATTTGGAGCTATATTGATTGTGAATTAAAACAACTTAAGATTTCATGTTTTGTTAATGATTTTCTTCAATAAATATAATTTACGACTTTTTTTTAAAGTATTGCGACTTAAGTACCTATTTAAAACACATCAAAGTCATTGTTTGTCATAATTTCATACTTTTATATTTTCCTGTTCCAGAAAAAATTTAAATGTATACTAACCATAAAACATATCAAATATTGATAAGTACTGTTGAATTTTCACAGTATCTCACAAAAAAACTATTCATGGCATAATTTAATCATGCATAGTTAATATCATAAACCAGATTAAGGGCATGGTAATAAGAAAAAATAACACATTTTCAGTAATTTTTTATCTAAATAAGTATGCATTATTTTCTTCTTTTATAATAATGTTAAAATATAAAATTTTGTATTACAGTTTGCAGTGAGTCCACGTAGAAGGTCGGTGTTTGGGAAGGCAAGTTCGATGGGCAGGTCATCAGTTGTGAGTCTATCAACAGGAACACCAATGCTTCCAACCATCACCACAACCCCATCATCATCTAGACAGTTACCATAGAAATAGCTTTATTTTAATTTCAAAATTGATTAAATATAACAAAATGCTGGCAAGTCCTTACTAGTTACTGACTGAATTTAGACTTGCTAAACAAATTTGGACTTTTTGAATGTTTTGGACTTGTTGAACATTTTGGACTTGTTGAACATTTTGGACTTGTTCAACGTTTTGGACTTTTTAAACGTTTTGGACTAGTTAACTATGGAAATCATATGCACACAAAGTTTAGAATATATGTGTACTGGTGATTTTTTTATGTCATTGTGATCAAATCTTTTACACCAACTTTATTTGAAAAGAAAACAAAATATTCAAGTACTGTTTGAAAGTGAATTATGACTATGGGTGAAAAAAGCATCTTTATGTTTGAAAAATGAATGAATATGAGTTTAACAAATCCCATTTTTGCTTATTGATAATGCAAAAATATTATGTTATAATATTTTATTGTAAATATATTAAAAGCAAAATAAACTGTGATATAATTTTCATCAAATATATTAATGCAATAATTTTCTTTGTCATAATATATATTATCTCAGGATAATCCTTCAGGGTTCTCGGTTAGCTCTTCAAGGTTTTCATCAAAGGGGACATAAGCTATAGAGGCTAAATGTTCAAGGACCAGCTTGTAGAGGGGCTAAAGGCATTACATTTATTTATAAAAGTAATTGTGTGTTGTTATTGTTTAAGAAATTGATGTCATATTGATTTTGAGTGCATTGTTGTAGAATAATGCACAATTTGATTTCATATATGCAGGAATACAATCATAAAGGCTGATAGGCCTGAGTGATTAATTACAAAGCATTTGAATGACAAACGGTGCTTTATAAAAATAATGCAAGAAAAATCTATTTCCATTCTAACATGCTGATAAAAAGAGAATTGATAAAAAATTTTAACTATATTGAGCGTAGAAGTTATTTTGCTGATGTCATTTGGTTTATTGATTTTAAATATGATGTCATATGACGTGTAAGCATTCATTTTTTATGCTGTGCATATATCATGTAATAATGTTCTTGATAGCTGTTTGGTAGGGGAATAGTGTAAAGTGTGTTAGAATGTTGTTTTTCTTACTTATTGTAAGGAAAAATGCCACCAGTGGCAGTATAGCATCAGGCCAGCTTGCTTGTCCTAGCAGTCTGACCTGGCTTTATACTGTTAACTGACCGATGTAAAAATTTATCTTGATATACCAAAATTAGTAATTGATTTTTCCAAAAGTACTGGAGGATATAATATTATTAAGTATTTGTTTTTTGTGATGCATTTATTATTGAAGGTGGTATGGACACCTTTTATTTGCCATTTGTCTGTGATACATTAGATTTTATCTATTTATATAGTTTTATTTATTCACTTAAAAAATTGAATTATTTTGTATATAGATGTGTTTAAGGTAAGTTATATTTATACATTGAGCTGTGATTTTTTGTGCTTCTACATAGATGTTTCCGATAATATTTAAAGAATATCTATGCGAAATAAACTTTTTGATAATCATTATTATTTTTCATCATATAAAGTTTCCTTGTGTCCATAAATTCTTTAAAGCTGTGAATTGGAGGGAAAGTATACACTACCATAAAGAAAAGTGACGCTATAGGTGTGTATGTCACTTTATAAGTGAATATAGGAAGACAGTTTAGGAGTTATGTTTCTTGGTCTCTGTTTTATGCCCTCTATATTCCACTTTCTACAATTTAAAGGAACTCCACTGAGGTCTAAAAGCCTAACAATAAAAAAAATTGAATTTCTTACATAGAAAATTTAGAGTGCTACCCGTAATGGCAAAAAAAAATTAAGGACAAAAAAGGGCACTAAAAGAGAAGAGGCTGACAAGATGAACAAAGGGATGGCTTTTGAGATGTTGTTGGTTCCTGTAATTATTTATACAATATAATTTTGTTCGAGTTTTTTTTATATCTTTGGGTATATAGCAGTACAGTGCTCTATTTTCAAAATTGTATATTCTTTTTGTATATTTTTGTTAATGTTAAATATATTGTGTAAGTATTTTACAAGAATATTTTTTTTAATGGTTTTTCAACTGATTTGATTGGAATATGAATATTTAGATCCAGCAAAGTATCTTTATTTAACAAATTAAATGAATAGATGGTATCCAGAGTTCAGCAAATGTGGGTGTTTTTCCATCTATTTCATGGTACAAACTTTATCTGTTATAGTTTCACGGTGCACAATTGTTTTTTTTTTAATAGAGTGGTAAATGCACTTATCATCGATATATTTACCAAATTGTAACCATGAAAGTTTGTTTGTATCCCAGAATTAGCTGGGGAAAACCCGACATTTGCCAAATTCCAAATTATCTCTATTCACTTGAAACAGGCATACTCTTTTGAACTCATGTAAGTTTTTTGGGGTTTCTTTTCATAAATGTAGTAAAACAGAGAAATTGAACTGTTTTTTATAATATGTCAAATGTTTTGCTGCTAAAATGTATTACTTTTCTAAATGTTTTATACCAAAAATATTAAAAATGGATTTGTAATACCAAAGATATTACACTTATAGATGTGTAATACCAGAAGATATTACACTTTCAAATATGTAATACCAAAGATATTGCATTGTATATGTGTAATACCAAAAGATATTACACTTATGAATGTGTAATACCAAAAGATATTACACTGATGAATGTGTAATATCAAAAGATATTACACTTATAGGTGTATACCAAAACTGATTATACTAATAAATGTGTAACATATACCAAGAGTATGTTTAAAGTATTATTTCACTCCTAGATTGCCAATTATGTGATAAATGTTTCTGACTTGTTACCATGACATTGTGTTAGATTATTTAAAAATAAAATGATAAAAACTGACATTCATCTTTATTTATTTCAATTTATTCTATGAACATATGTCAAACAACTTTCGTATAATAGCTGATTTTTGGCCATCTTACCACAAGAAAGAAATGCCCATGGCAGAAATCAGCCATAATTTTCCATTTTCTTTAAAAAAAAAATAAGAAAAAAAACAAATTTAAGTGTTGTGTTTAAAGGGGCATGCATACACTTTTACAACAATTTTAACTATGAAAGACAGTTATTTTGTAAATTATCAGAAATAAGGTGTTTTCAGTGCATCTGAGAAAGGCACTGGTCTGATACCAATAGCAAGAACTTATTTCCCCTAGCATTTATAGGGTCAATAATTATTAAAATATCTGTAAAGGAAATGACAATTTATCATTTTGTTATTTTATCTGATAGCATGCCCCTTTAAACAATAAATATGGGCATTACATACTATCAAATAAGTTCCTTAAATATACATTTATCTAAAAGAAAAGCTAGGTACCAGTAATAAAAATTCTGTATAATATTATCAAAGCCAGAGTAAAAAATATTGTGTAGACATAAAACATACTGAAAGTATTCACTCGGTCTTCATATAGAAGTTATAGTATTTATCATATTTGTATATGACATGTTTGCTTTTAGCATAAAAAGTATAATAAAATTAAACAAATGATTAGCAACCTTCCAATATGAAAACGTGTACCAGTCAAGAATACATGATTATACATATAAGATCTTGTTACTATGGAAGTATATATGGCAGATTTTTCAAAATTAATCTTAAAAGATGCACACCACTTACAAATACACATAAGTTGTTCTTATTTTGATGAACATACTGCATTGTGTTATAAATATTATATTCAATCCATTCTGGTTAAGAAGTTTGTGATAATGCCAGAAAGCCATCAGCAATTTATTCCCTTCAAGATGCCAATACATGCCATATGCCATTAGCACTCTATTCCTTTAAAGAGGCCAATAAATGCCATACTGCCAAAAATTCCTTTAAAGAGGCCAATACATGCCATATAAACTAGTGTTCCACGCAGTATATAATTCTTCTATAACTCAACAGAACAGAACAGATTGTTACAGTGTTTATACAAATCTGTGATATGCAGAAAGAACACCGTGACCATATCACGTGAGAATGGATATCTAGGTCTTTCTTACCTGGACAGCTCAAGCAGTCAGTTTTTGCATGTATTTTCTGAAGAAAGAAGCTCGTTTGGTAGACAAATAGGAAAGGAGTGTGAGTGGAGAAGAAGAAGCCTTAAAAGACAAAATTTAATTATATAAAGACTAAAAAAATAGAGAAATAAAAGTTTACAAAAGTAGATTAAAATACCCTAGAAAATAAATAGCTGATATAAAAATAGAATGCAAAAATTGTTCAAAATTTTTTGGTTGGTACAATTCCATAATTTCATTTTGATTTCACTTTATGAAGTGCTGCAGCAAATTCTTTCTGTATCTCCGGTTTGTCATTGTTCTGGAATGAGACAACTTTCTTGATTTCTCCTTCTGCCTTTTCTGATTGGTCAGTTAGATCTTTGTTCATCCAATCATTTTCAAACACTGCATGGATGCCTGGCCGCTCCTGAAACAGCAAAAAAATATATTATTGACAGTGATACAAACGCTTTTAATATAAAATAGCAAGGAGTATATTAATAATTAACAAGTGTTTTTTTTCCCAAACATACTCAACATTAGGTACGCACAGTCAAAGCATAATGTCGCGTTTAATGTGCGTCTAATAAAAATGTTCCGACTTGAACGTGAATAAATACGGCAAAGTAAATAGTACCGCCATAACATTATTAATATCATGAGAAATAATTGAGAAATCTTTATTATAGATTACTTTGGAATATATTAAATTTGCTAATAATAAAGAATATATTAAATATTGGAAATTGCAGTAAAACACGCAGTAACAAATTTTTTTCCCTGAATATGATGAATTATTGTTTTATCAAGACTGAAATAGGAAAAAGTCCTATAAAGGAGATTTAACGTGGTAATAGTTGATATTCATTTTAGTTTATTAAGTCTTACTATTCGTGATCACCATTAAGATACGTCTTGTACAATTCGACACTCAATCTTGTAATAACGACACAAAGGTTGGTTTTCTTCAGGCACGGTCATTCACGGCAACACCAATTATTTTTATTATCATTTTATAATATTTATTTATTTATTTTTCATTTATTTATTTATTTATTTTTTGTAAAAAAGATCCCAGAATGAGTCAGGGGAAATTGTGATATCCAAAGAGACACGATGAAAAAAAATGATGTCTCTGATTTAACTTTTCAATATTTTTTTCGGAACCTTAAATATGTCTTATAAACTGGGTAGTGTGTGGGTAGATACATGTATGTTACAAAACATGACAGATGTGTATATACTAAAAAGCACATTATGCCTCGAAAATCCATATTTTTTTAATTCTTTAGAAATGTCAAACATGTGTTTAATTATGTTTACATAATGGTCTCCCATCATAATAATGATAATATCTTTAAAAGTTTAACTATATTACAAAATTTTGCTATATAAAAAAAATTAAATCAAAGCAAATTACTGGCTACAGATACTGGTGAACAGACGATATTCACCACAAACCAACGATTGTTGCACATGGTCGATTGCTTTGTTCTACATGTATATTTTTTGTAAAGAAAGTAATTTCTGTAAAATATATACTCGTTTTTATTACATGCTTTTCGGTGGTTTATAGAAATATATCAGTGATATAAAACTGGTAATTTCACTGTTTGAAACAGTGAAATTACCACTTTGATAATTTCACCGTTTTGAATTTAAGCCCCTTACGTTGTTTCAGTGAAATACCAGCGTGCACAGTAATGGGTACCAACCTAATGACGTGACGTCGTTAATGACGTCACGTTGTATTATTATTTGGCGCGCTTTTCATTCAGTATTAGGTTTAATGTCTTTTCAAAACGTTTTTTTGCATGTTATAAAAAGAAAATTTGTTTAGTTTAGTGTAAGATCGAAATATATTTCACCTTGTGAACACCAAAAGTTCATATTTATTCAAGTTAAAATAAAGTTAAAGTTCAAATATACCTTTTGGTGCTCACTCGGTGAAATATACTCCGATCTTACACTGAACTAAACAAATATCCTCTATATACTGAGTTTAAAGTACGTGATCATTTCTATTGGAATTAGTTTTTAAAAAAATATTAAATGTTCCTTATAATTCATTACGTCATCAACAGTAATGATAAATACATGCATTATAGGCATTTGGCATTATAGAGAACTACACTGTTTTTGTGAAAACTGACATATAAGATATGTTTGTGTAATGGCATGGTTGTTTAGTTAGTATTTATCTGAGCAAAATCTCACACAAACTGATGTTTTACAAATCCAGTTGACAAATAAAGAATGAATTCTGTGTTACTAAGAACTTAAGAAACTCGAGCCCTAACATTAAATTATTTATGGGAACATGTCTATGATATAAAAATATGAGACATATTTTTTTTAATCTTCCAATTTAAGGGTTCAACTCAGTATCTGTATTTTGAGTATTAGAAGTTAACACTTTTGTAGCACGTGCGTGAATTAAATGTCTAAGTACATTTTTTATAACGTCCGCCACTGAGACATAATATTCACAAATCTGCAAGTACGAAAAAATTAACTGTCCATTATTCTGATAAATATTGGAATGAAAAGTATCCAATAAGTATATAATTATAATCATAATTTTATAATAGTCCTCTTGTACTTAAAACTCACTGTCCAGAGTGTTAACGAATCGTCCCCCCCCCCCCAAAAAAAAAAAAAAAAAAGAAAAAAGATTGCGTTTAGAGAAATCTAAGTCTACCTCATCATACCCTTACCCAGTTTATTTTTACCTTATAAAACAAACTATTTATATTGGTAAGATAATCTTAACCGAAAAAATAAAAGTCATTTTACCTTGTACTGATTTTGAAAGAGCCACAAAATTAAACTCTTAATTTCTGGCGTCACGTATTTGAACTTGTGCCACGGGAAGTTAAGCTTTTTCTGTTCCTCGAGAACTCCATGATTTCCTTTACTTTCATCATAAGGCATCTTTCCCGTGATGAAAATGTAAAGTATAACACCCATTGCCCATATGTCGGCCTTCTTAGGATCGTAGGGTTCACCCCGCAGTATTTCTGGAGAAGCGTACGATTTAGAGCCGCAATATGTCTTGCTAAGTTCTTTCATGGAATTGCTCTTCACAAAACCAAAATCACAAATTTTAATGTTGAAACAATTGTCAAGCAATAAGTTTTCAAGTTTCAGGTCCCTGTGAGTGATGTCTTGATCATGTAGGTAACGAACGGCATCTCCAACTTGTCGGATCCATGTTCTCGCTAAATGTTCTTTGATTGCACCAGATCTTTGAATATAACGTAAAACGTCTCCATTCTCGGCAAATTCCAGGATCATATAGACGCGGAAATTGTCTTCAAACATCTCGTGCATTCGCGCAATATTTGCATGATCCATTCTTGGCCATATAGCTAATTCACGTGGTAAAAATCTTGTCTGAAAATCTCTTGGAGCTTTGTTCCGGTCAATTATCTTAACAGCAGCTTTGGGATAGTCATAGTTTTCAAGGCAGTAGGCAAATTTTACCTTAGAATAGCTACCGCTGCCGAGTGTCTGTTTCACAAGCAATCCCTTCTTTGCTAGTACAGCACGATATGTTGGCCGGTAAGTTACTGTTTCAATTTTAGTGGATGACGATTTACGAACTTCTATTGGTTCAACTTCAGCTTTCATGGTTTCAAGATCATTCATCATGACTGCTTCCCATGACGATGAGTCTTCTCCCATCTCTATACGTGGTCGTTTAGAAGGCAACATCTACAGAACTATTCTGTATGCGCATTTCAAAAGAAGTCACCAAACGTTCAATAAAATTGATCAAAACATTGAGTTCAAAATTGTATAGTCAACCATTTGTTATATGCCGCTTAGCAACTTTTAACTCGAAAACGAGGTTTATGTGCACATCGTCGTTTGTTCATGTGTTGTTTACATGGCGACGTCGGTAAACAATATCTAAAAAACTGACGTCTTTGCGTAAACGTCACAATGCAAATTAGCGCGACGCCGTAACGACTACATTAGCGGGAAACAGATCTGCACCTTTTTTTTTAACAAAATAATTCACATTTGTTTTAAAAATGGTGTAAAATGATCAAAGAATGAGCGGCGGGAAAGAGTCTGTGATTGTTATGAGCGATGAGGAAGTTGAGCTCAAAAAACGCGGCTACTCCCTAGGAACATCACTTGGTGAAGGATCTTATGCGAAAGTCAAGAGTGCATTCAGCGAAAAACTTCAAAAACGGGTTGCACTGAAAATAATAAATCGAAAGAAGGTTCCGAAAGATTTTCGAGAAAAGTTTTTACCAAGAGAACTGCAAATTATCGGACGAGTTGACCATCAGAATGTAATAAAGATGTACGAATTAATGGAATTCCACAACAAGGTAAAACTTCACTATTTTTCAGTTATTTGTAAAAATATACTGACAAAATAGTAAGAGCGCTTCTGTGCCGTTTACATTTAGATCATACGATTGTCTCTCTTCATAAAACATGTCAAATTTTATGTTATCCACATACGTAGTTTAAGAGAACATTGTAAAAAGATGTAAATTTTTTTTAAAAGGGATCTCGATGACCAGGACATACCGATTATCGCTTTTAATTAATCGTATTGTATTTCTATCGCACCAAATTGCCTAAAAGACCGTGAGCCGTATATCTTTGGTACCATTTTTTTCTGAGGAGGATGTTGTTTCTACTCACGTATTTTTTTTTCAAACATGTGTTTCAGATATGCAGAAAATTTATATTTAGTCATACATTTATGGAGTCCGTTGTTTCTTTCTTTTAGGTATATATTGCAATGGAGCATGCTGGTCACGGGGATCTGTTAGAATTTATCAAACTGCGAGGAGCAATTCCAGAGGAAAAGGCCAAAGTTATGTTTAGTCAGTTGGCTCATGCAATAAACTATCTTCATAACCGTTTTATTGTCCACAGGTAAAATTATAAATTAAAGATTGAATCGAATAGATAAATAAAAAATGAAAACATTCAGGCTTTGAATTTTATGAAAAAATCATATTATTAGAAAAAATAGCAATTGTATTTAAATCGTTTTGTCGAATACACACGGATCAATACAGTATATACTATGTTTATATAAATGAACATATAACATTACTACTTTAATAGTTAAGATAACTTTAGAATATAGAAAAATTCTGTGAATGTCTTTGATAGGTAGGATTTATTAGCATTTCTAAAGAAATCAATCATTCCGATTCGTTTGAGAAATAGTGAAATTTAATACCACAGAAAGTTTGCTTTAACTTAAGTTCCCAAAGGACGAGAAATCTGTTCAATACTTTTTTCAAAAGTTTCAGATGATTTTAAATCCGAGGATCATCTCAATCCTTAAATGACAAAATTTATACAAATCGTATCCTTGTAATTGCTGCGAATAGCGAACGGTAGCTTTGTGATTAATGTTTGTGCCTCTTAAGACTGTGCCTACATGTATCTCGAGTTCGAACCTTACTCGAGTCGCAATAAAATGCCAGTTAAAGTTAGTCACAGAAGAAGTGAATTTCAACATGATTTCAGTTTGTTTATACTACCAGTATCAATGTTTTTACACACAAAAAGAAAACAAACAAAGAAACAAAAAACTATATATGATATAAAATACCCTGTATATATTTAGATACATCTCTGGAAAACTTTAATTATATGTAATAACTAATCATTTCAGAGATCTTAAGTGTGAGAATGTGTTGCTAGACAGCACTAACAGTATCAAAGTCACTGATTTCGGGTTTGCTAGGACGTTCCAGGCTGGAGACATCAGCAAGACCTTCTGTGGAAGTGCTGCCTATGCCGCACCGGAAGTCCTTCGAGGTCAACCTTATCACCTGCCACTTCACGATGTCTGGGCAATGGGCGTGATCCTGTATATCATGGTATGTATTGGTTTAGATTTTTACTACATGTATTTTTATGCTTCACGACAACAGGTGTCAACTGCTGTATTGAAACTGTACAAAGATGGCACGTACTTTCATTCAGCGTTGTTATATAATTCTGGTCCTTCGGAATCATTGATTCCAGCCCTTTAAGTATTGAAAATTGAGTACCGTTCAAGCTGGTACTAGGGGCTTGAGAAATGTTGCACTTTTTCATTATCATTCATGTAAAGACTCGATCATAGCGAGTAATTTTGTTATAATCAATACTTCCGAGGAAGGTAAAAAATAAATCTTGCGTGCGCGCATGTTTTGAAAATGGAAAAATAAAAGATACTTTTATTTTAACATAATACTCTGTAAGATGGAAAAAAACACATCTTTTTATTTGATTTTTTTTTATAAAATACAACGTTAAGAACGAAAACGTGCTTTAATTATTAGCTATCCCTGTTGCAGGATATTTAAATGCATATTTAACTATTAATTGATAATTATCTTCTTTCTTGTCCAAACGTTCAAGTTCTTAACTAACCTTCCGTGTCCTTAAACTGTTCAAAATTTACTCTATATATATGGCTCTGAACATCTTAGCTTTGAACAAAACACAAATATCTTAAGGTTCGTCCAAAAATTAATACATTGTCGCCATAAACGTTTTATATCGTAGTGCTTGCGCATGTTACATAATGACTTCATAAGCAAGAATTATACATTATATCAACTGTCTTATCTGTAGCATAACTCACTTCCACACTATGGCACTTTTATCACTTTATTTGTAAAATTATATTTTAAAACATTACACGTTATTTGACGAGTCAGCCGTCATCCTTTCCAACCCACTGAGGAAGTGAATTTATATTAATCTTGGACTTGTTTTCAAATCCTCTTCCGAATTTAATTAAGTTATGAAGTCATTAGCATTGTTTTACCTTTTTATTTACATGTATATCTTCAGTCATACATGATTTTTGGTAAACAATGTCTTCTGGTTGTAATGTTTGAAAATTTGGTAATAAATAGTGTTTAAACTAAATGTACATGTACATTGATTATTGTGAGGTGCAATAAAACATAAAATGTAAACTTATATTCAAGCAGAATTGGTTAAGGGACCCTACCATCTTATTTTATGTCATTCATGCATGTGCCTCGAAACGAGACCAGTCATCCTAGCCGACTGGTCCACAGTACGTACATAGTAACTGGAACCGTTTTAGAACATAGATCTTACAATTGTAATAGGTCTATTACAATAAGTTACATGTGACTTAAGTCCCAGATATTACCTGCAGAAACTTTGGTTCACGGTTCTTATACAACAACTAGTGAAATAACATGAACGAACTGGTTTGCGTTTGTATTCTCTATTCACTTTGTGTCACTTCTAAAATAAATTACAAGTAACTAAATAATCATGCTTGATAATATAAATGTTTATTTAAAAAGTAAATACATGATACTTATTAACATCTGAATTGCTATGGTTTTCAGGCATGCGGATCAATGCCTTATGACGACTCAAACATCAAGAAAATGGTGAAAGACCAGACAGAAAAACGAGTTTCCTTCTCGAAATCTAAACCTGTGTCAGAAATTTGTAAAACTCTTGTTCATAGAATCCTCGAGCCGAACAGCAAGAAGCGGACAACCATTCCGCAAATGTTTGAGCATCCTTGGCTTTCAGGGTTGTCCAAGTCATAATCGGAACCGGAAGCGACTAGGATGGAGAAATTGTCGGCTGCGCAAAAAATAGATTTAGGAGCGACACATAAAACTTCCGCAAAATAAACCTGAATGTAACTTGAATATATAATAGTTAATTTTTATTTTAAGTGAATTGTGTACAATAAAATGTGTTGCTATTTAGAGAGTTCTGTTGTGTAATTTATTATTTCTTGCAAATATTTGCGTGCACGTGAAACATAATTATGAAGCTGCTTTTCGATTTTAAATTGCTTTATTTGTATGTAATTATTCATTTTTAGTCTATAGTTAAGTTCGATATATTTGTAAGAGCAATCATACCGGAGCATAGTACACTGTTATATTATCTAAACATACCATATTAGTTACCAAGTGTGGCTTTTAAAGACATACAATGTCCCCGATTATGCTAATCTCTAGTTAACTCCCGGCCTTCTGGTAGCAACTAAATCTACCCATACGACCAGTGCAGACCAAGATCAGCCGACGCATACGTGCCATATGATCGTGGTCTGCACTGTTCAGTATTTAATGACAGTTGGTAAATATACTGAAATGTTACCTAAAATAATGAATGTTTTTGTCCCAAATGAAAATTAGACAAGTCTTCTTAAGATATTAAGTGCAGTAAATGTTAAAGACAACCTAGATCTATTAATGCCACTTTGCGATGCTGGTATAAATCATAATTCAATGTTGGCAAGGTTTTTTTTATACATAATTGGTGTGGTTGGTGATTTCTCTTTACAAGAATTAAGCCAGTGATCGTTAAATACCATGGTAATATGGAGCTAAACTAACTCAGGCCCCACTCACTAGATGCTTATTATATTTTCAAGGATTTAGTTTAAATATATTTATTTAAGCTCAATTGTGAAACAAGTTCTTACATCACTTTCGAGTGTCCTTCCTGGAACCAACCAGCACTGGTTCATATAAAGAAATATGGTAGGGACCCGATTAAGGCTCAAACCCATAATGAGGCAGATACCTTAACCACTAGGCCACCGCTACCCTTATTCTTATTCCCGTTATTTCCAAAGATTGTTGATGGTTATAAAAATGAAGAAATTGAAAAATCTTGCTGACAATGTCACATACAAGACTGTTTGACTAAAACACTTCATTTGTATAAAAACAAGTAAAAAATCGACACTCAAAGGTGTAAAAATCATTTTATTAGCTTTAAAATATATATTTATAAAACGTAAATAACAACTGAAGGGACTGTTTCTAAAAGTAATCATGTATTTTCTCTACAGATCAATAACGCAAAGGCAAGAAGAATAAAAGATTAATCATTTCTTTATAAATATTACTTAGCAAGGGTTTCTAGTATTTTATGTATCATTGGAATAAAAGAAAAACAGAAAAAATTCTGAATACAAAAATGTGATTGTTCTTTTTTTAAAATAAAGCTCACAATATGACTATATACATTTCAATTGAAATCTTTTTTTATCTATATTACAAAATTTTAAATATATCACAGCATCCCAAATGTGAAATTTAATAAATCAAACATAATATACATGTATTTTAAAGAGGAGAAGATCTCAGAGACCTTGACCTTTGATGACACATATTCCCTAATCTATTGTTCTAGTGGCATTGATGTACCTAGCCAGTCTACTGACTGTCAATGAACATGTACACCAGTTTAGAATAAGTTTTATAAATAACTATAATGTCATATAAAACACTCCAAAGTTCACTGTGACCTTGACCCTACAATATTGTTTGTGCATGGTTATTGAGATTATCCGTATTAAACAATTTTAAAATCCAGTATAAATTTCCCAAGTCTTAGACAATTTCAACTATCTTCTCCTTATTTGCACAAATCATAAAAGGTCACTGTGACCATGACCTTGACCTTGCAAAAGAGTACAGGTTTTTGCATGCATCATGTCCCCCTATTTTGTAATTTTCAGCCAGCCTTCACTCATTTGTATCTAAATAAATATTTGAAAAAATAGTAACACTGTAATTATGTCCCTTGTCAATCAGCCATCATTATGATGGCAGAAACAAATAAATGAAAAATACAATAAAAACAACAAAATTATAACATAATTGTAAAAAATAAAACTTAAAAAAAGAAAATATCACATTTAGTTATTAAGTTAAATAAAAACAAAACAATATACGTGTGAAAAAATTGTATTGATGTAAATAACAAAAAAAAAATACTGATATATTTTATACAGTGAAAATACAAAAACAGTATAGCATGACTGAACAATAAATAAATAAATGCACTCGGGTATATTATCACAATAACAGTACATCTACCGTAAATGAAAATAAATGCACTCAGGTATATTATTCTGTGGAAAGACATTTTAGACACACCTATTCAATATAAAACAGTGACATTTAAAAAGTTTTGTAGTGAAAAGCATTAGTAAAAATTTCATTCCTTAAAAAGCCCTAATTCAATCAATTTTATTCAATGTCTACTGAAAAAGTATAAGGTGTCATGGTAACTCAATAAAGTATAAAATATTCTTATAGAATTAAACCTTATTACAAATACAAGTTATTCCACTTTTAACTTGGGGGCACTTTAATGAAAACATTGCCTGTAAAAATTAATCTCAAATGAAATCAAAATTTAAGACTCTTTTATTGTTAGATGTTAAAGGCTATTTCAACTTGGGGTTAGCTGTAAACAATGTATAATGTCATCACAACTAAATATTATAACTCTCTACATATTCCTTTCTACACAAAACAGCAAAAAAAATGTTGATACTTTTTTTTATTTCATATGAAAAATAAAATTTCAAACAATTTCTCATTTCAAAACTATTTTTTTTCTGATTCCATCAAAAAATGTTATATCAACTTGTATATAAAGTAACACACATTTCATGAAATTACAAAAATATAATATGCATTGATTTACACACATACTTGTATATAACAACATCACAACTTGCTTCAAATCAGTGATTCATCATGACAATTTACATTATTATCAATATTATTATTATTATTATTATTCTTAACATATTATATACTCTTTTAATATATTTTGTATCCATTGTCATTAAAAAATTCAAAGGTGGTTTTTCAGAATCATACATCCTCTAAACAATATGCTGAAAAGCCTATCTGAATCAATGGGTTTGATAGGGGTAATAGAATCAGACATGATTATTGAAGCTTATTAACTGCCTAGAATAGCCAGTAACATTTTCTTGTAATCCCCATTACACTCTTGTTCTACCCTCTCAGATATTGTCTTGTTATATAAACTCTTGTATTTTGTCTTTATGTCTGCCAAGTCAATCTGTAATATATGATCAATAATATCTGTCATATGTTGTGGTTCAGATTGATACTGAGGGGACAAGGCTTGCCGAGTTGCAGCCCATGGGCAGGTACATAAGGGACAAATATTCTAATTGGAACTACAAACATATGTCAGATATTTTTTCTTGCATATTCTACCATATAAGGAAAAGTATATTCAACTTGAAGTAGGATAAATATTTGAATTTCAATATCAAAATAATAAAAAAAAGCAGACGGCAGTAATTTGTCAAACTGCATGGATGTACAACTTGCCTTTCTCTATCTACGTGTCCCAGACAAGTTATTATTATCATTTCAGCATAGTGCTAGGGAGGACTAAATACTGGACATCATTTTCCACACAAAAAATTCTTTTTGTTTTATTGGATAGATTTCATTCAATCAAATACAAACAAGGTAAGAATGACAAGAGAAAACAGATGTTAGGAAAAAAACATACCTCAGATCTGGCAACAATAATTCTAATTAGTCTGGTATCATTGGTTCCCACTCCACTAAAACAACCATGTAAAGCTTCAGCATAGAACCAGACTGGGTCCTCTACTGCTCGTGCTGAAATTTGATAAAAATTTGGACATACAACACACTTCAACCCCCACTTTCACTGTCACAGACTGGCTATCTAGTAAGTCACAAAGTTCAAGTGAAACCCTGGTAGCCCAGGAGGTAACTGGGACCAGCATCATGACAATAAGAATGGAGCTTTTTCAAAAAATGCACTTTATATACAAAGCACTGACATCAGTTAAAGCTACATGCCCCCAGCTGAGTCAAAATATTTCAATAAAATCAAAACTTGAGAAAATTTACTAAGATGTCAGGAAAAGTAAAAAGTTTCAAGATTCAAGTAATATTTTACATGTTTTGTGCAATTTATGACTGATGTTTCAGTATTTACAACTACCGGTACATTTCTACTGCATTACTAACGCAGTCAAGGCTATTTATGCATATTTTGTCCACTTTTTGGTTATTTACGTGGTTTGTAAGTGCCATTGAAAATGTGTAAATTGCTTCCCTTTGGTTACTTGGCAGTATTACACATTCAAATACATTTTCAAAATTTTTATGAAAATTAGCATGAATCTGGAGGCGTGCTGCTTTAAGGAAAAATAACTATTTTCCATGAGAGCTTCCATTAAATATATACATATAGTAAACTCATACAATATACATTCATCTCAAAGCAGCTAAATTTTAATACATTCATTACAAAGTAACAGTTCACAATGACCTACTTATATAACAACTTTGTTTCTGAAATAATATTAGATGACCAAAGTTTAATTTTTCTAACATGGCATGTTATAAAGCCACCAGTCAATTTATTGAAACACTTTCAAATACCCTCCATAATTATGCTTAATAAGAAAGAAATTAAAAATAATGTATGTTGTAAAATTAAGTAGTCTTTTCAAAAGAAAACTGGTTGATAATACATGTAAAAGGTTTGCAATCATCTTTTTAACTTGGTTTTATTTCTTTGGCATTCTTGGCCATCTGGTTAAGTCATTGACTTCAAACCAATTTCCCCTAACCGCTGTGGGTTTGAATCCTGACAGGGACTTTGGATTCTTTAATGAGAGGAAGCTATCCAGCTAGCTTAAGGATCACCGGTGGTTCTACTTAGACGCTCTGTTCATGCCTGAAACAACATGGAGGGACACCCAAGGTCTTCCTGCACCAGAAAAACTGGAATGTTGCCATATGACGTATACTGTGTTGGTGTGAGGTAAAACCCAACAAAAATTTCATTGTTAAGAAATATATGAAGACTTACCAAGACCTAGATAAGCATCTTCTTCATCACCCATCAGAGCTTTCTTTATACCAGCATATATATCATTACCTGTCAACTGTAGAAGTATATAAAGGATATTGAATGAGTAAAGATTTAATACTAAACTATTGTAGGAGTTGAATAAAATCATATATATTATGCGAGCCTCTGACCTTAATAGTATTGAATCTACGCAAATACATGCTTAATATTCTATTTATCATATATCTAAAATAAGAACCTATCAAATGTTGTTTTGTTGTTGTGGTTAAATGTTTTACCTGGCTTTTTTTTGTTATTATATCATGCGTTAAAAAAATAAGTACTGTTACAGTATGAGGGGAAAAAAGTGAATTTTCACGCACAATGGAAGCCAAGTAATATATTTACCTTTTTGTACTCCTCGAAAGTTGCCCTCACTTGAACCCTACTTTTTCTTGCAATAATGGATTTAAATACTTCATCTGTAGGGTCAATGGAAATCTGACCTTCCTATAGAAATAAATAACATTTGTTCTTTTTTTATCATAATCAAGAAATTATAATTCATTCTTACAAAAAGATACAAATTCCACATTTATTATCTTTACTTTTTTTAACAGCTCTTTTTTTTTTTATACATGTATTTCTATTTTTCTTATTTTTTTTTTAAAATAAAGTTTAATGTTGTTAATAATACAGAAAAAAATGTTCAGTTCAATTGACAAATCTTTTTAAAGCAAAGTTCAGGTACAAAGTTTAAATTTAAATGTCAGATTTTATCAGACAAGCATTCAACGAAAACAACCTTATATAGACGTTTAGCATCTACTTTAGCATCTTCAACATTGACCGTCTCTCCCTGGTCGCGCTCACATTTGAGAATTTCAACAAACATATCTTCCATACCACCAGATACATCCTGTTTTATCTCTGTTTGAAGATCTTTACCATACACTGTAATCATTGTAAAGGTTTAATCATAATTTTGTCATTTTTGTTCACAATAATTCATAATGCTATTATCAGCCACTATCGAAAATTGGAAAGGAGCAATATGGTTGTCATTGTGGTGGTGTTGGTAGCTTTCACTCTGGATCACAGCAGTAAGCCATATTGAATTCACCAGCACAAAGTTCAGTCACCCCATCATTCCTGGACAGGCTGTCAAGCAGTTTATCAGTACTAGTTGCCTTCACTTTCGCAAGAATCTGATATTTTCTGCACATGCCAGAGCAGAGGTAAAGTGCAAATGACTGTAGAAAGGATTTTATGATCAATGACAATGAAAGTGACTTGCACAGTTCGGGAATCGAACCCAGATTGTCTGATTCACGGTCCAACACTCTACAAATTGAGCTAACTGGATGGCTATTAGGTAGTCATTGTGTTACATTTAGTACATTTAATAGTTGCAAGTAAAGCAAAATCAGCTTTTACATATAAAACCACATGAGTTATCTTTCCTATTTTTGTTTCGTGGCAAATCAATGGTGTCATAATGTCACATGGCAACTTTTCAGCTTTATTGCTAGAGAATGATTCTTGGTATCCATCTTTGCATTATTTCAGACTCCAACCAACATCTTTGTAAACAAGAAACATCTCTTAACTAGAAGTGGTTTTATGACAAAAACATAATGTCTTCTACAAGTAGGTATGGCACTGATCACTCCAGTGAAGTTTGGTTGAAATCTTGCCAGCAGTTTGACCTGTGAAAGCTGGGCACGATTTTTCTATTTATAGTTCTGGCGGCTATTTTTGTGCAGTGAAGCTGAATGTGCGGGCAAGGGATGCACAATTAAGGATGGAACTGATAACTTCTGTGAAGTTTCATTGAAATTCCACCAGCAGTTTGACCTGTGAAAACCAAAGAGGATATTTCTATTTTTGGCTCTGATGGCCATTGTGTGCAGGAAAGCGGTAAATGCCTGCAATATGACCAACAGGGTTGGTACTGATCAATCCTGTGAAGTTTGGTTGAAATCTTTCCAGGAGTTTGACCTGTGAAAGTCAGCCAAACTAAATGCGAATGGACAAATGGACAGACAGATGGACAGTTGACATGGGCAAAAATAATGTCTCTTAAAATTTTTGAGAGACACAATTAGCTGGCAAGCATCCCCTAACATGATTGTGGGAAATAAATTGAGAGAGCTTTAACCAATCAGCTAATCATGCCTCTTTGAAATAGTTAATATTTTATAACAAAGCAAACATCTAAAAATGAAATAAAGGAAAAGAAATAAACATACTTTCTTTGTACCGGTTCTTGATAACTTCAAGTCTCTGAAACATAAATATTAGATTTAAGTTTTATATAATCATGCTTCCTTTGCAAATTGAATAACAATTCCAAAATAGCATTAGCTCAACATTTTTATTAATGGCATTCTGGTTAGATTTTATGTTATCAAATGAGTTACACTAATTTTTGCTGGTGAAAACACAGGAAATCTAAATAATTTTCATATATTTTCAACAACTTCCTGAATTTTCTATATTAAATTCAATACATGCATACGGAGAAATAATTCTTTCATGAGATTAAAAATAAGAGAAAAACTTTTATTAAAAATTTTAAAGCAAGTTGTGCATCTACCAAAGTATGTTATAAATTATAATAATATGTCAACCATCTTAATATAACAGAAATATCATTTTAACTTCAGCATAAGTACCTTTCCTGTATTTGTAGCAAGTACACCTATCAGAATTCCTTCCCTTGTGCCAAGACCTTTTGTCGCCTCATGTAAACAATGACATGTATAATCTATAGGTTTCATCATCATGGCCAACACAATCTCCTCAAAATCTCCACGTAACTCGGACTCTAGTTCTTTTTGAAGATCCTGAAAAATTTATGACATTATCATATAATTATGTGATATTAAAAAACTTACAGTAACTTGTCTTTATTTATCACAAAGTTATCAGGCCAAACTTGAGCAAAATATTCCAGTCAAAATAAGCAATTCTGATTTTGCTGAAAACTAAATACATGTAATAATTAATAATTTAATCTAGATATTTTTCTATTTAACAAAAAATAAGGGAACTCATTGTTCTGGTTTGATTCAATACAAGGGTAGTCAATGTTGATACTTTGCAGTCTATGGTCTAACAATTATTTTCATTATTGAACTGTTTACTTCAAAGTATTGTGTTTGCAAAATAAAAATATTGTCAGTGAATTTAGTTCCAGTGTTATCTATAGTTAACTATGTAAATTGAATGATTATAATTTGTATATGCTAATCACTCATTTACTCTATTCAAAACACTTTGAGACCTTCTAGAATATTTGCTATAGTTCATTGACTGCCAACAGTATTGTGTCAAACTCAAGATATAATAAAGATAATATTATATTTCAGCATTCAGTTATTGGTATATAAAGAATGGTTGAATTAACCCTTGGTTTAAATATGAACTTAACAACACAATTAAGCAGCATTTATGTTGTTCTAAAGAAACTTCAAAATCAACTGCAAGTTTGAACCTTGTTTTCTTCAATCTTCATCAGGCAATAAATGTCATCATTTATAAAAGGTAATATACATTTGTATATATACAAACCTTATCATATTTTTCTTTATATTTAGCTTTTATTTCCTGTCTTTGATCATTTGATCTATGTGGCAGAATATTGATAACAACAGTTTCATCTGTTCCAAAGCCAGACATGGCACCATTCAAACTTTCACTGTCTTTAACTGGATCAAAAGGATTTGCAGGTTTCACAGTTGGTCCAGTTGTTGGCTTGGGTGCATTTTCCTTTTTCACAGGAGCTTGCTTGACAGGTGGTTTCTTTTGCGGAGCCTTCGCAGCATTGTCCGAGCTGAAAGAGGGCATCATAACACTTAAAATTTTAACTGAAAAATTGAGCAATGTTCTATGTTGAGTTTGAAAAGTTGAAGAGATTCTAGAAATAAATTACTAAATCTAAGTGTCTGATTTGTAATCCAGGGGTCACTGGTTTGATCCTCAGGGAAGGCAAAATTTCTCTATAACCATTAACTACCAATATTACTTTGTACTCACAATTTATGTTCTAAAATTGGCCAAAAAAACAAAAACAAATAAATAAACAGCATTTGTTTAGTAGTATATATACTTAGTTTAGTAGTAATGTAGTTATCAGTAGTTTTTCATATACAGCGTAAATGAGAAATAAACTAGAAATGTGTCCATAGGACACGGGTGCCCCCACACTCCACCGATTTGTCAATCTTTTGTCTCTAGGTCAAATATTTTTTTTGGCTAAATCTGCCCAAGTTGAAAACTAAAAATCTTGTATTAAGTAAAGGGCAAATACTACAAATACTGAATAAATCCACAAGAGAACCCCAAGGTGCATAAGTACACATGCTGACCAACATTCTTGTAAACTTTCAGGCCTACAGGTCATAAACTTTTTGAGTTACGTGCAACACAAGTTAAATATTGTAAATTTTTACTAAGTCAAGGGCAATAACTCTAAAAATACTAAAAATATCCACACGAAAATACCCAGGTGCACAACTACACATGCTGAGCAACATTCCTGTAAGGTTTCATGACTCTAGGTCAAATACTTTTTTGAGTTACGTGTGACACAAGTTGAAAATTGGAAATTTTTACTAAGTCAAGGGCAATAACTCTAAAAATACTAAAAATATCCACACAAAAATACCCAGGTGCACAACTACACATGCTGAGCAACATTCTTGTAAGGTTTCATGACTCTAGGTCAAATATTTTTTGAGTTACGTGCGACACAAGTTGAAAATTGCAAATTTTTACTAAGTCAAGGGCAATAACTCTAAAAATACTAAAAATATCCACACAAAAATACCCAGGTGCACAACTACACATGCTGAACAACATTCTTGTAAGGTTTCATGACTCTAGGTCAAATATTTTTTGAGTTACATGCGACACAAGTTGAAAATTGGAAATTTTGACTAAGTCAAGGGCAATAACTCTAAAAATACTAAATATATCCATATGAAAATACCCAGGTGCACAACTTCACATGCTGATCAACATTCATGACTCTAGGTCAAATATTTCTTGAGTAACATGCGACACAAAAAGGGAACGGATGGACGGACGGAAGGACTTACGGACAAGGGTAAATCTAAATGCCCCCCCTATAGTGGGGGCACAAAAAATAATTTAAAGGCAACATTGCAAAGTTAAAAGTTATTTTCATTGCTGATTGACTTTGAATGATTTACTTACTTATTCCCAAGTATAGCCAGCAACATTTTCTTGTAATCACCATTACACTCCTGTTCTACCCTCTCAGATATTGTCTTGTTATATAAACTCTTGTATTTTGTCTTTATGTCTGCCAAGTCAATCTGTAATATATATGATAAGTGTGCACGCTTGCCTGTTTTAATACTGGTTACACAATTGTTGCTAATACTTCAAGGGTAAAAATTAGAACAGTTGTCAAATAATATATATACATCACAGGTCTCTACTTGAACATACCTCAGATCTGGCAACAATAATTCTGATCAATCTGGTATCATTGGTTCCCACTCCACTAAAACAACCATGTAAAGCTTCAGCATAAAACCAGACTGGGTCCTCGACTGCTCGTGCTGAAATTTGAAAAATATTAGTAATTTATTTGTTAGTTAATTCAACCAATATCTCGATGATAATCATCCAAAGGAAAAAACTTGGTTGAAAATTGTGGTAAAAACCCTTCAATAGTGGTTACATGGTCATTTTTGCTCTTCAGTGCTACATCAAGGGCAATAACTCAAAAAGTTATTTCAATAACTTCATTACATAACAATCTGAAAATAACCAAAATTTCAAAACCAACTGACAATTACAGGAAAACTACTACTTAATAATTTTGCCATAATCACATGAATACATTTAGTTTCTTTAGAATGTGGTAAGTGGTTATAAAATTTTCCACTGATAAAATAGAAGCTCAGCTTAATATGTTCATTAAACCAAATGTAATCTTAATAAAGAAATATAATATAAGTATAAACATACCAAGTCCTACATAAGCCTCCACATTATCACCCATCAGAGCTTTCTGAATACCCACATATATATCATTACCTGTAAGCTGTAAATATTCAAATAAAATATTAATAATTATACAAACTCAACGAAGATAAAATAACTTTGATCAACACACTGTTGATTAATGTATTTTTTTTTTTTTTTTTTTTTTTGGGGGGGGGGGGGGGATATTTCTTATGACACATTTTTCCTCTTTGATGTTATTTAGGAAGAGTGGTGTAGGAGTAGAGCACTACTAGACTGCTTATCTAGAGGTAATGTTGGCTCAAATCCCATCAGAGTTGAGGTTCTCTTGTTCAGTGTTTCCTGAATTCTTAAAGGTGCAATAACTGGCACCCACAAACAAGTCATCTGGCATGACTTAAAGTGCCAAGGCTATGGGTTACCAAAATGTGGTTGATATATAGGGAAAAATATGTTTTATAATTTTATAGTCTCTAAAAAATCAGTATACATACTGGTTGGTGTTTATTGGTACTGTAAGTATTCATAAAGTAATGTTCACAAGCTTATTTAAATAATGCATTTTCGATTGAACATGTTAATATCTTTAGGAAAAAATCAATAGGATATTTGTACCAATTCTTACCTTTTTGTATTCTTCAAATGTGGCTCTAACTTGAGCTCTACTTTTTCTTGCTATAATGGACTTAAAGACTTCATCTGTTGGGTCTATGGAGATTTGTCCTTCCTGTAAAACAATAAATGAGGTACTACAAACATTAGTAATATCATCATCATATACTGGTTTCCAAGCAGTTTCCGGCCACAAATTGCACTTTTTAACAAATAAAATAAAAATCAGTCTTAGGGAGGGGTACAAAACTTTGACAGGACAAAGTAAGGTACCTGTCCAGCATTGCCATGTGTTTAATGTTGCACTTTCATTTTACTTTTTAATTTGAATATAGGCCTGAAACGTAACGCCTTTTTTCACCTTTATTAAAAAATTCATAGTAGTTTTCTGGACCTTTCTTATTTTGAATATAATTCAGTACCATAAAGCAATGTTAAGATGGTTTTATCAGACAAACAGAACTTCCCAACATTTTCCCGAGTCGTCTTCAAAAATATTTTCCGAAGTATTGATTTACCTAAAAATGGGGTCTTAGTTATTGCGCAGGGATATTCAAACTAGAATTCCCCAGGTGTTGCTTATTTTTGAAAAGTCGCAAGTTCTCTTATGTAACTTTAAATAACAGGGAAAACTTCAAAAACATGTAAATCGTCTGTACTATTTTAAAATGCTGTTTAGCAAACAAATGTATCTCTGATTGATGAAGTAATGTGGATGCCTTACTGGTAAAAATAGACTGTACTGGACGAAAATGATAAACGGTCGGAAAACGGCTAGGGGACGGAAACTGCTAGGAAACCAGTACTCTATTAGATCAAATGGACTTATGACAGTTAGTACTGTAATATACTTTCTGACTATCTCTGCAGGGTAGAGCCTATACAGAGGGTTTGATAATTAAAAAATCAAAGTCCCTACTATTCCTTCAGGAGGTTTAAGTCACTTCAGAGTTTTCTTAAACAAGTAAGTCCAGGAAGCCTTCTGATAGGTTTCATCACAAACTCTCAAAAAAACTAGAACTGTGTCCAAAGGACATGGATGCCCCCGCTGACAACATATATATGGTATATAGTGAAAAAATCAACAAAGGGCCATAATTCTGTTAATTTTGGTCGCAGCAAAAATTCCTTCCTTTACTTCCATCTACACATTAAGGTTGTTCATCCCTGAAAGTTTAAGTAAAATCTGCCATCAGGTTTAAGAGGAGTTGCGTTCACAAAATTTCTACATAGTATATAGTGAAAAAATCAACAAAGGGCCATAATTCTGTTAAATTTGGTCACAGCGAAAATTCCTTCCTTCACTACCATCTACACATTAAGGTTGTTCATCCCTGGAAGTTTAAGCAAAATCTGCCATCTGGTTTAAGAGGAGTTGCGTTCACAAGATTTCAGGACATACGGACGGACAAGTTCAACGCTATGTGCACCCCACTTTGTGGGGGCATTAAAAGTTTCACAACCATTCTAATACCCATCGCTGCAGTATAAACCAGACTATTCAGTTGGCAGCTCAGTTTAAGTGTTTTTATACCAAAAATCCCTTACATTTATAATGGACAGTTTCAAAATCAACTCAGGGTAGTAATTACTATAAATTCTATCTTAAATAATAAACAAGAGCTGTCGGTAGGACAGCATGCTCGACTATTCTTAGTGCTTGATAGTAAAAAAAATGCCTGATACAGTTACCTCCTCCTGTTTACAGGTTGGGGTCATGATGGTGAACAAGTGTGCAAAGTTTCAAAGCCATATGTCAATGGACTTTGAAAATATTTGAACTATTACAAAAACTTTAACGTAAATTCTAAGTCGAAAAAGGGGCATAATTCTGTCAAAATGCTTGATAGAGTTACCTCCTCCTGTTTACAGGTTGGGTCATGATGTTGAACAAATGTGCAAAGTTTCAAAGCCATATGTCAATGGACTTTGAAAATATTTGAACTATTACAAAAACTTTAACGTAAATTCTAAGTCGAAAAAGGGGCATAATTCTGTCAAAATGCTTGATAGAGTTAGCTCCTGCTGTCTACAGGTTGGGGTCATGATGTTGAACAAGTGTGCAAAGTTTCAAAGCCATATGTCTATGGACTTTGAAAATATTTGAACTATTACAAAAACTTTAACGTAAATTCTAAGTCAAAAAAGGGGCATAATTCTGTCAAAATGCTTGATAGAGTTACCTCCTCCTGTCTACAGGTTGGGGTCATGATGGTGAACAAGTGTGGAAAGTTTCAAAGCCATATGTCAATGGACTTTGAAAATATTTGAACTATTACAAAAACTTTAACTTAAATTCTAAGTCGAAAAAGGGCATAATTCTGTCAAAATACTTGATAGACTTACCTCCTCCTGTCTACAGGTTGGGGTCATGATGGTGAACAAGTGTGCAAAGTTTCAAAGCCATATGTCAATGGACTTTGAAAATATTTGAACTATTACAAAAAACTTTAACGTAAATTCTAAGTCGAAAAAGGGGCATAATTCTGTCAAAATGCTTGATAGAGTTACCTCCTCCTGTCTACAGGTTGGGGTCATGATGGTGAACAAGTGTGCAAAGTTTCAAAGCCATATGTCAATGGACTTTGAAAATATTTGAACTATTACAAAAACTTTAACGTAAATTCTAAGTCGAAAAAGGGGCATAATTCTGTCAAAATGCTTGATAGAGTTACCTCCTCCTGTCTACAGGTTGGGGTCATGATGGTGAACAAGTGTGCAAAGTTTCAAAGCCATATGTCAATGGACTTTGAAAATATTTGAACTATTACAAAAACTTTATATAACATAAGTGGTTACGCCGACGCCGACGCCGACGCCGACGCTCGGGTGACTGCAATAGCTCTACTTATTCTTATCGAATAGTCGAGCTAAAAAAATATAATATATATAAAATCAAAACCAGACATTTACCTTGTACAGCCGTTTAGCATCTTCTTTTGCTTCTTGAGCATTAACAGTGTCCCCTTGTTCACGTTCACATTTCAGTATCTCTACAAACATATCTTCCATACCACCAGATACATCCTGTGTTATCTCTGTTTGAAGATCTTTACCATACACTAGAAATATATGAGCCGCGTCATGACAAAACCAACATAATGGGTTTGCGACCAGCATGGATCCAGACCAGCCTGCGCATCCGCGCAGTCTGATCAGGATCCATGCTGTTCGCTTTCAGTTTCTCTACTTGTTATAGGGTTTGTAAGCGAACAGCATGGATCCTGATCAGACTGCGCAGATGCGCAGGCTGGTCTGGATCCATGCTGGTCGCAAACCCATTATGTTGGTTTTGTCATGACGCGGCTCATATATTTAAAGTTAGGAAATTAATAAAATATCATTTGAATGTTACATGTTGGATGCCACCAGTCAACCAGCCTGAATATCCTTCCATTTTACATTGAACAAACTAAATATTTTTGTTGTTCAATATTAGTGCTTAAAATTTATAGAAAATTTTGCAATAATGTTCAGTTTTAAACATCCAGAATATGTTGTAATATTATAAACATTAATTATCAAATATGTACATTAATTGCCATTAACATATTATATTAAAAAAATAATAAGTATGAGTAATGTAGCAACTTCCAAGGTTCAAAAGTTTTGTGAAATATTTAAGACAAGTGGAGGCATCTAGGTAAAATAATAGGCACTTTAAAGGGAAAGAGATAGCTTCTTCTAATGAGAGACCCTGTCTGTTTTTGGAAAATAAAGTAACAGCCATTTTTTTAGGTGCAAAAAATTTAAAAGTAAATTAAGACTCCTGCAAAGTCTGCTTAAAATTATTTTTACCTAAATTAAGTGCACAGCAATGTAAAATACCTTGTTATTGAAAATAAAGTTTCTGATATCATTAAAAATATTCCATACTATGTATGTACTTACATTCCTTGTATCTGTTCTTTATGGTTGCTAATTCCTGAAAACAACAAGCAAAATTTAGTCTTTATTGCATTAACATTTTTAAAAATGTAAACAAACTTGCTTACATGACATAAGAAGTTTCAGGAAAATCTTAAACTGATGAAGCAAACAACTCTTTAAACTTTCAAACAAGTAAAATCTTGAAATGTTTTCAGAATGATTTTCTATTTCCCACAATAGAACAAGAAAAGATTTTCTCAACAGTAGAACCCTTTATCTGCTGGAAACCAATAGTGTAAGCTTTTGTCACCAGAAGAGCCAGGCCAGCCTGTATTTATGTGCAGTCTGGGTGGGCTATATACTGTTGGTGGCTCAATTTTTGAATTTTGATATTGAAATCTGTTGATTTTACTTTGGAGTGCACAACAAATAAATTACACAAATTCAGAATAGTAAAGTTATATTGTATAAAGTGACAAACTGTACATTTACCTTGCCAGTTTTTGTTGACAACACACCTATCAGAATTCCCTCCCTTGTACCAAGACCTTTTGTTGCCTCATGTAAACAATGACATGTATAATCTATAGGTTTCATCATCATGGCCAAAACAATCTCCTCAAAATCTCCACGTAACTCTGACTCTAGTTCTTTTTGAAGATCCTGAAAAATTTATGAAATTTTCATTGAATAACTTAAAAATAATTAAATGAAATGTTTAAATTTCATTTTTCTCTGCCAAAGTACAGACATGTAATAGTAGAGGGTTTATCCACTTTTTTTTCGTGCCTTAACATCTGTAGAAGCACAGGAATACATTTAATTTCAACGGATGGATTTATTCATTTATGTGTTTGTTAATTTGTTTACTCTTCAAAAAAAATCCATATGATCATGATGAAATTTATGACAACTAACAAAGATCTTTGTGGTACTTTCATGACCAAATATAAAACTGTCAAAATATAGATGGCACAAAAAAAGATTTGTTTTTCATTTGGTAAAAAAAAGTTTTTTCCTTTTTGTTGGGATTTAAGTAACACTCACAATGTTAAGGACATATTACTACCTATAGTTTGACAGGTGGTATGTTCTAAGGTGCCCTGAAACACATTATATCACACATATGTAGGCACTGTGTAAAACCTGAACCACCTTCTGTAACCTAGGCCATGAGGTCATAAAACTTTTTTCTGAGTTCTGTCTCAAATCTCATGATTTTCATTGGTCAGAGTACTTTTTGTAGCAGTCTGACCAATCAAATACCTGCTATCTGAGTTTGAGATAAGAGAATTTCTTTACAACCTCTGGTCTTGGATAGCTTCTTTACATAGCAATACTCAAAACCTCAGTGTTGAGTGGCAAGTCAAAGTTTAAGTTAATGACCTTTACCAATAATCCAGGGAAAGCCCATTACACAATCTCAAATTAATTAAGACTTATAAACAGGTGATGCATTTATTATTGAAATGGACTTTGTTTTGTTCTGCTATAAGTAAATATAATGCAATTGAACCATGAACTATAATAACTTACCTTATTATATTTATCCTGATATTTTGCCCGAATTTCTTGTCTCTGGTCATTTGTTCTCCGTGGCAGTATATCAACCACCACGTCTTCATCTGTACCGAAACCTGACATTGCTTCATTTAATCTCTCACTGTCCTCGATTGGATTGAAAGGTTTAGCCGGCTTCACTGTGGCACCAGAGGGAGACTTTTGACTAGCTTCTTTCTTAACACCAGTTGTCTGCTGGCCTGGTTTCTTTTGTGGGCCTTTAGTCTTAGTTGGTTCACTAAAAGAAATTTATAATACTGCATGTTTGTAATATCACTTTTTATTGGATAATAACGTTTATAATACAATGTATTATAGTTTTATTTCTATGGCTTCTATTTATAAAGAAATTTCATTTTGGCGTTAAGAAAGAAAGTTTGCTGTATTATTAATTTGTTATGAAGATTCTTCACAGGTTATATGAACATATATAAACATTTGTTTGAAATATAACCCTTGCCTAGCAGCTCAGTTTATATATGTATACATTTTCACTATCCTAAAATACTTTTTATTTCACAACATCATTTATAGCTAAGAGACCATTCCTCATACAAAACATATCCACAAAATAATTTCAGTAATAAAACAAGAGCCCGGTTTGAGCCGGGTGATGCTCCCCGAATAGGTTTTGGACACAGGAAAGTACACCTCTTGCAGTTTCAGAGTTATGTCCGTGGAAAAAGTTCAAAGTGCAATAATTCCAAAATTAGGCAAGGCAGAGTTACAGTTCTTTGCACTGCACTTCTAATCAATGTGATCTATCAACCTACACAGTTTCTTGATGATATCTCTATGATTTCTGAGTTATGTCCTGGACAATTCAAAAAGTAAAAATAAACAAAGGGCAATAACTCCAGAATTAGGCTAGATAGGGTTATGACTCTTGTGCACTGCACATCTACCCATTGAGATTTATCTACCTACAAAGTTTCATGTTGATATCTCTTATAGTTTTACAGCTATGTCCTGGACAAGATTTTTCTAAAAGGGGAGATTATTCAAAAAATAAGGCTTAACAGAGTTATGGTTCTTTTGCATTGCACCTCTACTCAATGAGATTTTATCTACCTACAATGTTTCATGTTGATATCTCTTATAGTTTTAGAGTTATGCCCCGGACAAGATTTTTTCTATAAGGGGAGATAATTCAAAAACCAGGCAGAATAGAGTTATGGTTCTTTGACAATGCATTCCCCTCGATGCCCTCTACCACTGTATGAAGTTTCAACAAATTATCTCCAAGGGTTTTCAAGTTATGTTCCGGACAAAGTTCAAGTTCAAGTATTAAAATAAACAAAGGGCAATAACTCCAAAATTAGGACAAAAAGAGTTATTGTTCTTATGCACTGCACATCTACCCATTGAGATCTATTCACCTACAAAGTTTCATGTTGATATCTCTTATAGTTTTAGAGTTATGCCCCGGACAAGATTTTTCTATTCAGGGGAGATAATTCAAAAAACCAGGCAAAATAGAGCTATGGTTCTTTGACACTGCACTCCCCCTCGATGCCCTCTACCACTGTATGAAGTTTCAACAAATTATCTCCAAGGGTTTTCAAGTTATGTTCCGGACAAAGTTCAAAGTATTAAAAATTAACAAAGGGCAATAACTCCAAAATTAGGATGAAAAGAGTTATTGTTCTTATGCACTGCACATCTACCCATTGAGATCTATTCACCTACAAAGTTTCATGTTGATATCTCTTATAGTTTTAGAGTTATGCCCGGACAAGATTTTTCTATAAGGGGAGATAATTCAAAAACCGGGCAAAATAGAGTTATGGTTCTTTGACACTGCACTCCCCCTCGATGCCCTCTACCACTGTATGAAGTTTCAACAAATTATCTCCAAGGGTTTTCAAGTTATGCTCCGGACAAGACAACGGACAGACAGACGGACAGACGGACGGACGGACAGACGGACAAGGCGCCGACTATATGCTCCCCCGAAATTTTTCGGGGAGCATAAAAAGCAGGTACGTATATTAAGCTTGGAATGCAATCATTCCACAGTAATTTGCATTAAGGTTGTCTTTTTTTATATAAATCTTTATAAAAGAAAAATGGATAAAAAAGTAAGGCAAAAACTTACTGGCAATGCTGTGATAACTGCATACAAAACTTCAAAACACTTGTGCTATAAGACTACAAACGTGCAATACAAAAAGGGTTGTGTGATATTACAATATCAAAAGCTAAAATAACAATTCCAGTCTTCAGGCTTCTGTGTATGATTCTCAAAAGGTGGATTCAAGAAAATTATTAAGCAGAGAATATTTTGAAAAGCTATATTTTGCTTCTATGCACAAAACATGCATAACCAGTGTAAGAGTTTATATACATGTAGATATTATCACAATAGCATATAGTTTTATAAACCTTTTATTTTCTGAACTTTAAAGATTGCAAAGAAAATGTAAAACTTTAAACACAAAATTTTACCCTCATTCCACTGATGTATCGTATTGTTAGTTGATAGTACGGACAAGGGCAGATCTATACCCCCCCTCTCCTCCATCTTAAGTAATGACTAGTGGGGGCAAAAAAGGCAGGAAATTCTCAGAAACATTGCATTGTTTGAAGAAAATGAAAAACTTCAATATAAAATGAAAATAGGTTTCAGTCAGACAATGTGATACAAGTCAGAAAATGTGATAGAGAAATATATTCAGATAGCAATTCAAATTGTATGTTTCATAGAATTATACCTTTACATAAACCCAAGGTAAGTCCTGTTTTGATTATCCAAAATCCATACAAATGTACATCGGATTGGCTCATTACTTAAATTCTGTCACCCTCAATCTGCTTGCTGCAACTGTTCTACCAATGCAACAAAGTGCACAAACTGTTCTACCAATGCAACAAGTGCACAACTGTTCTACCAATGCAACAAGTGCACAACTGTTCTACCAATGCAACAAGTGCACAACTGTTCTACCAATGCAACAAGTGCACAACTGTTCTACCAATGCAACAAGTGCACAACTGTTCTAACCAATGCAACAAGTGCACAACTGTTCTACCAATGCAACAAGTGCACAACTGTTCTACCAATGCAACAAGTGCACAACTGTTCTACCAATGCAACAAGTGCACAACTGTTCTACCAATGCAACAAGTGCACAACTGTTCTACCAATGCAACAAGTGCACAACTGTTCTACCAATGCAACAAGTGCACAACTGTTCTACCAATGCAACAAGTGCACAACTGTTCTACCAATGCAACAAGTGCACAACTGTTCTACCAATGCAACAAGTGCACACTATGATCAGCCGTCACGTCCATTGACATCTGATCATGATATGCACTTCTGTATTATTTGCTATTTAGTCAGCAATTATTCTTAAATTTTCCCTAAAAATGATAAATGGTTTTGTCAAGATTGAAAGATTCCATAAGAAAGAATAACAATGGAAAGTAATTTAAGGCAGAAATGGAAGTGGAATTGAACACAAAAAACTTCACCCTTACCCTGTTGAATTTATGCTATGGACTATAGCCTGCTTTGAATTTTAGAGCTAGGTTTCAACATGAAAATAATAAAATTGGATAAGAATTGATCATGGTTAAATTGTATTTTTAGATTGCATGTGGCAAAGCATGTAGCAATATCATAGCTATTACAAGTATTAATTAAAAGGTTAAAAAATGGGTGATTCAGTTTTATTTGATATCAAAGCAAATGAAATATACAAAAATGAAACAAACAAAATTTTGTGTATTTAGTAAGAGTTATTTATTTGGTCTCCTTGGCAACTGTCTACATGTACATAAAATTTATCACAGACATTCTTTTCAATATCAATATTTTCTTTCAATATAATTATAATGTAGTAAAAATAATCTATTCTATGTAAAATCTACCCTTCAACAAGTCATAAATTAAATATACATTTCAAAATTTAACATATAATGTAACATAAAAATATATAACACATTTGGTCAAACTTTTGGCATAATGGTACTTCTATGCTTTTCATCAAAGAATTTTCTTTCAAATCAGTAGAAGGTTATAATGGACTCAAATGAATTAAATGAAAATAAAATATATGTATATACATTGTCGGAGGGGAAAAAATTTACCCTAAAAAAAATGTGTGAACATTTATTAAGGTTCTAAGCTAACAATTAACAGACATAATAGTCTGTTTTGGTTTGCACCAGTTTAAACATTATAAATATATCAGATATCCACTGGCACTACCCTTACACTCTTGTTCTTAGACTGTCTCACCAATATAATAGATTTTTACTCAAGTCAATTCAAGAAACTTCCTTTTTTTAACTTTTACTCCATTACTAAATTGATTCTTAAAATAAAACAAAACAAGATTGCATTTGAGAACAAGAGCTGTCAGAAGGACAGCGCGCTCGACTTTTTTAGTGCTTGCCTATAAAACAAAACTTTGACAGTTAAGGGCACACAAGACTTTAACTAGGAATTTCTAAGTACAAATCAAGAAACATTTTCACAGAGTTATCTTCTCTTGCTTACAGATAGGTCTCATGATGGCACATAAGAACTCCAACTTCCAAAGTAATATCTCAAATGGTTAAGTCAACAAGTGGACAAGAATGAAAATCTTAACTGAGTTTCTAAGTCAAAAAGGGCCATAATTCAAATAAAATCCTTAACAGAATTACCTTCTCCTGCCCATGTTTTGGGACCATGATGGTAAACAAGTATTCCAACTTTTCAAATTAATATCTCAAACAGTTCAGTCAAAAAGTGGACTGGTACTAAAAACTTAACCAAGATTCTAAGTCGATAAAAGGCCTTAATTTTTAAAACAAATCCTTGACAGAGTTACCTTCTCTTGCGTACAGATGGGGGTAATGATGTGAAATAGCATTAAAAGTTTCAAAGCAATATCTCAAAGGGTTAAGGCAATAAGTGGATTTTACCCATATTCAATGTATTTTCTAAGTCAAAAAGGGGCATAATTCTGTCAAAAACCTTGACAGAGTTATGTCCTCTTGTCTGTTGATGAAGGTCGTGATGGTAAACAAGTATGGTCAGTTTTCAAAGCAATACCTCCAATGGTTTTGAAATAAAGTGAGGTGGTACAAAAAACTTAACCAAGCTCAATACACTTTCTAAGTCAAAAAAGGGCCATAATTCTGTCAAAAACCTTGACAGAGTTATGTACTCTTGTCTGTAAATGGAGGTTATGATGGTGAACAAGTATGGTAAGTTTCAAAGCCATACTTGTAATACTTCTGAAATAAAGTGGGGTGGTACGAAAAACTTAACCAAGGTGTGACGCCAACGCTAACGCCGACGCCGACGCCGGGGCGAGTAGGATAGCTCCCCTTTTCATAGAAAAGTCGAGCTAAAAATGCTATGCCACCGCATTAATCCTTGTACCTTCAGACAATAAGATTTTTTGATTTTTTTACTATATGTTTATATTGAAAATCATAGACCCCCGGGGCAAAGGCAATTTTGACCCCATGGCTATAATTTAAACAATCTTGCTAGAAGTTCATTTCATAATGTTTCATGCAAAATATCTAACCTCTAGCATTTATCAATTACTAGAAGAAATTTTTTTTAAGTTTTTACTACAAGTCATGTTTAAGTATTTACTATATACATATAAGGAAAACCAATGACCCCAGGGCGGGGCCGATTCTGATCCCAGGGCTATAATTTGAATAACCTTGGTAGAGGTCTACCAAACAATGCCTTATGCAAAATATCTAAGCTCTAGGCCTTTTGGGTCTTTACAAGAAGGTATTTTAAGTTTTTACTATATGTACATATAGTGAAAATCAATGACCCCCGGGGCGGGGCCGATTTTGACCCCAGGGCTATAATTTGACCAATCATGGTAAGGGTCTACCAGACAATGCCTTATGCAAAATATCTAAGCTCTAGGCCTTTTGGGTCTTTACAAGAAGGTATTTTAAGGTTTTGCTATATGTACATATAGTGAAAATCAATGACCCCCGGGGCGGGGCCGATTTTGACCCCAGGGTTATAATTTGAACAATCTTGGTAGAAGTCTACCAGACAATGCCTTATGCAAAATATCTAAGCTCTAGGCCTTTTGGTTCTTTACAAGAAGATTTTTTAAATTTATTCTTATAATTCCTTTTGGTTGCCATGGCAACCAGATTTCTGCATGGAATGAAATTCTTTCAACAACTTTGGAAGCCCTTCACCCAAGGATCAATCCTGCCAAGTTTGGTTGAAATTGGACTAGTGGTTTTTCACAAGAAGATTTTTTAAGTTCACTATATAATCTATATAACACACACACACACAAACAAACACACACACAGGTGAATCGCTATATGCCACCGCATCGCAGATGCTGCGGTGGCATAAAAACAACTTCCAGCTAGTTTCATCTAAAGGTTCAATCTCTCGTACACAATACATGCCACAATCTAGAAATGTAACTGAATAACATACAACTGTAGTAGCATGTGCAGCATGGCCATGACTTGTACCTGGGACCTTCTAAATACCCTTCCAAGGGCACAGTCATTTTCTCCCAAATTGTGACATACGTGTACATCTCAAGCATTTATGCACATATGTTGGCATTCATCATTTCTCCTTAACATAATTGCTTCATTCAAAATTTACAACACTATAAACTAAAGTTCATGCAAAACATACAGTAAAATAAATTCATGCTAAATATGAAATAAAATAATAATCGGAAAATGGACCAAAACAATTGCATTTACAAGCAACTTGTTACAAATTTTGCTATGGTCATGGTGTGCTTGACAATTTACCAAATACATGCAAACGCCATGCAAAAATGAAAATTAATCTAGTAACCTACATTATTTACTGTATTTAGTTTTAATTTTTTAGACATAGAAAATGATTAAATCTTATATAATAATAAATTACTACTGGCTGTTAAAAAATATAAAATGCCAAGTTTCAATTTCTGCAAATAGCCAATCATGTTTATTTTTCCAATTTCATCAAAATATAATATATTTTTTCATAAATCAAATATGCGTATAAAAATATGCTTATATAAAAGGAGGAAATTGAAATTTCAAGCATAAAAATAAGCAATTTGTTGTACCCTTTTATAATCAAAGAGGAGCGCAAATAAAGCAATGCTCAACACTATAAACATGAAAAAAAAATTTAAAAACTTTGGGGGAAAAAAGCACTACTGCTTAGAAAAGCTTATATTTATATCATAAGCAATTTTGCTATGAAAAAATGGTAAAATATGCAACAACATTAAAAAAACGATCAAAACAAATAACTGCAATGCTGATGAAAGTTATAATGTTAGCTGGTATTACTTTAATAGTTATAATCCGGAACTTGGCAAATATGGGTTTTCCCAAGATAAATACCTCAGTACAAACAAATTTTATCGTTAAATTTATCAACATGTAGTGATTTTTTTTCGAAGCTGTAACTGTAAAAGTTTGTTTATATCCATGGATTAGCTGGGAAACCCAAAATATGTATAATTCCGAAGTAAGTCTATTAACATACAAAATATAAAATAAACATGTAAAATAAATTCATTTTTATTTACTGTTTTGAAGTTACTTGATTAAATTTCAGTTCGATGCCCTATTAACCTTGCTTTCTCTTCATTAACTTTTAACAACACTGATGTATCTTAATTTCCAGTTATACATACAGTAAATATATATATAAATCAAAATTACATGTAAATGATGTGTTACCTGATAAATCACTTTAATAATTGCTTGTATATGCTAACCAAAGAACATAAAATGTATCAAATTTCCAAAACTTTCATTGCCTTTATCATCTTTAACAAGTAGAATTTATAATTTATTAGTCTCAATAATAAAACAAAGAATTACAAATCAAAAGGTCATAAAATTAACATTTTGCAAGCTTGGTTACATATTTCAAATGGAGCCATGAGAAATTTAATTATTATTATCATTCCCATTGCAAGGTATCCATTCTTTTTTTCAAACTTTACAACTTTAAAAATGCCATCATCATTACTTACATATACTTGTAATTATTTAGTTTACAGTTATTCAGTTTTTTTATATTATCTTTAATTTGTTTAACAAATTTGTTTCAAATTGTATTATTCATAGTAAATGACAATAGCTACAGCTTCGTTATATTGATCCTTAACTATCATAATAATATTCGAAACAATAAAATATTTAATGAATCAACAATTTCAATAAAACTGACAATATTATTTTACATCACTATCACAACATTAGGTATCAAAAGTGATTTTAAGGGCAGGGGGATCAAAATGCATGTACACAATGTGAAGCACATCATATAAAGTGATCTCGTGCATTATTTGTCTCGTGCATTGCTTACTTATTTATCACAGCAAGTAGCATGGCTTTATAGTCTCCCTGACATTGGGAGTTTACAGCATCGTACAATGTCCGACTGTATAACTCGTAGTAACGCATCTTGATGTCCTCTAAGTCAACCTGTAATATAGACAAAATGATACAAACAATAAATAAATCATCAAGATAACTGTAATGCTCAGGTACACAAAATTATGCCTCATCCCCTAATATGGCTGAAAATCAGTTATGAGATAACTGCAATGGAAAAGGAAAAGTCACCTAGTAATATGACCAAAGATGAGATAACTGACATGGTATAGGAAAAGTCGCCTAGTAATATGACCAAAGATGAGATAACTGACATGGTATAGGAAAAGTCACCTAGTAATATGACCAAAGATGAGATAACTGACATGGTATAGGAAAAGTCACCCAGTAATATGACCAAAGATGAGATAACTGACATGGTATAGGAAAAGTCACCCAGTAATATGACCAAAGATGAGATAACTGACATGGTATAGGAAAAGTCGCCCAGTAATATGACCAAAGATGAGATAACTGACATGGTATAGGAAAAGTCGCCTAGTAATATGACCAAAGATGAGATAACTGAAATGGTATAGGAAAAGTCGCCCAGTAATATGACCAAAGATGAGATAACTGACATGGTATAGGAAGAGTCGCCCAGTAATATGACCAAAGATGAGATAACTGACATGGTATAGGAAAAGTCACCCAGTAATATGACCAAAGATGAGATAACTGACATGGTATAGGAAAAGTCGCCCAGTAATATGACCAAAGATGAGATAACTGAAATGGTATAGGAAAAGTCGCCCAGTAATATGACCAAAGATGAGATAACTGACATGGTATAGGAAAAGTCGCCTAGTAATATGACCAAAGATGAGATAACTGACATGGTATAGGAAAAGTCACCTAGTAATATGACCAAAGATGAGATAACTGACATGGTATAGGAAAAGTCACCCAGTAATATGACCAAAGATGAGATAACTGACATGGTATAGGAAAAGTCACCTAGTAATATGACCAAAGATGAGATAACTGACATGGTATAGGAAAAGTCGCCTAGTAATATGACCAAAGATGAGATAACTGAAATGGCAAAAGAAAATGAGACTGGTAAATCTGAAAATAGTGAACAATAAGGACAAAAAGTAATGTAATATAGCAGAAACTAGATCATTAAAGAACAAAACAAGAGCTGTCGGTAGGACAGCATGCTCGACTATTCTAAGTGCTTGATAGTAAAAGAGACTTGATAATGTTAAATTTTTTAAGTTCACAAAAGGGCTAATTTTTTTTTATAAATTCATGTTATTGGCCTTAGAGAGAGTCTAATTATACAGTATTGGCTTGACTATTCGGAAGGTAATGTCACAAGGGTGTTTTATTGAGTATAATAATACTAATTACCTATGAATACATAAATTTGACAGAAAAGGTACAAAGGCTTGTTATTAAGATGTTTTATCAAGTAAATCACTGCTTTATTAATATGAATGCATAAAATTGTCCCAAAAAAGGCACAAACCCTTCCATAGTTATTGAGATAACAGCTTACAAGCAAAACTTTACCATGAATTTCTAAGTTAAAAAAGGGGAGAAAAATCAGCCTTAATGCAAGATAGAATTATGGATCTTTGTCAGTGACCTACAATTATGACCCTAAATGCATATGTGAAGTTTTAAATAAATATCTTTAATAGTTATTGAGATATGTAAAACTTGCATGTAAACATTAACCAAGAGACTAAGTAGAAAAGGGGATATGAATCAGTCTTAATGCAAGATAGAGTTATGGAACTTGGTCAGTGACATACAATTATGACCCTCCAATTATGACTCTAAGTGCATGTGTAAAGTTTTAAGTACATATCTTTGAAGACCTTTAACCTTTAACCAAAATTTCTAAGTTTCAAAGGGGCAAATAATTCTGCAAATATTGCAGGCAGAGTTATGCAATTTTGCAAACTGATGTACATTGCTACTATAAAAAAGTATTTTAAATTTCAATTGAATATCTCAAGCAATAATTGAGATATTTGACTTTACAAAAAAAACTTTAACAATAAATTTCTAAGTTCCAAAGTGGCATAATTCTGTCAATATTGTAGGCAGAGTTATCCAACTTGTCAATCTGATGTACTTTGTTACTATAAATAAGTATTGTAAGTTTCAATTGAATATCTCAAGCAAAAATTGAGATATTTGACTTTACAAAAAACTGAACTAAAATTTCTAAGTTAAAAAGGGGCATAATTCTGTCAATATTGTAGGCAGAGTTATCCAACTTGTCAATCTGATGTACCTTGTTACTATAAATAAGTATTGTAAGTTTCAATTGAATATCCCAAGAAATAATTGAGATATTTGACTTTACAAAAAACTTTAACCAAAATTTCTAAGTTAAAAAGGGGCATAATTCTGTCAATATTGTAGGCAGAGTTATCCAACTTGTCAATCTGATGTACCTTGTTACTATAAATAAGTATTGTAAGTTTCAATTGAATATCTCAAGTAATAATTGAGATATTTGACTTTACAAAAAACTTTAACCAACGCAGACGCCGACGCAGACGCTGATGCCGACGCCGGGGCGACTAAAATAGCTCTCATATTCTTCGAATAGTCGAGCTAAAAATCAGCTTCATTGTACCAACTGAATTGAACCTGATCAGACAAGACATATGTGCAATCTTATCTGGATCGATACAAGTGGCAAAGGCTAACAATTTCTGTTCCAGCATGTAAAGGGTATGTAAGATTTTTTGAGGATAAAGAATAACCAAATAGAGATCTTACCTCTGATCTTGGGACAACCAGTCTGATAAGAAGATTGTCATTTGTTCCCATACTGGTAAAACAGCCATGTAATTTCTCAGCATAAAACTCTACAGGGTCTTCTACTGCCTTAGCTGAAATTGAAGAACATTATAGAAACAACATTCAAATATGTTTTGAATAATGATCTGCATTTATCCAAATGATTTTAAGATATGAATACTTAACAGAACAAATGCCTGTTTAAATTTTTGTAAATAACAAAGGGGCATAACTTTGCTTTCAGTATAAGGATGCCCCTTGTCTCACAACTTTGCCTTGTCAAGTGTTCCAAGTTTAATGTTGATACCTTTAATAGTTTTAAAATCATTCTACTTAATAATAAGAAAATTTGATGGTAAAGACTAATAAATTTACCAATAGTGATGTAAACATCTTCATCATCTCCTAGAGAAGACTTTGTAATATCAGCATATATGTCCTCGCCATTAACCTGTTAAAATACATGACAATTATTGCAGGTATCTTCTCTATCACAGAAAATGTTAACCAGAATAAGTTGAAATATAAAGAGGTATCTGTTTTATTTATAAAATGAAATAAATGACAAAAACCAAATTGAACTAACTGATAATCATTTGATACATTCCAAATAAAAACAAAAATAAAAGACAAAAGAAATAATATCTGTTTCAAAGAAAAAGAATTCTGACTTTTAAAAAAGTAGTTGTTTAAACACTAGATTGAAGTTCTCAGTTAGAGCCTATTACAGTTACTAGCATACCAGAAATTATTCTAATTAAAAAAAATTGGGATTTTTTTTCTTTTTAATACCATTTTCATTTATTTCAAAATAGTAACCTTACATGTAGTAACTAAATGCATTTTAAAAGTACATAGAATGTGCATAGAAATTATTAAAATTTTCTGCCTATTTTATAAGTGATTCTATAAAGCAAAATGATCTCTTTTTACAGAACATGTGCTTTGTCTTCAGTTTTATTTGTGTGTGAGGAATCTTTTGCTATTATCTTTTGTATTCACTTTAAGAGTGCTTGAAGTTTTCTAAAGGCATATAGAGATCAAATTGTCAAAAATATAAGCAAAATTATCAAATACCAAATATTTTTGTCTATTGATCCAAATATACACAGCAGAACAAATTTTTTATAACAATTGTCAGTATCTTAGCATTTAATTAACTCAAATATACATTATTTCTTGCATATCAGACAGGATTATCTACCGTTTACACCGGTGCTAGAAAACCCTGTCTTACACCCCCCATGTAAGACAAGTCGCGTGCTTTAAATGACGTCATTGCTGCGCGCCTTTTATGAATGAATTGCATTCTTAGGATGATGTCACTTAACCGTCATGAATGAAGTTGTACGTTTATACGCTACTATAAGAAAAAAGTGCGTAATGAGAATATCAGTTTTCGTAATTTCTGTTCTGAAAATAATTAACATGCAATATGCAAGAAAAAGAATCAAACACAGGCTGTCGATACAGACGGGAATATTTAGCTCTCGGGTAACTGTTTAGCGGAAACTCGGCAGAGCCTCGTTACCGCCATAAACAGTCACCCTCGAGCTAGATATTCCGGTCTGTACCGGCAGCCGATGTAAGATTCTTATAGTATAACATGAGTATGACATAATTATGCCAGCTGAACCATAATGCTAGGTTATTGTGCAAATTTGCTCCTCCTTATTCCAAATGTACACAACCAGTACCAATCAGTCCAACCTTTAGGTATTTGTTCCAATTGACCCAAGCCTGAAGTCTTTGTGTAAATTAATCAAAATTCTAGTTTTAGCTCTAAAATATTCTGTTCTGTTCTAAGTGACACCAAACTGGTTATGCACTGTTTATTTGAATATAACCCCTCTAGATAATAATTAAGACAAAATTGATCAAATATAGCATAAATAAACAAACTAAATCAACAATGAAAACAATGATGTTTTTGAAAACAATAATATTTTTTGTCATTGACAGTCACTATAATATTTTTATATAACTGTTAATCTAAGAAGCAGCTCCTATTGTTTATTTAGTGCAATACTCATTGCTGAATTCTCTACATATACATTGTCGTGACCTAATGAAATTTTGTGCACTTAGCATTAATGATAACAAGAACTGTCACTGGACAGAGCCTTCAACTATTCTCAGTACTTGATTGTAAAACAAGACCCATGTCAGTAGTTTTTAAATTCACAAAAATTATAAATCAAATTAAAGTATATGCAAAGTTATTATTTTCATATCTTGCAAATTATACCATGAAGACATAATTGAGTGAAGTTTCCACAAATAATTTCAGATTTTGTGGCCGACAGAATTTAACTAAGTGTTTACTTCAGTCATTAAATTAATTGTTTAAGTATTGGGTCTTGGAAGATCATTTATATTGTAACACTGAAACCAAGTATAAAGTTCTTCAGTAGCTTTTAAGATAGTGCTTTACACCCAAAACTTATCTAGAAATTCTTTAAGTTTATGAAAGGGAATTATCAAATTTAAATACATGAACTCTAATGGATTTTTTGTCAGTGACCTTAAATTCAAACCTTATAGACATGTGTGGAGTAAATTCCTCCAGTGATTGTATGAAAACCATTTGCATGCAAAATCTTGACCACAAATGCAAATTCTTTAAAACAGGAGTTTTCTAAGTTCACAAGGGGCTATGATTCAAAATCTAAAATTTAAAATACATACTAAAGTTATGGGTCTTAGATTGTGACACACAATAATGTTCTCAAAAACATTGTACAAAGTTCAAGACAGTAAGTTCAGTAGATAATAAGATATGAAGCCTTTTCTTAGTGTTTTGCCAAACGTCGGTACTAACTTGAGTAGAATAGCTCCCCTAATTCTTTGAACAGTTGAGCTAAAAATGCTGCTATATAAAATGCATACTACAAAATTTCACTGCAATCATAAAATTGTACTAGCCTGATCCATATTGTGAACAAGTGAAATATCAACTCTAGCCTGTCCTTTACTGTGCACTGCTAATGCTTGAAGTATTATATACTTACTCAATGCAAAACTTCATACTTTTATATGAAACAATCATAATGTATTTACTCAAAACAATACTTCATATAATAAATGATTATAAAAAAGATGATTGATGAAACATTTAAGCTCACTGATGAATCAATTAAGCTCACTGATGAATCAATTAAGCCCACTGATGAAACAATTACGCCCACTGATGAAACAATTTAACCCTTATCTGCTGAAATTCTTAAAATGGACTTGTCCAGCTTCCATTATTGGAACTGTCCATTTTTGGATGTGAAGATGAAAATTCATGATTCCTTGGGCGAGAGGTTGACACATTCACCACTAGACCCCTCACATTGCCCATTAATCAGGTTGGTAGTTAAAAGATCAAACTCTATTGGTTGTATTCAATAACACAATTCTTTTTATAAAATATTAACATATTCAGCACATATGAATATAATATACTCTGCTCACATAACATAGTTGATCCTAAACAAAAGTAAGTTACTGGAATATACTCAATATATATATACAAATTTACCTTTTTAAATTCATCAAAAGTTGCTTTCACTTGGAAATGATTTAGTTTGGAAACAACATTTACAAAAGTTTCACTGAGGACACCATCCTGCAAGTAGATAACAAAAATAAATCACTGTGAATCAACAAAAAATGGCACATAATTAAATACACCATTTTCAGGAAAAATTATTTCTAAATTGAAGATGTAGAAGGATGGTATTAACTACAATTGTCTCCCTTTGTAGATAATATAGTTAAAATCCATCATATTCATCTAGGATTCTTGTTTTCAAAATCTCAAATTATGACTAGGGAAATGCCAAATAATGTTTATAATTGGCTTAAAAATCCCAATTTATGTCTAAAAAATGCCAAATAATGTTCATTATAGGCTTAAACAAGAGCTGTCCGTAAGACAGCGCGCTCGACTTTTTTATTGCTTGCCAATAAAAAAAGTTTTTGCAGTAAAAGGCAATACAAGAATCTCTGTATTTTTAAAGTGAACAATGGCCATGAGCATTAAGATATTTAGTGAAGAATTATTTTATTATGACATAATTTATGGTAAAGTGAACAAGTGGATAGGAATGAATTTTTTTAGATTTTTTAAGTTTTTTAGTGCTTGCCTATAATACAAAACATTGACAGTTAAGGGCCATAATTCAAATAAAATCTTTGACAGAATTACCTTCTCCTGGACATGTTTGGGAATCATGATTGTAAACAAGTATTCCAACTTTCAAATTAATATCTCAAACAGTTCAGTCAAAAAGTGGACTGGTACTAAAAACTTAACCAAGATTCTAAGTCGATAAAAGGCCTTAATTTTTAAAAACAAATCCTTGACAGAGTTACCTTCTCTTGCGTACAGATGGGGGTAATGATGTGAAATAGCATTAAAAGTTTCAAAGCAATATCTCAAAGGGTTAAGGCAATAAGTGGATTTTACCCATATTCAATGTATTTTCTAAGTCAAAAAGGGGCATAATTCTGTCAAAAAACCTTGACAGAGTTATGTCCTCTTGTCTGTTGATGAAGGTCGTGATGGTAAACAAGTATGGTCAGTTTCAAAGCAATACCTCCAATGGTTTTGAAATAAAGTGAGGTGGTACAAAAAACTTAACCAAGCTCAATACACTTTCTAAGTCAAAAAAGGGCCATAATTCTGTCAAAAACCTTGACAGAGTTATGTACTCTTGTCTGTAGATGGAGGTTATGATGGTGAACAAGTATGGTAAGTTTCAAAGCCATACTTGTAATACTTCTGAAATAAAGTGGGGTGGTACGAAAAACTTAACCAAGGTGTGACGCCAACGCCGACGCCGACGCCGGGGCGAGTAGGATAGCTCCCCTTTTCATAGAAAAGTCGAGCTAAAAATGTTTAATCTCTTTGCTTTCATTGCTACACCATCAATGTTTGTGGGATAAAAAATCTTCATATTTAATTTTTATAAAATTATTCACCTTTTGAAGATCTTTAGCATCTTTCTGTGCTTGTTGCATATTGACAGCAGTACCAGCAGCTCTCTCACCACGTGCCAGATTTAACAATAAATTCTTCAAATCAGCGCCAGCATCACGTGTCACGTCTTTATCAAAATCTCCACCTCCAGCTTAAATGACAGAATTAAAATTAAACTCTGATGTTACGATGATTTTTACTTAAATGCTTGATGCCATTTATTCCTTAGTTTCTATGAATTTATTTTAGTTTGTGTTGAAAGTTATAAGCTTATTGAAACACTCTAGAACACAACCAGTACTTAGCAATGAGTGTAAAGTTTTTTGCTCAAGGAAACAACGTCTTGCCCCTGACGAAGTTTGAACCCACCCTGTCAGCAATCCTTAGATTACTAGTCCGACATGTAAACCGCTCAGCTACGCCCTCATTTATTCTTTCATCAATTTTCTTGACAGACTCAATTTAAAATTAATTAACACTTAGCCAGCTGGAAACAACAAATTAAACTTTGACATAAGACCAGTGCAGACCAAGATCAATGGTCAATACTGTTTGCTATTCAGTTAGAAGTTATTTTGAAATTTTCCCTTAAAACAATAAATGGTTTTGTCTGGATTGAAAGATGGACAAGTTCATTTAATATATTTATCTTTATGTATTAAAGAGTTAAGAAACATCATTTAATATGATTTAAAATTAATTTAACTGCATACTGCATATTAAAACTGATTAAATATGCTTATTCAATATCATATACAGCTAAACAGCTACAATTAATCAATGAAATACAATGTAATTTGAGCCGCTTCATGACAAAACCAACATAATGGGTTTGCGACCAGCATGGATCTAGACCAGCCTGCGCATCCGCGCAGTCTGATCAGGATCCATGCTGTTCGCTTACAAACCCTATAACAAGTAAAGACACTGATAGTAAACAGTATGGATCCTGATCAGACTGCGCGGATGCTGGTCGCAAACCCATTATGTTGGTTTTGTCATGATGCGGCTCATTTAAACTTATCAAGGGCATCAAAAGGAGTTAACTAAATGCAAAATAAGTAGCATAAAGTGCTATACAAATATAAACAATGACATTTTATTTACCTTTTCTGTAATGTTCTTTAATAGATTTCAATTCCTGAAACAAAATTTAAAATGGTTTACACAATAATCAATTTTCAACTGCTTGAATCAAATGCTTTATATACATATTGTCAATAATGCTAAAAGAAAATACATGTACATGTATTAAACATTTTTATGTTAACAGCCTCAACAGTGCATATAGGCTAGTTGTACGTGACGGACACATACGGCCAAATCTTTTGGCTAGCAATACGGGTCCATACGATAATAGTTTTCTTGCCATGAGCTCTATATCCAGGGGATATAACTAAATGAAGACTAAGTTTAGTGCAAGTATAATGTGACCTGATAGGATACCATGAATACACATCTAAAGCATGATATCTGCTATATAGTTTGGAATAGAGTCAAGTGCCGCAAGGAGATACAGCCACTTATAATGTTACTAAAAATAGATCAAGGATACCCAAAAATCCAACAAACATACAGGGTAAAAAACTGCAGATAATACCATACCTGAGCAGATCTTGTACACAGTATAGCTATTAGAGTGGGCTCTGAAGTGCCCAGTCCCTCTACAGCCTCTCTCACCACATGGGCATCATACTCTGCTGGGGTCATCATGAGTGCCAGCACTATCTCCTCCCAGTCACCAGTCATCTCTGACGTCAGATCTATCGTCAAGTTCTAAAAATAGAATTACCATGATGGAAATTCTGTACAAAATTGAAGATAAAGAAGTGTACTCTTTTTTAATACCATATTTATTATCAACATGCCCTTAAAATATAAACAGGTAAGGCCAGATGGTTCTATTGACAACCAATCTTTAAAAAAATTGTCTACCTATGTAAGTTAAAAATACTGATGAAGTTAAAGTAATTTTTCAATATTAGTTTTTCACTTTCAAAATTATGTTCAAAATGGCAGTACTATGCTGTGTCAGTTATTTAATATGTCAGCATTTTGCTGTGTCAGTCATTTGTTGTGTGAGCATTTTGTTGTGTCAGTCATTTGTTGTGTCAGCATTTTGTTGTGTCAGTCATTTGTTGTGTCAGCCTTTTGCTGTGTCAGTCATTTGTTGTGTCAGCCTTTTGCTGTGTCAGTCATTTGTTGTGTCAGCCTTTTGCTGTGTCAGTAATTTGTTGTGTCAGCCTTTTGCTGTGTCAGTCATTTGTTGTGTCAGCCTTTTGCTGTGTCAGTCATTTGTTGTGTCAGAATTTAGCTGTGTCAGTCATTTGTTGTGTCAGCCTTTTGCTTTGTCAGCATTTTGCTGTGTCAGAATTTTGCAAGTGCTTTTTAATTAAGTCTTTCCTACAAAAAAGCATTTAACCAAAATATTGATAACAAAACATTAGATGATGTCATCAAGTAGTTTTTTTTATTTCTTACACAACAATTTCAATACATATAAATACTCTTAGTCTCTTAAAGTGAATTGCTCCATAATGGAAGGTATGTTATAATAAAAATAATAATGTTGATAACATTTAGTATCAAGTATGACAACAAACCACAAAAGAATTTTATGGGGATGTTGATGGTAAGTGTAAGATACATGGTCCTTTATTACATATTTATTTATCTCGCAGATGATCAATTGTTCTTGAACAAAATATTATAAATGTTCTGGTAAATTATTTAGAACTCGACCAACATTTATTTTTCATGAAATATTTCACAAGATTATCTAGAAGATTTATATTGTTTATATGAATATCTGAAATACATAAGGAAAATGTTCTCATTGCAGACCAATCCACTTTAAAGATACACATTTATCAACCATAGTTTATAATTCATCAATATGAATTAAAACAGGTGCTGTCACAGAGAAATTATGCTCAACTACTTTCAATACCAGATAGTAAGAAAAGAGTCATATAAGAAGTTAATAAAAAAGTTGGAAAGTTCAGTAAAAATCCATGCATCTGTGCCATTGACCTAAAATTATAACATTTAAAGATATGTGTAAAGTGTTTTAGTAAATAACTTCAATGGTTGAAGACAAAACGAACTTGCATGCAAATACCATTATCAGCAACTTTCTAAAGTCCACAATTCAGTAAAACAAAATTAAATCTGGAGTTTTGTGATCTAAATCAAATATCTTCCTATTATAACACTAAAACATGAGAGAAATTTGAAGAGAATATCTTCAGTGATAAATCAATTGGTAAATGAAATATGAAATTACACCCAACACCATAAAAAACATTATCCCCAATGCTTATGTCCACACCAGGGTGAGTAGAGGATAGCCCCACTAATTTTCAAAACCGAACAACCAGAATGATATATAAAGCTCTCCTATGCAAACCAAACAAGTGTATTTAAAAGGCTTTCAAATAAAAAAACATTTAACCAAAATATTGATGACAAGACATCAGATGACGAAATTTTTCAAAGAGAAGCAAAAAATAAAACCAATATGTATAAAAAAACAATTACAGATAAAAATATCTGTTTCATAATTATCTATCGGTCCATAAAAAGATACAAAAGCCCAAAATAGAAAAGTATTCAAATAAACACTTCTAAATGTCTGGGTGAAATAAAACACATACTTTAACCTCCTAAATAGAAATATAAAACAATCTAAATTAGTTTTTTTTTAAAATATGCACAATATAAAAACCTGCATTCTAATATGCTTTAATTTACACTTTTAGTTTGGTTCAAGGTGTGACTAGCAAAGTAAATGTCCTGTAGTTAACTTAATTTTGGGAAAATCTCAAAATGCTCTTATATGTAGTTTCTTAGTCCCAGGAAGAACAACAGAAGTACACCTTCTGTATACCATACTAATATCAGGCCAGGCTTTCACTTATATTCTCAAAGCTCAAATCTGAGATTTTTCTCAACTCAGAAACTGAGATTGTGATTTTTCTCAGTTTGGCTTTTCTTGAATTAGCTTTTCTTGAAAAATGTGTTTCTCTGAACATATTTTAATTTTGCTTTGTGAAATTTTATCTCTACGGAACCAGTTCTATAGATTTCCATATTATATACATGTAGTGTCATTACAGGACAATTTTTGAGATGTCTTCAAACTTGAAAAGGGAAATTTAAATTCTTAAAGAAGTCCAATATTTTATAACTATGTTTATACCTTTTTATGTTTCTGTTCGTATGTTGCCTTTAGTTGTTGCCTTTGTTTATTACTTCTTTTAGGAATGATGGACACAACAACGGACTCATCGGCTCTCTCACCACTCATTGCACTATTCAACTTATCACAGTCATCCTCGGGTCTAAAATTACTTGCTGGCTTCACCGTGCCCCTGTGGTTACCATCTCTAGCCCCTGTGGGACTACTTTTCTTCTTTGTAGCATGTTCTTGATTGTCTTTTGATTTTGATTGCTGAGCAGGTTTTTGTTCTGATTTTGTGCTATTTTTAGAATCATTGTCTATTTTTGGATTGTCACCTGACTCACTTTGACCTTGACCTTTGACCTTGGTTTCTGCTTTCTTACCAGTGGGAGGTTTCTTAGCATTGGAAGGTTGTGGTTGTGATTGTTGGTTGGCTGTACCATCTTTAACATAAGCTTTTTTGGGGTCTGCTTTCTATAATAGTAAATACAAGCCTAATTAAATATTACCAATAAAATAAATTTGTGACAAAAGTCTTGATTTATTACTGTGTTGCAATAGTAATTTGATATTATTTGTTAAAATATTTTTCAAATTAATTTTTTTAAAAATGATGATTTCTAAGAACACACATACTCATCCTTTTTTCTAAATTGCTTTTTATTTTTGATAGAACTTAATTGCTCATAACAATACATGATCGATCATATAGGCCCTGTAATTTTCTCAGTTACTGATTCTTGTTTTCCTAACTTCATACATTCATCCTTTTAAACTGACAGTAACTATAAATGAGACAAATAAAATGTGCAATAACTACTTATCTTGCATTATTTATGACCTAGAAAACTAAAATATACTATAAACAAAATATCTTGCGGCATAACTTTTTTTTACCAAAAATAACAAACCAACCTTTTTGGAGCCAGCTGGGACTTTATTAGCCAGTTCAATGAGACATTTCTGTGTGGGATGTGACTTGGCTTTGATATCTTCAGTTATATCAACACCATATAACTTTTTATACACTTTCTTAATCTCTGGCATATCAATCTGTAATAAAAAGTTTAATGATAATTATATTAACCCCTACCCTGCTATACATGTATGTATGGAATGGACTTGTCTTGGTTTGAATTTAGAAAAGTCTATCAGAAGTTTAAAGGAATTCAATATCCAGAGCTCTAAAACTTAGCCAGCCAGCAGACAGTATAGTAATCTGTGCAAAATGGTTCTATAGGTTGGTTGCACAGGCGCTACTATGGCTTTGGCTAAAAAGGTTATACATGTACATAACTTTATCTTAACCTCTTAGCCATGGTTCATACCTTTTCCTTTATTGCACCAGTTCTTTGACACACTTTCCAGCTTTACTGGTGGAGAAAGACCTCAGGTGCCCTTCCTTGCATTATTACAGGCACAAAGAGGCATCTAAGTAGAACAGCTGGATAGCTTTCTCACATGAAAAAAACCCAAAGTTCCTGTTGGGATTCGAACCAACAGAAGTGAGGGGCAAGTGGTTTAAAGTCAACAATCTTAACCACTCAGCCCTTTGCACAGCTCTTGGCATGCAGTTTTTGGCATGCAGTTTTTTAGGGAACAAAATTACATATTCTATTTTTAAACAGCATTCTTTCATAAAATAGTAACATATTAAGAATATTTTTTTGAAAAAAAAAAACACACAACAAAACAACAAAAAACATGCAATGGCTACACACCTCAGATCTTACAACTAGAGTGTTAACAAACACTGGGTCAGTTGGAAGTTTATGTCGATGTAATTGGTCTGCATAGTATGAGGAAGGTGAACCTATACACTGAACTGAAAAAAAAACAAAAACAATATAAACAATGTTAAACAAATAATAACTTTTTGTATAAAATGTAATTTACCAGGAAACAAAACATGAAATATAAAGTTAAAATCTCCAAAACACAACTTATAGAATGAATCAGGGGCGGCGAAATCAATTGTCCGTATTGCCCATGTTGTCCCACAGCCTGTATGGACAAGTGGAAATTTTTTCCAGATTTCTACTTTATAAATATCATACAGACAAGTTAAGAAATGCTTCAAGCAGGGTTTTTTCCAGGATTTTGGGAAGATGACCCATACCCATGAAATTGGGAATTTCAGCGGTTTTTTTAAAAAAAATGGGAAAAATTGATGACTTAAATTTTGCAGTGATTTAATGAATGGAAAGAATAACTGTCTAGGATGGCATCTTCAAACATTTAAGCACCATAACAGTGAAGAAGCCCTCATTTTCAAAGATTTTAAAAATTGTTATTTAATATTTTTATTTTGTAACTTTCAATTGGGAATTTTTTCTTGTGGAAAATTGGGAAAATAATATAGTACTATTCTCAATTGGGAATATGACCGCATATCGGCTATGAAATAAGCCAATAAAAATCCCTGTTAAGTAAAATGAACAAGCAAGTCAAAGTCAAATTTTGCTGACACTGAATTAATGAAGCAATAATTTTTTTATTTTTAATGTCATATACAATAATGATTAATAATGGGACATCCCATGAGCTTTGAAACATAATCAATTAAAACATAACATTTCATAATTATGTTGTAAAATAAATTCTAAAGGTTTTAAATTATTCAAAATATAAGATTGAAACTGCATATTATATTCATTCACACTTTTATTATTGGAAATCACAGGGACTCTGCTTTAGAATAATGAACAAGAATTATTCCTATTAATTCTAATAATGCTTTTAAAGCACTAAGTGGCTAGTATACAAATTAATGTTTGCATTCATTTAAAACTTTCACATCATCAGTTATAGCAATGTAACCTGCTCAAATATTCATTATTTCAAAACAAGCTTCATTTTAATAAAGTAAAATCTATATAGCACTTCCATAATCTGGCCGATCAATTTGCACAGCATTAACTCTTGAAGCTCCTAAATTGCTACTTTCTATTGTTTATCATATAACTAACAAATATTGTGAATTTTCAAAATCTTAATGTCATGGTAACAAACATAAACAAACTTGTAGATTACATGAAACCATCATGTCATTCACATAGCAGTAAAAATCCTTGAGTCTGCAGAATTTAAAGTCATCTTTTTCCCATTTAACCATTTCTTTTAATGTATTTATTTCTTTTTAGTTGCTAAATTTTTAAAGCACAAGTAAAGCACTCTTGGTCACTTTACTGGCAAACTAAAATCCCAATTGACTTTACTTGCAGACTAAGATTCAATGTGACCTTATTTGCAGACTACCAACTTTAAATATGGTGATTCCACACATGAAAAATCTTCTTTTTTGATATTATACAAAAAATGGGACTTCAAACTATGGAAAATTTCTGAATGGAAATATCAAGTTTAAAAATATCTGCATATATAGCAGTAAGAACATACCTATAGTACTTAAAATTTTGTAAAAATCTTTTGGAGAATCTTTCTTCATGGCATGAAGAATGTCCTCGCCCCCGGCAACCGTCTTATACTCCGCGAAAACTGCATGGAGATGAGCATAACTTCTGTCATTGAGCAATTTTATAAATATACCATTATCACTATCCCAACAGCCATCACCATACTGTAAACATGAAATAAAACAACTACTATACTGTTTTTCAGTTACAAAAACATCCACATACATTCAACAAATATCATTTCTTCTTTAAGGTCATTTTAAACAAATTAATTTAAATTACAAAACAGGCACATATTTCAGTTTCTAGAAGGAAAACATATGAGATCTCAAAAATTTGTTTGAATAACTGATGATTTTTGTTTAAAAGTATTTTTAACTGTGAGTTTCTTTTGAACATATACATGTGTATGATTTGAATAGCTATTTGTCCTTAGTCCAGTAACAAGTTCTGTCCTTCTAAATTTATTAGTGGGAGTTAATCAGTTATTGCATTAATGTAACAAATTATGCAATAAAAGTAAAGCATGCAAACTAAGCCATTATGGATATGCACTTTTATTCTCAAAGCAGTTCTAATCAGAGGATTTAGTGTAGAGCAAAATTATCAGATAACTTTAATTACTAAAGCACTTTGTAGTCACATGATTCAGTCTCTATGAACAATCAATTCATATATTATAAATGTACATTTCATTCTAGAGCAAACTGTCCACTTTTAAAATTAGCTCTTAACATTAAAAAAATCAAATATGTATTACCTCATAAATGGCTTGGGCATCTTTCTTTACAAGATCATAATCTACATCTGTTGACTCATCACGGACACCCTGAAACATAAAAACATAGACATTACTCAAATATATGCTTTATACCAAATTTGTCTTTGTCACAGTTCAGAACTGTTCACTACTGAGGGAAGATGTGTATGTGGCCTGATAGGTTAGTCTGTAGGCAGCTGCGGAAAGGTATTCCAAGGGTCCCAGATTCGAGTCCCAGTCAGGCTGAAAATTTTTCTCAACCTGTGACATCTACATGTATGCTAATTGCCATACTTATTATTCCAAAAGCAATCTTTACATGTGCTGAATATAAGCCTTGAATATGCTAAATGCAATTTTTTCATGCGCAGAATTCCATACTTGAATACGATAAATACCATACTTGAAAGTGGTAAATATGATCTTTGTATGTGTCAAATGCACTTTTTGTATGTACTGACTGCTAAGTGCCATCACTATAAAATGACAATGTTGTGTCTAAGAAAGGATACCTTTTTTTACGTCCCCCATGACTGGACAAAGTTGTTTATATCATTTGATGTACCGGTAAACTTAACAGAACATCACTATTTCATTTTAACAAACAATAATAAATGTATGAAGTTCAAATGAATCAATCAAATTTTATAGACCATTAAATAACGAACAATTTTCCTGTTGACTTCATCGCTATGGATTTTTTGTACTTTTCATTGAACAGTACTGTCAATTAAAGAGTATGTAAAAGACCTTTGATTTAGAGTTGAAAGCATGTTAGACAAATCATATCTTAAGTTACAAAGCTTTGTAGAAAAAGCTGTTGCATAGATAAAAGAGAAGAATTACCTTTTGTAATGCTATAAGAACTGTTTGTAATGGAGGTTTGGATCTATCAGTTACATCCTCTTCTAAACTGATCGAAAATTCTGAAACAAATCAATACAGAAATTTTATTTTTAAAAACAATAAAGCTATAAATCATATATTGATATATCACATTTTGTGATTTTTTTTGTGCAGGTACCATACAAATGTTATTCTTACAGTAATGCCAGGTATGAACAATTTCAGTAACGCTAAAATAACGAAGACTTGAATCATTTTGAAATAATGGCAGCAGTATTTTTCCATTACTTCATACAATGTTAGTTTTTTATTTAAAAATGTAACATTCTTAACAAGTTATTTGCATACAAAATCCAATTCTCAGCATGTTGATGCATTCTTTCACATTATTACAAATTCATTTCCTTTTGGATGTATATACCGATTGAGTGATGAAAAAATTATAAAATTTGCAATTCAAACAACTAAAAGAAACATATCAACAGCTTGAGTAGTTATTTTTCTTTCGACTTTGCAATTCAAAATGATTAAAGAACACAGTAACAGACTGGATTGTCATTTTTCTTCACCTTTTCTATAAGATTCCTTGAGTTCTGCTATAGTGGCATTATCCCTGGAACATAACAACTCGACCACGTCACACATGTCTGCTGTCTGTGGTAAACAATAACAAAACAACATTCAATCACCGTAATCAATACCATGTCAGAAAACAGAACACAATCAGTGTAACTATTGTGGTCTTCAGATTACTACAGGTACATGTAGCTATTTAACAATCTCTTTAACAATTTACTCCATATAAAAGCATTTTAACTAATTTTTTTCAACCAGAGTAGATGCAGAATATAAAATTCATGTGTGGGGTTTTGTCCACTCTATAAAATTTTGAGGTGTGGGGTTTGTCCGTCTTCCGGCACATTCGGGTTTTGATCTGGTTCTGCACTGCACTGGTCGCATTCTGGTTGGAAATAACTAAATGAATCTTAAAGCTAACAGGGTAGACCCTGAACATATGGCATGTATAATATGGCTGATCTGGATCTACACTTTTCAGCCATGCAATAAAGGTGCATCTACATGTATGCAGTAAAGGGTTGAAGGAGCTTCATTGAGGTCACTGTCACTGTCCAAAAGCATAAAATCATTAATTTGAATATTTTAAGTAGTTCATCCAAATTGAAAAAATATATTAAAAAGATAATTATGAAATATTCCAAGAATTAAATTGAAATCAATACTAAGTCTGATTCATAGCCCCATTTTATTAATTTTAATCATTTTGAATGCTTTTATTTGAATTTCATGGTGATTTTTTAACAACAAAATTTATAATTCTGGAAAAGCAGACTTTTGCAAACAAGTGCATAGACCTACATCATATGGTATAGAAAATCTCAGAGCAAAAATTTCTTGTCATGTCGAAAAAACTCCAAAAAATGGAAAAAAAAACAGCACCAAACATCTATTGAAAAGGTAAATCAAATACCATAGCTAAAACAATCCAAAAAATAGCTGTAAAGAGCACAAGAGGGTCTCATGTAGAAGACGACTTAAAATCAAGTTAAAAGATTTGAAAAACAAGTCATATTAAAATGAAAACATTTGGCCATTCTTTCTTACAGTAAGAAAACATGTACATGTAAATATTTCTTCAATGAGTGAAATATCACTATATGATGCCTCATTCTTAATTCATAATTTCTTAATTCTTTATTTACTGATAGCTTTAACAGAATATAAACATTGTTAAATTCTGTATGAGTTCAGTACAGTCTAGAATAAATTCCATTATGTAATAGCATTTTTGAAAAAATAAATGTAAAATATTTATCAAATCATTATATTTCCTTTGATCTTCTAATCAACGTTCTTTTCTTTTGTCACAGAGATAAAGTAATATAGGAATTACATTATTTATATCATAATTACAGGAAATTCATTAGTTTCGATGTAAGAAACAGTATCAATATTTAAAACAAACAAAATACCAAATAAATTTTCTATTGCCATTCAAAATAAACACAGCAAAAAAATCAACTGAAAAAAAGCTTTTTATGTTAATGCTGCAAAAACTCCAGCAACTTCAAAAACAGAAATAAGTATCTGCTATAATATAACAGTTCAACAGTTTTCAAGAGTAAACAAAACCATTAAATATCACAGATTCTGGTAAGTTGTCCTTCTAAAATATTTAAATAACATTTTTTTAATATTCCCTTAATACAGAGATACGATTTTTTTTTGCAGGTTATCAGAAATCTTGTTACTTTGTATCTCATATTTCCATTATTCAAATGACATTATATTGTCCTAATTTTAATTCAATTTCATATTATAAACAGGAAAAAGAAGAGAGACTGATTATATTCAAGAACACTTTCATTTTAAATATTCCAGTTGTTCATCACATATAAATTCAAACAATAAAAACTAAATATTATCAAAAGTATTTTCTGATTACATGGAATAAAAAGAAATTCTGACAAAAAGAAGAAACAAGACAATAGTTATTGTTTGAGCATTGTTATTGCTTATGTAAGCATGTTTTCTTCAAACTTACAACCATTAGATAAAGTTCCAGTGATTGTTTTTGTTGTATTATAAAAACAACTCATTATTTATTCTATTACATAGAAATATACTGCATCCTATACATTTGTTAAAAATTGAGCAAATGTTTTTCCAACAGTCTTTAAACTGCATAAAGTAAAACTAATCTGAGAGTTCCTTTGGTTGGTACCTATAATAAGTTGTTTTAAATTCTCACTCAATCAAATTCAGCCATTGGTTTTCACTGAGAAATTGCCATAACTCCTTCAGTTCATAAAGTTTGACACTCATACCATAAACCTAACATGATGTAAAACTAAAGGTGACATATACTGTATTTTAATTTCAACATCTATAAAGAATGACAACATTAAGGACAGGACACATGAAATAGGACTATATTTTTTACCTTTGACCTCTATGTGTGACCTTGACCTTTGAGCTACTGACATTTTCTTGTGGCAACATATTGTTTCATGTTGGTGAATTAACATGCAAGGTTATTTCAAAATTCTTAGGACACAAAAATTAGTTTTCATTTTTGGCATTTGATGTCTATAAGTGACCTTGACCTGCTCTTTCATACAGTGTGTGGGAGAACATGTGAGCCAAATTTAAAGAAAATCAATGACAGTTATAATCTGAACATAATAATTTCAGGTCATAACTGACAGACTTAATAAGGCAATTGCTATATGCCAACCTTCAAAGGGGGAGGGGGGCGCAAAAATTAATATTAAGGACTTCATATTTTTCACTATTATTTAGGTAAAATGTAAAAATAAAAGATAATTCTCCTTTAATCAAACGCATATTTCACAAACTTAACTATTAAACACTCTACCACATACCACATAACAAGCTAAACACATACATAAACATGAAAATCTGTTCAAGAACAGAATTCATCCTTATTATGAAAAGTAAAATGTAAATTTATTAAAGCAAAAAGCCATACAAATTCCATTCTACATCAAACACCTCACCTGCTGACTTCTTCCCTGGAATTTTCAATTATTTTATAACAAAAATACACAAAAATTATTGAACAAAATCATTTTTTATGATTTAATGCATCTATAATATATAAAAAAAATTGTTACAGCAAATACAACTAAAGGTACAATATCAAAGACAATACAATAATCTATAGATTTTCGAAATAATTATTGTTTTTAGCAAAACAACTTTTGAGGAATAAATTATTTAACACTAGGGCAATGCTCTACTCTATAAAATGTGATTTACAGTCAAATTTTGACAGGTTCTTTGAGCTAATAATGCTAGCTTTACATAAATTATGTCACTAATATACAGTCAGCTCTACCTACAAAACTAGACAGTCTGTACCTACTCTTTACAAATAAATGCTTAATTTTAATATTTGACAATAAAATCATTATAACTTTTGATCCAGGGACGTCACTCCAAAAAATCGACACCAGAAGTCTGTGACCAAAAAATTCTGACAGCAGAATAAAAGTTGAGTCTAGATGTAACTTATTATTTCTACAAACAAATTTTGACAATCAAACAGTTTTATATACAAAATCAAACAAGTTAACAACAATTGGTGTCGGGGAGGGCAGCATGCATGTCTAAATATATACATGTATTAGCTGATAGGGACTAACAGAAATGATATTTGTACAAGTTGTAAACTTACACTAAGTGCATCAAACACAGCATAAGAGTCTGCTACTCCTCTCTCCTGTAGTAAAGCATCTATAAGGTACTCCCATGGTTGACCTAAACCATTCTTCAATTCTGAACTTAAATCCTGAAAAAGACAAATATATGCATGCCTCCAAATGAGTTGAACTTTTTCAAGAACAAACTTTAGAAAAATATACTATTTCAAGGATTTCAAGAAAAAACAGTTCAAGTAATATTTTACATTTTGTGACAAATGACTGATTTTGAAGTAATCAATACCATATTTCTACTGCATGACTAATGCAATCAGGGATATTTTTGCATATTTTGACCTTTTTTTTTGGTAATTTAATGTATGGATAGTAAACGACATTTGCAATGTGTAAATTACTTTCTCTGTTCACATCACAATATTTTACTTCTTAACGCATTTTCAAAATTTTCATGAAAATTAGCATGAATCTGGAGGCATGCTCCTTTAAGAATAGTAAAATTATGTCAACTCTTTCTAAATCAAAGGGCTGCAAGCTCTGTGGTATTTTCTGATCTTTGTAATCTAAATTGTACTATATATCTGTCTGTATTTTCTTTTATTAGTTTATTTTATGTACTATAATTCATCTTGCAAGGCACCAGAGTTTGATACATACGGAATTTTGCATCAAAAATCATTTATGTTCATTTTTTATGACCGCCACACTTTATCCTTGCATATCATGGACACTTAAAAAATAATTTTAAAAGATTGCCTCGACTGGGATTTGAACTTCAGACCTCTCACACACGAAACGAGCGGGTTACCCCTGCACCACGAAGAAGTTATAAAAAGTTGCCTGAATAAAATCAAGTTATTCTAAATTGAGAACTTCCATTGCATTTCGGGTTTGTAATCCTTATTAATTTCGAGGTATTTTGTTCAGGATAAACCTGTTGTTTAAAATTGAAGTAAAAAATTTAGCGAAAATGTCCTCGCCCAAATAGTCTGACATGTAGAATCTATATATTCCACTACTCGGCAGTCAGATTTATTTGTGTAGTATTCGGTAATCGACATCGCTAAAAACAGCATTTTCATTGATTAAAATCATATTCATTCGCGTAATTTGTGATTGTGTATTTATTGACAATTCTATAAGCCAACGCTACTTTTAAACTTTGAATGCGTTGTAATTTGTTGGATACTTGTAACAAAATAAAAATATTTCTTCCTTTTAAATCGCTAGTTTTAAGCTGTTTTGAGAACTACTTGTTGTTAGGTCTGTCGTGAAATTCTGTGTTAGAGATTGAATGTCCGCTTTGTATTTTACTGATCTTCGATCAGAAAATACAAAAAGACACTTGAAACTTAGACAATAAGAAATCTGTGTCTCTGATATTCTACTTAGATCACGGTTGATTCTATACTTAAGTTTTAATCCCTATATAACCTTATATTTAACACACCGTACAGCCCACCATTGGTTCAACACTAATAAGTAGCCTCCTTACATTACAAATATGACGCAATTCAATCAAAATGTCACTTTAAACCAGCTTGATCAATCTGTAAAACAGAAATGAATTAATTTTCTAGCTGGAATGATTCATCATTATTCTGGTATAAAAGATTCAAGCTGATTGTTGCTGAATATTAACATCCTTTAATTCACTACAATCGATAAGAAATTTGTCATTAAAACACATTAAAATATATCGATGAAGTAGATTCACTTTGTAAGGTTATATCTTTGCATGATATTGGCAATAATTACCAGATTACCTGTTTATATACTAAAATATGCCTTTATCACAAGTATACTGAGCCCAGCCAGACAGCACATCTGAAGTCTGATCAGATAATGACTCTACACTAACAGCTGGACAAAAAAAATCTGGAAAAAGTGTGATCCCTTGAAAGCATTAATCACAACAAATTAAAATGAACATTGCAGACTCGGTTTGATTCAGCCTGTTCATGAGGGGTAATGAAAAAGTGCAACATCCCTCAAGCCCCCTAGCACCAGCTTGAGCGGTACTCAATTTTCAACACTAACAAGAGCTGTCGGTAGGACAGCAACGCTCGACTATTCTTAGTGCTTGATAGTAAAAACAAGAACCGGTTGAACCGGGTGATGCTCCCCGAGAAGGTTCTGGACACAGGAAAGTATAAAAAAAATGAACAAAGGGCAAAAACTCCAAAATTAGGCAAAGCGGAGTTATGTTTTTTTGCACTGCACTTCTATTCAATGAGATCTATCTATCTATAAAGTTTCCTGATGATATCAGAGTTATGTCCCAGGTAAAAGTCAAAGTGTAAAAATGAACAAAGGGCAATAACTCCAAAATTAGACCAGGCTTTGTTTAGGTTCTTTAAGCATAGCAGTTCTATCCAATTATATCTAGCTACCTACAAAGTTTCATGTTGATATCTCTAATAGTTTTAAAGTAATGTCTAGGTCAAAAGTCAAAAAGTAAAAATAAACAAAGGGCAATTACTTCAAAATAAGGCAAGGCAGAGTAATGATTCTTAAGCACTGCACTTCCACCCAATGAGACCTATCTGTCTACAAAGATTCATGTTGATATCTCTTATAAATTTAGAGTAATGTCCCAGACAAAGTTCAAAGTGTCAAAATGAACAAAGGGCAATAACTCCAAAAGTAGGCAAGACAGTGTTACAGTTCTTGTGCACTGCAAACTTACTCAATGAGATCTATCTACCTACAAAGTTTTATGTTGATATCTCTTATACATTAAGAGTTATGTCCCGGACAAAGTTCAAAGTGTAAAAATAAACAAAGGGGGGTAATTCAAAAATTAGGCAAGACAGAGTTAAGGTTCTTGTTCACTGCACACCTACTCAATGAGATCTATCTACCTACAAAGTTTCATGTTGATACCTCTTATACTTTTAGAGTTATGTCCCGGACAAAGTTCAAAGTGTAAAATAAACAAAGGGGGATAATTCAAAAATAAGACAAGGCAGAGTTACGGTTCTTGTGCACTGCACACCTACTCAATGAGATCTATCTACCTACAAAGTTTCATGTTGATACCTCTTATACTTTTAAAGTTATGTCCTGGACAAAGTTCAAAGTGTAAAATAAACAAAGGGGAATAATACAAAAATCAGGCAAGGCAGAGTTATGGTTCTTGTGCACTGCACACTTACTCAATGAGATCTATCTACCTACAAATTTTCATGTTGATACCTCTTATACTTTTAGAGTTATGTCCCGGACAAAGTTCAAAGTGTAAAATAAACAAAGGGAGATAATTCAAAAATTAGGCAAGACAGAGTTACGGTTCTTGTGCACTGCACACCTACTCAATGAGATCTATCTACCTACAAAGTTTCATGTTGATACCTCTTATACTTTTAGAGTTATGTCCCGGACAAAGTTCAAAGTGTAAAATAAACAAAGGGGAATAATTCAAAAATCATGCAAGGCAGAGTTATGGTTCTTGTGCACTGCACACTTACTCAATGAGATCTATCTACCTACAAAGTTTCATGTTGATACCTCTTATACTTTTAGAGTTATGTCCCGGACAAAGTTCAAAGTGTAAAATAAACAAAGGGAGATAATTCAAAAATTAGGCAAGACAGAGTTACGGTTCTTGTGCACTGCACACCTACTCAATGAGATCTATCTACACTACAAAGTTTCATGTTGATACCTCTTATACTTTTAGAGTAATGTCCCGGACAAAGTTCAAAGTGTAAAATAAACAAAGGGGAATAATTCACAAATTAGGCAGGCAGAGTTACGGTTCTTGTGCACTGCACACCTACTCAATGAGATCTATCTACCTACAAAGTTTCATGTTAATACCTCTTATACTTTTAGAGTTATGTCCCGGACAAAGTTCAAAGTGTAAAATAAACAAAGGGGGATAATTCAAAAATTAGGCAAGGCAGAGTTACGGTTCTTGTGCATTGCACACCTACTCAATGAGATCTATCTACCTACAAAGTTTCATGTTGATACCTCTTATACTTTTAGAGTTATGTCCCGGACAAAGTTCAAAGTGTAAAATAAACAAAGGGGGGTAATTCAAAAATTAGGCAAGGCAGAGTTATGGTTCTTGAGCACTGCACACCTACTCAATGAGATCTATCTACCTACAAAGTTTCATGTTGATACCTCTTATACTTTTAGAGTTATGTCCCGGACAAAGTTCAAAGTGTAAAATAAACAAAGGGGGATAATTAAAAAATTAAGCAAGGCAGAGTTACGGTTCTTGTGCACTGCACACCTACTCAATGAGATCTATCTACCTACAAAGTTTCATGTTGATACCTCTTGTTGTTTCAAAGTTATGTCCCGGACAAGAAAAGGGGACGGACGGACGGACGGACGACGGACGGACGGAAAGACGGACGGACGGATGGACGGACAAGGCGGCGACTATATGCTCCCCCGAAATTTTTTCGGGGAGCATAAAAATGCTTGATACAGTTACCTCCTCCTGTTTACAGGTTGGGGTCATGATGGTGAACAAGAGTGCAAAGTTTCAAAGCCATATGTCAATGGACTTTGAAAATATTTGAACTATTACAAAAACTTTAACGTAAATTCTAAGTCGAAAAAGGGGCTTAATTCTGTCAAAATGCTTGATAGAGTTACCTCCTACTGTTTACAGGTTGGGGTCATGATGGTGAACAAGTGTGCAAAGTTTCAAAGCCATATGTCAATGGACTTTGAAAATATTTGAACTACTACAAAAACTTTAACGTAAATTCTAAGTCGAAAAAGGGGCATAATTCTGTCAAAATGCTTGATAGAGTTACCTCCTCCTGTCTACAGGTTGGGGTCATGATGGTGAACAAGTGTGCAAAGTTTCAAAGCCATATGTCAATGGACTTTGAAAATATTTGAACTATTACAAAAACTTTAACATAAGTGGTTACGCCGACGCCGACGCTCGGGTGACTGCAATAGCTCTACTTATTCTTATCGAATAGTCGAGCTAAAAAGTGCTGGAATCAATGATCTCAAAGGACCAGAAAACACTAAAAGTAGCGACACTGAAGTACAGGGCAACTTTTTACAGCTTCCATACAGCACTTGACACCTGCTGTTGTGAAGTATATAAATCTAGAAAAGGTGTGATCACTCAGAAACATTTATCACCAGAAAAAACATGAAAATTCTGACCAGACTCTATACTTTGTAAGACCCCAGGCACTTTTACTGTAGGTAGTCCACATTTTTACGGTAGGAAGATCAACTGTTGCATTATGAAAACCCTTAAAAGTTTGAATGGACTGTTCCAAACTGAAGCTACATAAAATCAGCCTGTTTAGGGATGACTTACCAAATCATATTTTTGCCGAAACTTTGCCTTGGTAGCCATTCTCTGTTTGTGAGATTTCTTGATCAATGTTTTGATAAAAATGTCTTCTGGTCTTCCTGTAATAAAACACAGAATAAAGGAACATTAAATTTGCAAACTGCTTCAAGAATATTTAAAGGGACTCTACCAAAGTATTTTGACAATTGACAGGACTGGAAATAATTTTTTGAAATTAATGTTGCATTTGATGTAGGTTATAATAGACCAAATACTTGTGTGCAACATTTCAGATCATTCACTCCAGAATGATTATTTTGTCCAAGAAAAAATTACCCAAAATTACAAATTGATTTAAGAATAGCATAAAAATACAATTTTTAATTTATTTCTGAGTATATTTCTTAATTTTCTTTTGCATATTTGTCTGTTTTAGTGCCATTAGTGATCTATGTCAGAAATTCAAATTTTATGTTTTAGGGCTTTTGGACCTAAGTGGAGCTCCTTTAAAATAACAAAAGAATCATTTACATATAAGGTACTTTTAGTCAACAGATTGCTAATAAAATTACAAATGTTTCACAAAGGCACTGACAATGAGATAGTTAACTGCTTTGGTGTTTTTCTATGGATTCTGAGAAAACCAGTTAAATTAAAGCATACAGTTTTTAAAATGACAGACATTCTTTTCAAGGAACATTATTTATAAATAAAAATTGAAAAATTACAAAATAAGCTCACTCGTCAAATTATTACAATAAATCTTGTCAATAACAAAACAATTTTGATGATGTTCAGCAAAAACGGGAAAATTGTTCTTCTGATTTTAGATGTTCAGACAACAGACAAACTTTTTCCATTAATTATGTAACAATTAAATACGTCACTTGAACAAAACACCCATAAATAACCATCATGTTTTCTAGAAACCTGTCTTAATATATAACAAAAGACCATTATCTCAAATCCATTAGCAGAACATGATCTGGTTGCGAGAATTTTAACAATGGACCTCCTAGGGACTGATCTGATTGCAACATTTGCTTCTATTAAAGATTCATAATTTTCTAGGGCGAGACTGGACCTATTGTTTTGCAGTAAAACTTGATATGTTATACAAGTCATAGAGACCAACCTTGGCTTGTTGATTTCTTTTGATTTTTTTTCTTTCATATTTCCAGATCAAATATTCTATTTAACGACAAGGCAAATTGATTAGAATATGTTTATAATTTCAATTGTTCAATAGCAACTTTTTAACATACAAAGATAAACACTTTTATATATTTATTCCCAACATTAACATATCCTTAAAAGAAATTAGGCACCAAAGTACAAGTCATTTGAATTTACTTGATGTAAATAGGTATGATAAATAAAAGTAAACATCCGATAGAAGCGATAAATAAAAGTAAATATCGGACAGAGCCAGCTGGGAGAAGTAGCCTAGTTAACTCAATCTATTTAATTAATAAACTGATAAATCAATAACAATCCAATAAATGTAACCAAGTGTGGGCACTTTTATTTCAGGTCGTTTTGTACGGGCTACAAGAATGGAAATTAATCGATGAAAAAATATACTAATTCAACTCTTTTGATTCTTATTCAATACAATTATGCTGTTAAAGACTGGTTATTATTCTCCACTGACATAACAGCAATCAGCAGGCAACAGCAGGAGATACAGTCTAAAAAAACATTCTTAGAAAAAATAATTGTTCAAACAAAATTGCACCCGACTTTATAAATGCTGAAATGGATAAATTGACTGAATGAATTTGTCACACTTTGATTTTGAATGGAAGTTGGTCAGCCAAAAGTATGTTAGGATGTGTATAAGGCTGGAATGGCTTCAGTATTCTGAGAGTTACCATATGAACACATAAAAGTTTAAAATTTAAAAAAAAGAGAACATAATTTTTTTTAGAGTTTTTGAAAATTTTGCAGGCTTTGACTAACAAGTGTTGAAAGTCTTTGGTGGGATTGAAAAATATAAATAATTCTTGTGCAAATACATGTATATTAACTTTATTTAATAAGTTTAAATGTTAAAACAAATAAATCGGAATTATTACTAAAGTAAAAATATATTGTAACAGAAATAAACAAAACTCTTATTTTACATTTAAATTGTGCATGTAAGTTTGCAATTTTAAACTACTAGTAAAACGTAAGTTTTCAAAGGATTTTTATTCATACTTAATACACAAGTTCTTACCTAATTGTTTTGCAATTTTGAACAATTGTGCAATATCAGAGTTCTCATCCGAATTATCTTTACTTTTACCTTGACCAGATATACCATCCTCCTGAAAAACAAAAAAAAATTAAATATAATACATGTAATTATTTCAAATTTATATGTTGAGTTATATTAACAGCTCAACAAAGCAATCTTAAAATCTTACTATAAGTGCAGAATCTTAAGGAAAAAAAAACAATGAAAATACACATGCATGCATGTGCTAATCATGCAAAAAGTAAAAATGAAAGTTTTTTTACTTCTATGCTAAAAGTAAAAAAGAAAGTGTTTTTTTTTCCAGAAAAACTCTATAAAGTCAATTAAAATCAATTAACAAACTTAAAATTAAACAGTCACACAGAAAATATGCAATTGTTAAATTTTCATCTAAAACGAAATGGTATAAAAACAACTGTAAAAAAAGCTGCATGTTTGTTTTTTAAATCTTAAATAATGACTGTAATTATTATTCATAATAATTTTTTTTTTCACAATTATGCACCTGATCTCTAACATCTCCATAGCAACTCTTTGATGAAAAAAGAAATTATAATATAAAAATATTTATTTAAATTAATGTACTTCAATTTCTTTCAAGTATAGTAGTTCTAACTAATTCCTAACTGCATGCACATAAATTATATTATGTCATGTGTAAAATATTTGCAACAAGATTATGCGGAACCTTTTACAAATATCAAATATATATACTATAATATCCAGTAGAACAAAACTACAGAAATCTGTTCTGTTATGTAGTAACAATTGTTATTAACCTTTGCCTGCTCAGATGGCAACAGATTCTACCCATGCAACCACAGTGCAGACCTGAGTGAGTACACAACTATAACGCATTTTTGGAGTAATTTTAATTTATTTTTTGTGTGTATTTGTTTTGTTTTTGCATTTTTTTGTACTTACAAACCCAAAATTTCCAACCATAAAGGGTCACTGCAGTGACGTTTCATAGCAGGGTTAAAGGTACGGTACATGTAAAAAATATGAAAACATGACAAACAATGACTTTGTCATAATTTCACAAGTTTTTTCCCCTTTTTCTCTGTAATATGACTTAATGTACATGTACCTAAGCTACATATATAAGTTGAATAAGTGAAGATTTATAATACATGCAATAGTAACAAACTTTTACAAAATGTGAAAAGTGAAAATCGTAACAATATTTATGGAGAAAAAACTATATATCAATTATAGTGCACATCTAATATAATTATATCAAACACAATTAAAATGGGGTTTTGTCTAACTTACAGTCCCCACAATTTAAGGAAGTACATGTATTATAATGTATACAAAAATATGTAAATCATGCACAAGGTATAATCTGACTAAAGCACAGATCTACGTAGGTTATTTCTTGCATGTAAATCTGATTGCCTCCATATTTGTTTCGCCTTTGTCATTCAGATTTCCCAAGAAAGATTTCTAGCCATGCAATCAAACCCTCCTTTACAGATAGGCATTAAACAAAGTTTCAAAATATTGATGTATGTGGAAGTAAAACAATAAGTTTGGTAAGAAGAAAATTGGAACAAGGTAGTACAATACAAAATGCCTGGAGTTACAATTTCTCAAAAATGATGTGGAACAAAATAAAATGTACATCCAAATGTCAAAGTATTAAAAAGAAATAATTGTATGAAAACAATTTTGCTGGACAAATCTTAAATATCTGCAAATGTGCTTTAAACTCCAAGCCTAATAAAAATTGCAGAGCTATTATACATCTTAATTTATTTAAAAAAATCTTATTTGAGAACATATTTCCAAATACAGTTACTTTAAACAGGGTAAAAAAGGGGTGTTACAATTGTAGATTTTGGATGAAGGAATGGTTGTCAGGAAAACAATAATGTTCAGACTGACCCTCAAATATATCAAATACTGTTTCAACATCCTGGCATTCTTGCCTTTATATTTCTACAAAAACATTCACAATAATGTATTCTCATAAGTTTCTGTTTTAACTTATAAGGGGAATGATTTGATAAAAATAAAAAATACAAGCATTTAGGTTTAATGTTAATTGCTTAAGGAAATTACACAAAAAAAACCTCTAATTTCATTAAAAATTTAAAATTATAAGTGTTGAACCAGTCTGTGGTACGGCATTCTGAATTGGACAAATACAAGTTTTCAAAGGGGACAAAATTGGAGAAAAAATATTCAAAGTCTTTCGATATTGGTGTTAAAATTCAATCAAAATTCATCAACATAACCAAAAGCAATTTGCACTTAAATATCAATTCTATGATACAGAGCAATTAATTTTTGCTAATTTATTAATCATGCTTAAAATATCTTATAATACATTAAACATTTTACATGATTTAACATGCATTTTACATGCATAATAACATTCATGCAGAAGTCTTTGATATAAACATGCATACATATTGCATAAAGCAATATCAAGTAAAGCTTGAAAAGCAAATGGATACAGTGGATGCATCTACAATACATAGCTTGCCTTCTTTTTCTTGGACTTCTTTGATGCTCCTGCTTTCTGCTGCTGATTTTGAGGCTCTTTAAATTCACCAATCCCTTCCTCATTTGCCTTTTTAGCTTTCATCTCATCTGGTTTTGTCTCTCCATTTTCACTTGAGCCATCAGAAGTTTTATCTGATTTCGATCCACCATCTGACTCTTTTTGACCCTCATTTCCATTAGATTCTGACTTTGCTATATCTGGATCACTTTCATTTCTTTCCTCATTTGCTTTACCATTTTCTTTATCAAAGAAATCATCTTCCTCATCTGCTTTTTCATTGGTTTTATTACATTCTTCATTTTGATTACTTTCTTCATCTTTGTTCTCTGTGTCAATCTTTTCTCTACCACCTTCATTGTTAGAATCAGCCTCATCCTTATCTTCAGATACCAAAGTTTTTACTCTCTCCAAATCATTGGTTACATATTTCTCACTATGCATGCTAGATAAACTTTTAGTAGACTCTTCATTGCCTTTCAATCCTTTCTCATTCTTGTCTGCATTTCCTCTACCATGAGCTTTTGAATTTTTCTTTGGGCTCCTATCTCTCTTGTTGTCCCTTTTGTCCTCTTTGGGTTTTTCTTTACCAGCATTTTCAGAATCATTCTCCTTGTCAATTTTGGAATCATCTGATGGTTTTCCATTACTCCTCTGGATGTAAGCATTGGGGAAAGAATAACCTTAATACAAGAGCATAAATCATAAGAATCAGGCAAACAAAAATTCCTTAATTTATACCAAAACCTATAAGGTTATTATATACAACCATGTATGTTGGTCTGTATATAGATTTATTATCACCTTTTATAGTTATGCTTGGTCATTCATAGTTATCCAATTTTCAATATTAATGAATGATTTATGTATTTTTCGAAAAACTTCTGACTAAGTTAAACAAATTCATTTACATATATGTATATCAGGTTTGACTTCATATCAAATCTTCAAAAAAAAGACTTCATTAGTTCATTAGAATTCATATTTATTATTTATTGTCCTGCATGTATTAAGTTTTGATATTAATCACTTCTAAACAAATAACAACAAAGTACAAAACAAAATGTCCATTACAACAACAAAACACTGATAAAAGTAGACATCTATAAAAATTTGTCAGTCTAAAATAACTATTAAGAAGAAAAAATCAATTAACAAAAAAATTGCTTATAACGTTCCTCATATCTGATTTAAATCCTGATCTACTACAGCAAATGAACTTAAAACACAACAAAAATTGTGGACCAATAGACATAAATAAACTTAGCACTGATTCGTGATTTTGAATCACACAATTATACCCCTCATTATCTGTTTTCATAATTGCCTCAAAACATTTAAACAGACCAAATTCACATTGCAGCCTTTTACTGAACTTCTAATCAAAAGCTTGTTAATGACAAACCCACAAAGTCATTTCCTACTTAGAACCATACCGGCAATTTGAAACATGCTGGCGTGTTGTCAGTTGAATGTATATATTCCAATATCAATTAGGGAATTACATGGATAGCGTGTGATAGTTAAAGCTTCCATGGTGATAACAATTTACTATTTCCTTAACAACATATAAATAAACACTTTTTAAAGTGTACAATTTTTGTACTGTAACTTCTAATCAGAGTTGATTACTCATATTTTAAATGAAATTTCTCTGTAATTTTGATCATACACTTCATACAGAAACAAATCAGGAAAAATTGTTTTAAAATTTATATGGATTGTTGTACATGTATTGTATTGTTGAAAAGTAAAAATCAAAAGGTAAAAAAAAAACAAATAAAGTCTATATTTTTTATTTGTTTTAACATATGGAACAGAGACTTTCAAGATACATTTGCAATTTTTCATATGCATATATTTTTTACGTAAATAATTGGGCTTAAGGGCCTTAATTATCAGTTTTTAATACAATTAAACTGTTTTGTAACTTGGTATGCCATAATAAGGTGGACTAATCTAAGTTAGAACTAGAAAATGAGTCAACACATACTCAATACCGGATAGATAAAGTTATATGTTTCACTATTGCTGAATTGTCTTTGCATTCTTTGGACATACTTTACAATATAGAAGAACAAAGTGTTTTAAACAATAAATATACCACATCTACAAATATTCAACTATAACTCATTAATAATGAAAGTTAACTGTTCATTCCTAGAAATATAACTTCAAATTTGTGGCTCAACCCTTAACCTATATGGTCTTAAAATTTAGTATACAACTACGCTAGCTTGAAATGATGCTACACCTGTTGGCAGCTTTGAGTTTAGTATTTTTTTAATTCAATTCCATTATACAAATTGTGTATGGCAATATTCAATTGGTTATAAGGAACTAACATAGTAGACTATGCACAAAATTCATAAGTATGATAAGAGAATAAGTTTCAATCTGACAATAAATTGTTTAAACCACAAGTTAATTAGTTAGTGACCTTGACCTCAAGATAATCAAAAATTAATTTTAAACAAAACACTTGTCAAAAAGTAAGGATTGACCTTGACCTAAATCTTAAAATGAGGTTCTTAAACTTCTGGTGGTAATTCACTTATTTTGACATAATTTTTGATGGGATGGATTATAACTGCAATTTTAAATAGTTTATAAAAGAGAAGAAATCACTTCTATTGAACAAGAGCTGTCGGTAGGACAGCAACGCTCGACTATTCTTAGTGCTTGATAGTAAAAAAAATGCTTGATAGAGTTACCTCCTCCTGTTTACAGGTTGGGGTCATGATGGTGAACAAGTGTGCAAAGTTTCAAAGCCATATGTCAATGGACTTTGAAAATATTTGAACTATTACAAAAACTTTAACGTAAATTCTAAGTCGAAAAAGGGGCATAATTCTGTCAAAATGCTTGATAGAGTTACCTCCTCCTGTTTATAGGTTGGGGTCATGATGGTGAACAAGTGTGCAAAGTTTCAAAGCCATATGTCAATGGACTTTGAAAATATTTGAACTATTACAAAAACTTTAACGTAAATTCTAAGTCGAAAAAGGGGCATAATTCTGTCAAAATGCTTGATAGAGTTACCTCCTCCTGTTTCCAGGTTGGGGTCATGATAGTGAACAAGTGTGCAAAGTTTCAAAGCCATATGTCAATGGACTTTGAAAATATTTGAACTATTACAAAAACTTTTACATAAATTCTAAGTCGAAAAAGGGGCATAATTCTGTCAAAATGCTTGATAGAGTTACCTCCTCCTGTTTACAGGTTGGGGTCATGATGGTGAACAAGTGTGCAAAGTTTCAAAGCCATATGTCGCTCGGGTGACTGCAATAGCTCTACTTATTCTTATCGAATAGTCGAGCTAAAAAGTAGAACACTTACATGTAAATCAATATCAAAATTACAATAAAATGTGTCAAACACACATTTATACATGTAATAATCACAAGTGCATATACTATAGAACATGAAAGTTACCTCGGAAACGGGGTCATTGTTGTTTACATACCCATAATACATACTATAGTCATGCTGGACTAACTGTAGACCATCAAATATATAAAATTAAATATCATCATGCATTATGTCATATTATATAAATGGTGCAATATAACATTTATGTGTCTTTACATATAACATTTATCATTCATCTGACAATGAGCATCAATAAGTAGACTGTATATATTGCAATTACCAACCGATATATTAAGCAACAACCACCACCCACAAGCATTCATGTGTCTATACATATAACACTAACATTTATCTTTGACAATAAGCCTCAATTTGTAGACATTTACCAACAGATATAAGCAACACCCACCCACCTACAAGCATTTATGACAACAGCACATTGATTTCACAAATTTCATTCATCACAAGAAGAAAGTTTCTGCAGAAATAACAAGAGCTGTCGGTAGGACAGCAACGCTCGACTATTCTTAGTGCTTGATAGTAAAAAAAAAAATGCTTGATACAGTTACCTCCTCCTGTTTACAGGTTGGGGTAATGATGGTGAACAAGTGTGCAAATTTTCAAAGCCATATGTCAATGAACTTTGAAAGTATTTGAGGTATTACAAAAACTTTAACATAAATTCTAAGTCGAAAAAGGGGCATAATTCTGTCAAAATGCTTGATAGAGTTACCTCCTCCTGTCTACAGGTTGGGGTCATGATGGTGAACAAGTGTGCAAAGTTTCAAAGCCATATGTCAATGGACTTTGAAAATATTTGAACTATTACAAAAACTTTAACATAAATTTTAAGTCGAAAAAGGGGCATAATTCTGTCAAAATGCTTGATAGAGTTACCTCCTCCTGTCTACAGGTTGGGGTCATGATGGTGAACAAGTGTGCAAAGTTTCAAAGCCATATGTCAATGGACTTTGAAAATATTTGAACTATTACAAAAACTTTAACATAAATTTTAAGTCGAAAAAGGGGCATAATTCTGTCAAAATGCTTGATAGAGTTACCTCCTCCTGTCTACAGGTTGGGGTCATGATGGTGAACAAGTGTGCAAAGTTTCAAAGCCATATGTCAATGGACTTTGAAAATATTTGAACTATTACAAAAACTTTAACATAAGTGGTTACGCCGACGCAGACGCGACACTGACGCCGACGCTCGGGTGACTGCAATAGCTCTACTTATTCTTATCGAATAGTCGAGCTAAAAAGCAACTCTAATATACCAGTGACCATACAACTGGTATGATTGTGTTTCCCAACATATTCATCAAACAATCAACACAGTATTTCTCAATGCCACATTATTCTTATCAAAAATCCCTCTCTATTACTGCACTAGACTATCAAAATTTCAATGCTCCCCTTGATATTCACCTTAAAGTTAAAATGGCAAATTATGTTCACCTTAAAATCATCATGATTCCACAATTTCTTAAACAACTATCTTGTAATATTAACCTTAGAATCAAGTCACAACAGTTTTCCTTCTTCATGTTCATCATAAAATCAACATAAGTTTCCTTTCTATGCTACCTTAAAAACAACATGACAGTATTCCCATTTATGCTGCTTAAAGTCAACATGACAGTGTTTTTCATTAGGCTTACAGTCAAATTAACATGACAGTGTTCCCCAAATTTAATGGATTCACCACCCAATCAACATGACAGTGTTCCCTAACATTTTAAACACTTTTATAGCTGTCAAAGACCAGACAAATCCCCAATACAAAATACACGTCACATATCAAATGCTCCCCATTTTTTCAACAACACAAGCAACACAACTGTGATCTTTACAACCATTACAATCAACATGACACAGTGCTTGCCAATATATAAACAACACAACCAACAAGACAGACAGTGATTATCACAGTACAAGTATCATAAGGGTGCTATTCTCCTATATATAAACATAAAATATAACAGTGTTTTGACACAATGTCAAGTATATTCAGACATGTATGTGGTGGTACCAGCTTTATTACCTCGGTGGGCGGGGCAGATTTCACCGTGCTTTCTCCGTAGTACATGCTAAAATCACGCTCCACTAACTGATTGTCAGAAAGTTTTTAAATATATATAAAAGGGGTTAGTTAATTAAGAAAAGGTATAGCATTTGACAACAAAATCTTGCAATATAATTATGAACAATATAATTATGTAAAAAAGTAACATGCATAAACAGCCACTGATTAGTGTTTATTTTTAATTATAATTATCTTTTCTTAATTATAGTCTATATTAGCTAAATTTTTCAATATTTATTATGCTAAAAGTACAAATGTAGATTATAATACTGAATATAGTAATATACTGTTTTATACTATTTTCTAAACTTCCCAAAACAAAACCATATTTTACTTGTGACATTGGAAATATAGGCAAGGAAAGATGGGGTAAGTCTTTGGGTAAGATTAGGTAGATCAAAGATTCATGCAAACAAAGAAAAAGAACCATGTGCTTTTTTGTACTCTAAGGCTGAATATACAATCATTTTAGTTAACATGCAAACGGGTTAATCTAAGTACAAAAGACTAATGTTATTAGGATTTCAATTAAGTTTTTTCAATTTGTTCTCCAATCAGTATTTTCTTACTCCTTCAAAAAAAAAGGTTTAAAACTTGTTTGTGCACCTCATCATCATCTACAAAGACTGGAGACAAGGCTCGCTGCCATCAAACCATGTAAACAAAAGTAATGGTGGTTGGGTGGAGCATGTAGGATTTTAACACACTGACAAGGAACCAAGCTTACAGGAAGAAGGGACATAAGAATAAAACTTTCATAACATCCATTGTAGAGTGTAGGAATTACTATGCGGCATGCATCCAGTTATTCATTATGGTTACTTTACTTATTTTCATATTATATATTTGTCACAGTTAGAACTACTCACTATTTAGGGGGGAGAGGATGTGTAAGCAGCCGGACAGCTTAGTCAGAATGGTTTTCCAAGGGTCCCTGGGTTCAAGTCCCGCTCAGGCTGCACATTTTTTCACCCTGTGACATATTTATAAACCATTACTTTCAAATTTAAATGTCCATGACGAAACTTAAGCAAAGTTTGATTTTGAGATTTTCTGTCTGACTCAACAAAATCCAGTGTAGCTCATAAAATCATTGTAACACTATGTAAGAAACTTAAATTTTTTATCTCTTCTTTATAGTGACTATTGACTATATTCTGAAAAAAAATATAGATGGTCCTTAAATAGAAAACATTTGCCACAGGACATAACACAAAAGCCTGAAACCAAATTCAAATTTTTTAAACATGAAGCAGCGGTTGACCAATTATAGCTCTGTATTTATCAAACAACCTTCTGACACATTCTTTTCAGTAACATCAAGTCTATGGGTAGTTAAATTCTTACTAATGAAGGAGATTAGATTTTTTTTTTAGCATTTTTACAAGAGAAGACAGCTACATGTATGTGCCTATGTTTACTTATGATCCATATGTAATTTAACTGAGCTGGGAACCAGTCTTAAACTATGCCTCCAAGCCAATGATGGCTTTGCAAGAATATAGGAAATTTTCAAGCAAAAATATAGCAATAATTCAGGAATGAAACGTTTAAATCCCAAAATATATGGATTTTTACTGTAAATAATAATAGGCAATTTTAAACCATGGCAAGTACAACAAGTTGAGGAGATAAAATGTTTCTGTTTATTTAAATTTGAAAAGATACTTGTGAGAAAATAAAAGATAAGTTCTTTATAGCAATTTTATGAGCAAAGATACCAAAAAGTACTATTAGCCATAATCGGAAAATATAGGAAGGATTTCAGAAATATAACAATTTAAAATCATTTGCAAAACAGGAATATAAGAATTGAACAACAGACTGCATTGGCTAATTTTAAATCAATTTTCCATATCCACCAATCAGAAGCTTCCATATCCACCAATCAGAGGCTGAAGTATCAGACTGGTTTCCAAACTCAAGTATTTTTTACTCTGAACTGATGTGTAACTACTATTTAGACTATGATGATAATTTTGCAGCTAACTAGATTGGTATGTTGTGCAGTAGTTGGGTATAAGAATCTTACATGATTATCCATGAACTGGAAAAACAGTCTATACATTTAACACAAGTGTCAAGACATAGAAGAAGAATGTAAAGAAATGAAAAGTAAGCAAGATGTCGTGATGGACATATATTTATATGATATACAATGTATCGTAAGACCACTCTAAAATAATTAAGACCATTCTGAAATTCTGTTTTAAGTCTTACTTTAGTGACTAAAATATTCTTTCTCAAAAGATCATCTTTTGCAGTTTGAAAACTGCACAAACAAAATATGTTTTATTCAAACATTTAAGTCTGGGAGCAATGTTTATTAACTGAAACTATCTTGACATGAGATTAAAAAGTTAACTGATTGCCTAAGCCGTCATAATATAACATTTTACAAAACAAAAATACCTCAATATTAGTTAACCAGAAAAAGGAGACTGCCATTGAATGCATGGAGGTTTACTATAGACTTTTTTGATTGCCAAGTATGAAAACAAAACTGTTACACAGAGTTCTGAAGTTTTTTCAGCTTTAACCGCTCTATGACCTTGACCTACTTATATTTTCTTCTTATTCAAACCTTTACCTTTTATGACCTTGACCTCTGACCTCAGATAACCCATGAGTGTTCTGGTCTCAAATATTATCAGTCAAAAACAAACTGGTTTACAAATTACTTAATCAACTGACTATGTAACATGGGGAGACAGGCAACAGAGATATACATAAAAACATAGCATTGGTAACATTAGTGTTAGACATACAAAAATAAACAACTAATCACTTCAAACATTGTTCTGGAAACAAAGTCATTCTACCATAACCATAACAACTATTCATAAAATACACTCAAATAAAAATCTATTATTTCACATCTCCCTTAACCCTTAAACACCTGTATTCAGTCTCAACTCACCTTTGTTTTTGACTTTTCCTAATATTCAAATTAACAATATATTCAATTACATAAAATGATATACTAAATATTATTATTTAAAGAAACAAAGGATTGCAGTTTATTTTCCATTTAATTGTGAAAATGGCATTTAAAGTTATATTTTGTCTTCTAAGGTATTTGTTCTTTAATATGATGCTTAAAAAATTGTTAAGTAAATATCTATAATATATTTCAGAGTAAGGTTATGGGACAGTAGGGGGTATTCATTCAAGTCTCAAACATTCCTGTAATCTGTACAACCAATACCAGTATTCCATAAGTATAATTCAAGCATTAATTATCAACTGTTCTGAAATCATAATGTCACCTGAAATTGATGTAAATTATTTTCAAATTATCACAATATAAAATGAGAAATTACTTACAGCTTTGTGTGGTATAATTTTGGGGAGTTTGGTAGATGGTTTTGCTTTGTTGTCACTTTTAGTTACAGGTACGTTAGTCTCGCTCTTTGCCGTGCGGAACTGGTTTCTCTTATCCTTCTGAAATATACAAACATCTAACTTGAAGTTTGTAAGAATTTATTTTTGCAGTAAGGAACTCTTAAACGACATGTATAAATTTCAAAAACGTGCAGCAAGAATAATACTTGATAAAGATTTTGATGCGCCTACTGATGAGTTATTTTCTGAATTGAACTGGATGAAATTCTCTGATAGAGTGAATTATAACAAGAGGGCCATGATGGCCCTAGATCGCTCACCTGAATTATCAAACTCATCCAAACAATTACCTAGACAAGCATTCTGACCAAGTCTCATGACAGGTGAGTCAAAAATGTGACCACTACAGTGTTAACAAGGATTATCCATATTTGAGCAGTGCGACCTAGTTTTTTACCCAGGTGACACATATTCAAACTTGACCTAGAAATCATCAAAACAAACTTTCAGACCAATTTCCAGGATACTTGGATCAAAACAGTAGCAACTAGAGTGTTAACAAGATTTTTCTATTTTTAGCTCCGGTGACCTAGTTTCACATGCGATTTCGAACTCATCCAAGCAATTACCTAGACAAGCATTCTGACCAAGTTTGATGATAATGGAGTCGAAAATGTGACCACTAGAATGTTAACAAGGTTTTTCCATATTTGGGCGGTGTGACCTAGTTTTTCATCCAAGATGACCCATGTTCGATCTTGACTTAGAAATCATCAAAACAAACTTTCAGACCAATTAACAGAATATTTGGATCACAACAGTAGCCACTAGAGTGTTAACAAGATTTTTCTATTTTTAGCTCCTGTGACCTAGTTTTTCATCCAAGATGTCCCATGTTCGATTTATTCCAGCAATGACCTAGACAAGTTTCCTGACCAAGTTTGATGACAATTGAGTCAAAATTGTGACCACTAGAGTGTTAACAAGGATTTTCTATTTTTAGCTCCTGTGACCTAGTTTTTCATCCGAGATGACCCATGTTCGAACTCATCCGAGTTATTACCTAGACAAGCATCTTGATCAAGTTTGATGATGATTGATGCAAAAAATGTGACCGCTAAAGTGTTAACAAGGTTTTTCTATTTTTAGCTCCGGTGACCTACTTTTTCATCCGAGATGACCCATGTTCGAACTCATCCAAGCTATCAACTAGATAAGCATCCTGACCAAGTTTGATGATGATTGATGCAAAAATGTGACCGCTAGAGTGTTAACAAGGTTTTTCTATTTATAGCTCCGGTGACCTAGTTTTTCATCCGAGATGACCCATATTCGAACTCATCCGAGCTATTATCTAAACAAGCATCCTGACAAAGTTTGATGATGATTGGGTCAAAAATGTGACCACTAGAGTGGTCACAAGGTTTTTCTATTTTTAGCTCCTGTGACCTAGTTTTTCATCAGAGATGACCCATGTTCGAACTCATCCAAGCAATTGACTAGACAAGCATTCTGACCAAGTTTGATGATGATTGGTTCAAAAATGTGACCACTAGAGTGTTCACAAGGTTTTTCTATTTATAGCTCCTGTGACCTACTTTTTCATCCGAGATGACCCATGTTCGAACTCATCCGAGCTATCACCTAGACAAACATCCTGACCAAGTTTGATGATGATTGAGGCAAAAATGCGACCGCTAGAGTGTTCACAAGCAATTGTGGACGGCCAGACGGACGACGGACGACGGACGACGGACATTCATCGATCCTAAAAGCTCACCCTGAGCAAGCTCAGGTGAGCTAAAAAGGCCATTTTAGTATACAAGTCCCTAAACAATCTTCTCCCTGATTATATGCAAAATCTTTTTACAAATACAAAAAATAAATCATTAAGATCATATGAACAAAAACTTCTTTTAGTCCCCAAACCAAGAATTGAATTCTGCAGAAAATCCCTATCATATTCAGGCTCAAAATTTTGGAACTCCCTCCCTTTAAACATAAGAAATTCTTCCAACTTACAAACATTCAAAACAAATTATCTTAAATGGTGGTTCTCTGGTGGGCACCAAATAATCTAGCTATGTTTTAATATCACATAGATACATGTATGTCTCATAAAATGTACAATGTCATACTTTCAAATGTTTGTATTCATTTCTTATTGCATTTTTTCAATTACTCAACTTTTCTTTGTTGTATAACTTGTATACATTTAGTTTTCTTTCTTTGTTTATATAAGTCTTTGTTTGTAACTGTATATATGTACATTTTTGATAGAGGCTCATAGGGAAGACTGGGCTTGCCTAACTATGTTGCCTCTTTAAATAAAGTCTTTATTATTATTATTATTATTATTATTATTATTATTATAGTTCAATTGTGTAGGAAGCTATAAGCTTATTGAAACACTCTCGGATCCGTTCCTGGAACAAACCAGTACTAAGCAATGAGTGTAAAGTTTCTTTCTCAGAAGAAAACAACCTGGCTTGCTCCTGACAGGGTTTAAACCCACGCAGCGAGCAATAATTAGATAACAATACTGACATGTTAACCACTCAGTCACGTCACCAACATTTGTCTTAAAATAAGAACAAAACTCTACTTTGAACATAATTGTAAATATCAAATGTGATAAAATATATATTTAACTTTACCAGTTTTGGAAGTTTCTTCTCTTCACTGGTTCCAACACTATTAAAATCTTCATCATATGTATCATCTAGACTAGTCTCTAAGCTTCTCTATAATATAACATATCCTCATGAGTAAATTTATGATGCATTGTTAATAGCCTTTTACATACCAAAATAAAATTACACAATAAGTAGGGCTATTCCTAAGTGAATAAAGAATACTGAAGCAGAATGCAAGCAGATTATGCAAAAAGTTTGCTTTGTACTGAAGAGTAAAAGTAATTACCACAAATTATTCAAAAGTTTATAATTATTTAATTAAAACAAAAACAGTTGAATCTTCAATACAGTAAAATAAGAAATTTTTGCAAGGGATAAATTATGAAAATTTTGTATTATTTAATTAAAACAAAAACAGTAAAATCTTCAAATGGATATGTCAATAAGGTAAAATAAGAAAGTTTTGCAAGGGATATATTATGCAAATTTTGACAAATGAACATTTTCACGAAAATAATTTTACGCTTAGTATCTAAGAATCACATGAGCAAATATTTAACCATAAAAATTAGTCCAAAATGTTGATTTCACAAAA